CACGGTCCGGCAGTGGTGGCACTCAGGTGTTGGCTCCTTGCGGATCAGACAAAGGTGATCTCCGAAACAACCTTTCCCGGTGATCACCTGCGTCAGTCGGTATGAGAGGGTTCCGTGACGCCTCTCGAGCCAATCCTCCATAATGGGTCTTACCGCCGCAATAACGGCGTGCCCGTCGTAGAGAATAACCCTAACACTTACTATAATAGCATTTTTGCAACTTTCTCTTACACATTTAACACCATTTTAATACGAAAAACGATAGTGGTTAAAGGTAACGCCACATTTAGTTAATGGGCTACCACTGGCTTACTCAAAAGTAGGAAAGGAATATACGACCTATAAAGGGTTTTCCAATAAGAGGTGTTATTTTAGTATTCAAAGAAAGATGCAATTTTTTAAAATAAATAATCGGCTGTTTATTTTATAATGGATATAATTTTATAAGAGGAAGGTAAGTATGCCGTTAATAATGGAAGATAACATCAGCCAAATGGCTACCACGACCACGCTTACAGGACCATATCCTTTTAATGAAATTATGCATAACCAAATCGCAAAGTGGCTGCCCTATGTCCTCGATAGCCTCACGAATTCCACCTTTGAGATCTTGAATCGACGCTGGGCTGTTGGCGTAGACCTTATCTTTCACGTGGCCCCAAAGGAAGAAGTCGCAAGGTGTTAAATCACAAGATCTCGGTGGCCAATTGTGATCACCTCTTCGAAAGATAACACGGTCAGGAAACTTTGCCCGTAAAAGTGTAACAGTTTTTTTTTAGTATATTTGTATTGCGTACGGACTTGTTAACAGCGACATCTATTGCCCCGCGTCGCATTTCTTGATTTATCCAAAGTAGTTTGTAGCTATAGTATTGATGTTCTTCGTCCGCCATCGGACCACTAGATGGCGTTCGTTTTATTGGTAAGTCAGTAAGAATTTATCCTGATAAATTGTATTAGTGTTATAAGTGACCTGTTATGGTAGGAAGCGAGTTACTTTTGATTTAGTTCGTGTTAACCTAGATAATAATTTGAGTGACAGTTTGAAATGTTAAAGTAGGGATTCTTTCTGGAAACTTCACAAACCGAACATATATAAGTCCGGCTTGCAGCCATAGGGGACACTCTGCTAATTCTTGTCTTTCGATCTTAAATAGTATTTTGTTTGTCTGGTGATTTCATCTTAGTTATATTTTATCTGTTCGAAGTACCCACGCCAGTGGTGAGTATATTAATAATTTTCTTGTACTTATTTGTTTCTGGAACCTGATCGATAATATGATTCCTAATCCATTCGTAGGGTCCCAGATTTCGGGTCAAGACGGTCAGTCTCAGACGGCGTGCTTGTTCATTTGTGGCCTTCTGGTGCGAATTCAAGTTTCTTGGTACCCTCTGGCAAACTGGCAGTCACGCGGCTCACCAAACAAGCGGACAGCCGTACTCAAGGGTACGTACTTCTCGTTAACTTTATTTATATCATTAGTGAACCTTCCTTTATACCTAATATAAATAGCCGACTCGGGCGGAAGGGGAAGTGACCTCCTGGATTGAAGAAGAGGAGGCTCCGAGCAGCATCAGCTCGGCTCTGACGCGCGCCGCTGCGGTTTTTTTTTTATATACCCACTATTTTTTATTGTAACTGATTTTTTTATTGAAATATACATGTAGGTATGTATGACTGAGGTGTAAGTTGTCTTTCTCTAAGGGGTCCCGTAGGTATCCCACACGCACGCACTTCTGTGTAATAAAAGGCGCCCTGAGGTAATCTTGTGAATCTCTCCACTGGGTCAGCCGGTGAGTAGTCCGCCTGATAAGAAAAGCGGCTACGAAAGAGCAATGGTTTCGTTGCTTGTGTGGCATGGAGCGCCGTCTTGTTGAAAGTAAACGTTGTCCAGATCAATACCATCCAATTCCGGCCATAAAAAATCGTTTGTGGAATGCCCAATTCCAAAGAACGACGAGGAATGGACAAACCTGCGTTTTCTGCAACACTTTGGGCTACAGCAGCAATATTCTCAGTTGTTCTTGAGCGACGCGCACGGGTTTTATTCTTCACATCACTAACTTGTCCCAACAGCTCGAATTTTTCCACCAATTTCTGTATTGCGGTCCGACAAGGTGCTTCACGACGACCAAAAAATGCTTTAGTTTTGCGAACTGTGACTGCAAGATTTTCACCATTTTTGTAGTGAATTTTAATAATTTCAATGCGTTGTTGAAGTATGTATCGTTCCATTTTTAGTAATGGCGTAGTTTCTACTTGTCAAATGTCAAAAAATAAAAGCTTCAAAAGTGACAGCTACCGAAATACCGGGTGATTCAAAATAACACCTCTTGTTGGAAAACCCTGTATGATGAGAGAAATTATAATAAAAATGAATAGTTTCATAACTTTGTTAAAGAATATTCGAAGCTGTTTAGAAAACTTTGTAAATTGGCTGGCTCGTTTTATAAGTTCAAAGATTAAAAGTAGCAATGCTAAAATTAAAACCACTTGGAAAATTATTAACAGTGAAACTGAAAAAAAATCACAACCGTGAAAATTAATTTAATTTCAATATAAACAATAAATTTATTAAATCAAATGCTGAGGTTGCTGCTGCATCTGAGAACTTTTTACCAACATTACAGTATTAACTACTAAATCTTTGAACTCCTCACCATGCCTTGCAGAATCAATTTTAAAAGATAATGTTGGTAGGATTGATAATGAATTTAAGTTCCAATATGTTTCCCGTTTGAATTTATTTAAGCCTTTAACACTATATGTTAAAAAATCCTATGGGGAAATTCTGTCTGTATTAATTACTTTTTTTTTTATTTATAAAAGACAACTCCCGCACTAGGAATAAATCCTGTGTCACGGGGGACTTTACAAACATACATGACACGGACACAAAGTACACCCAGACTCAGAACAACAATTTGTGGATCACACAAAGTGTTGTCGTAATAGGAAGCGGCGTGGCGACCGCTTAAACCACTACGCCATCCGTGCAGTCGTACTAAGACAATTATATCTCTTGCAGCTAATCAATTTTCATTTACACTATCAATGTGTTGATAGTGGTGTGTTTTTTGATCTTATTAAGTCTAGTAAAATTATTATTTTATTCAAATCTGGTAGTACATCTGACCCAACTAACTTTAGACCTATCTCAATACTACCAGTATTTATCAAAAAATTAAAAAAAAATATGTACCTATACAAAGACAATAGACAATTTGGTCTTAGAAGGGGTCACTCCACAACTGATGCTAGTGTTGAGCTAGTAAACATATATTTGATGCCTGGAAAGATGCCCACGATTCTCTAGGTATCTTTTGCGATTTATCTAAAGATTGATTGTGTTGTTCATGAAACGCTGATCATTAAATTACAGCATTATGGTATCAAAAATTAAGCACTGGAACTTCTTGCTTCATATTTGGATGATAGGATTCAAAAAGTTGATATTAATAGTGAACGGTCTCCAGGCTCTGTGGTAGAAATGGGTGTTCCCACAAGGTTCTATTCTCGGCCCTTTTCTGTTATTAGTATATATTAACGACTTACCTCACTTTGTTAAGGACAATCTTGAGATTGTGTTGTTTGCAGATGATACATCACTACGATTAAGACTAAAACGGACACTTCTAAGACGTAAACAACGCCATTTCGAAAGAGGTTTATTGGTTTGTCATCAACAATTTGCTTTTAAATGAACAAAAAACCAAGTGTATACGCAAAACCAGTGAAAACTACTGTGATGATTCCTTAATCATTATGTTGAGTTGGACCTTGTGGATACTACATTTTTAGGTATAACACTAGATTCTAAGCTACATATTGATAAATTATCGAGTTTAGGTCAGCAGCATACGCACTAACAAAAATTTGAGAGTTGATTGATGTTGATACAACACGACTTGTCTACTTCAGTTATTTTCACAGCATAATATCCTACGGTATTCTACTGTGGGGCAATGCTGCCGACATTCAAACTATTTTTGTACTGCAAAAGAGCGATTCGAGCACTTTATAATTTAGACAATTGTTTTTCATTGAGGCAGAAATTTAAAGAAATAAACATAATGACAGTGGCATGTCAACTTAAATATGACAATGTAATATGTTCATTAAAAAAAGGATAGCTTTTTGGAAAAAAGTGATGTACATTCTATAAATACCAGAAATAGAAATAAACTCGTAGTACCTGCATCTAGGCTCCAGAAGATAAACAAGCCGTTTCGAGGTCAATGTGTCCCATTTTATAATAAAATCCCAAATGATAGTCAAGACAAGTATGAACAAATTTAAGTCCGCAATTAACCGTAAATTGTGTCATACAAGACAAAAATGTTTGGGGATAATTTAGCTTAAGTGGAAATGTGATGTGGGCTACGGTGTTTTTTATTTATTTATTTTCTATATTTTATGTATCACTTGACTTTCTCTTTTACTTGATCTTTTTTCCTAATCTAATTTTTCTCTTTATGGTATTTTTCCCTTTTAATCCTTAATAATCTTTCTTCTTCTCATAAGGCTCAACCACTTGGAAACAGACGGTTGTGGATCCGCACAGGCTATATCACAGATTTTGTGTAAGCATAATTTTCCTAACTATTTGACAGAACAGAGATCTTGCTATTGTGTGTGTTGATCTTCGACCTACAGTCTAAGGTACCTGAGGGTATTAAGGCCTAGCTAAGGGAAATTAGTAATAAAATGAAAAATATCCAACATAATCAACAAGTTTTATTATGATTCAGTCATGTACTTAAATTACTACAGAGTTTAAACAAAAAATAGCTTCTCTAGCTTAAAACCATAACAATATATAACCTTTTTAAAAACGCAGTCTGTAGGCCTTATTATACTAGGGTAGGGTAAAAAGGCCTATACTTTAAACTATCCAAAAATCAACTTATACTACATAAATTAGTATTCTTGAGATCAATAATCATTAACATAAAGCAATAGGAAACATAGTGGTCTTAGAAAATTGAATAAATTGCCTTTATTCGCATTCATCAGGACATTGAAATTCATCAGTATCTTCTGCAGTCAAACCGACACACTCTTCGTGGTACCACTTGGAGCATCGCGAGCATTGCCTCATCGCATCGTCCATTCTATCTTCTTTGCAGGCATGACAGTACCAACTCACTTGTTTTTGTGATTTACCTTTGACGGTAGTAGACTTTTTTGCAGATACGATTTTAGCTTTCTTAGGATTTAAAGTCTTTTTAAACTTCGTTTTTTCTTTTCTACCTGTTTTAACATCAGTAAAGTTTTCGTCTTGTTTATTTTTCTTTCTTTTGTTACCTTTCACTTCTTTACTATTTATTTTCTCTTGATTATATTTATCAAATAGATCTTTTGTGATTGGAGTACCTCGATAATTTATGGCTTTTCGTCTAACAGTCGGTGTGCATGTTTGAACTTTAACAGGCGTAGGCAGAAGATCATAAAAATCATTTTTTTTCAACCGACTGAGTGGTAAATCATCAGATTCATCTGAATATTTGTTCCATTGTTGTTCCATAAACTTGTTCCATAAACTGTGCGATAATAGCTGCGTTGCACGATTGATTCTCTTGAGACCTGACCTGTGGATGTTGATGCTATAGCTGGTGATTGCTTAGTTGGTTCTGGCGTCGCTGTTTGAAGACAATCAATAGGTGAAATATTTCCAAGCGAGACATCGGGTATTGGAATCGATGTCAAAATTGATGGTGAACTAGCGGCAGATTTTGAACTCTTCTGTTGATCATTATTAATAGGTGTTATATTTTCTTGATCATCTTGGCGTTTCTCTTGGCGTTGGGGCTTCCGATAAAATAGACGGTGTTGTATCTCCGGATTCTGAAGCTTGTGCATGAGGATGTTCGAGAGCTGGTGCGTTTTCTTGTGCACCATCTGGTGCAGGAGCTTCCGTTAAAATGGAAGGGGCAAAAGCTGTTTCTGGTATGGCCTGTGGGTTGAAGGGGTACAAGCCAGTCGCTTTAAAGCCACTCGTGAAATTGCTGTGTGTCATACATTTAGACCAAACGCTTGAAAGAATGATGTTAAAGCGTGCTTTAGTGAGTTTTTTATCTCTGTTTTGGTCCAAAAATGATAACAATTCAGCATCCCAGTGGTGCTCGAATGATCGATATACGGCTTTGTCGAGGGGCTGTAATTCATGGGTTGTGTTTGAAGGTAGGCAGTACAAATTAATGCCAAGTGAATCGGATATATCGACTATGGAAAGATCTAATTGACATGCTGCTCCATCGAATATCAAAAGGCATGGTCCCTGGCTTTTGTATCTAGACAAGTGTTTTAAAAATATTTTGAAAAGTTCATTGGTCATATACCCCTTTGCTGATTTTTCTACTAAAGATCCTTGAGGCAAATTATCGTACAATTCTGGTTTCAAACGTTTTCCCTTAAATATGACCATAGGTGGTATGGTTGTGCCAAGAGCATTAACACATCCTGCGATGGTAACGCTTTCAGCATGCTCAGAAGCCTGCAAATGAACCCTTTTAGCCCCTTTTTTGGCCAAAACACTTTGCTGGTGGTGGATAGTGAGACGGCATCCTTTCTCATCCATATTATAAATTTTCTCGGGATGATCATATAAGTCAAATTTATTGTAGATATCTCTCAGTTTTTTAAAATGGTCATCAACGATAAATTTATTTAGCTTTTGAGCTCTAGCTGGGTTCATGAATTGCGCTTTTCTTACGGATATTTCATGGTGTCTTTTCATGAACGCTTTGAACCAATCTTTGCCTGCGCGTTTGCCCTCATCATTAAAATTGTGTTTTATATTATTTTGCTCACAATATTTATATACCAATCGACGCAATATTCTTGGTGTCACCGGCAAGCCCATTTCAGAATACCGGATTATCCTTTGCACAAGTTGAGCTTCCTCTTCATCATTTAATATAGGTTTACGTCCCAAACTTTTCTTTAAACTGCCAGACTGCAGATGATTCCTGATTGTTCTTCTAGGAACCTTATATCTCTCTGCAGCCTTATACGTACTCAAAGTTCCTCTTTGTACTGCTCTAACAGCTGCGATCAGATCGTCTTCTGACCACAATGCCCGTTTGGGAGCCATCGTGACCGTAAGCACTGAAAACAATGATAAATAAATTGAAAATGTATAACTACGTACATACTACCCACCAACAAACATTTTAATAACACACTTCTACTTATATAGCAGTTTAAAAAAATAGGAGTAAAATAAGGCCTATTGTAAAATTTTATAGGCCTTAATATCCGCCAACCACGTGGTTACAGAAAAAAAGAAAATAAAAATTTTTACAACTACAAGTCCTTTAATACGGTAACCTAGGGACAAGCATACATTAATTAATAAACGGACAGTCAATACAGGTTTGTAAATATGATATTTTCAAAATAACTTACGTTTTACTGAAGCCAATTTTTATAATTCGTGCCGCGTGACCGCACCGCTGAATGATTTCGACGACACTGGCGGGGGGAGAAGTGAACTCGTTCGTCCGCCACTTCGCAGCGACTTGTATACGCTGTGAGCTTGTGTGAGTGTAACCTTGATCGTCAATTACAGTATTTCGTACGTTTTTTGTTACTTAGGCCTTAATGCCCGACAGGCCTTAATACCCGCGGGTACCTTACATAAAAGACGATTTCAACATTTTTTTTTTAATTAATTAACGATATTTTGAACTTGCAATTTGAATAGACTAGATGTGAAAAAAGCTTGGGAGTCTAATAGTATCATCGAGAGAAATAGAGTAGAGAGTAATAAAACTGACACAAATAACACAGGTCTCTCCAGTCCCGAAACCACCTTCACCACAATTTCCGTCTAAGTTAATTAATCGATATAATGTATAGAATCATTTCCAAGTTTAAAAATAAAACAAACGTGTTTATTACTACTGGACCTGGTCTGCAATTAATTTAAAATATATAAAATGTAGGTAGATGTGTCCACTTAAGTAAAAACATGTAGGTTGGCCTTGAATTATCTTAATAAAAAGCTATTATAATATTTTTAGTACATGGTTTAAATAATTAATGTTTTTTTTTATTTTAAGCGTCTTCATATTATCTATTTTGATAATCTGACAATGCATCATTACTACAATGCCATTTGCCCGTAACTTTGAGCTTCGAATGAGGAGGCCATCTAAGGATGATACTGTGCTTAAGGAATATGTTGCCTAGTTAAGCAATAAGTCCTAAAAGTGTCACAGAACAATTAACTTTCGGTTGCTTTTTTTTTACGATGGCTGCCTACGATGATGATACAAGCATACCTGATAGTAAGTGAAACTTTTTTGTAACCACCCACCGCACGCCGTCTCGAGTACCATTAGCCGGGGAATCAGATGTAACCTAGAAAATATATCCCTGGTACCCCCACGGACTCCGGGCCAACTTCGGCTTACAGATGGCCCCCTCTTGAGTGAGGATTACGGTGTCCTCTTTCTTCTTTCAACGAAAATCTTTCAACTGGTTAATACCAGGGGTTGTAGTTGATCTAGGGATTAGTGATCCTGCATTCTCACCCAGAACAAATACCTAATTGTGTAATGAACACGATCGCTACTCCTTTGTTTGGCGGTTTTTTATAATTTTATAATTTTAAATATGTATGTATTATATATATATTTAGTACCTATAGATACTGCCGCCGCACACTGGACCGCAGCGGTTCTATATATACCAGATAAGGAAATGGTAAACCTACTAGTATCAGTTTCGTTAATAATAAAAGATGATTCATTTTACAAATTAAGTTCTTTGTACGTAAAATCACGCCAATGTGCTCATCCAAGAGAAGGTCAGCGTTTTGAAAAAAAAACTAGCATGTTTTTAATTTGCATTTGAATGATTACGAATAGAACCTCTTTAACTCCGGTGGTGATAATGAAGGATGCTGTGATAATGTTTTCAGCAACTAATTTCGCGTGTTATTTTACGTGTCTCTATATAAACCATGTTTATAAATAAATTTACCACGTTACTAATTAATGTCAATCAAAGAAGACATTCGCTCCATGAAAATTTCAAATACCTGTTACGGTTCAAAAGATACAGTGACATGGTTCAAAAGACATTCAGATCGAGGAAAATTGGCAAAAAATAAAGCTTCTTGTAAGGATCAAGTCTTTGCTTCTAAATTATATTTTATTTTTATACTCTGTGCAACATTTATGCAATATTTACAGACATTCATTTGCAATAAATAGACATGATAATTACAATTCCTCTTCTTAATACTCGTAATTATCTAAGTATTTCTTTAATGTTGTTAATACAGTGGTTAGTTATTATATTTATATTAGCTTTTTCTGGTAGCTAAGCTAAGGTTAAACAGAACTACTTTTACGTAATATATGAAACGATAAATAACGTTTTACATAACACTATAAATACGACACATAACGGATATAACATACAAAAACAAGTTAGCTTTAGCTCTTCTCTTGTGTTTACTTTAAAACCGTAATTTCAACTCGAATACAAACACGAGTTTGACACGTCCACTTGGTAAGTGTCAAAACCGAGTCACTTGTGCAGTATCCTTTGCGCTAGTTAACTCACATAATGAAACGCTTTTTCAAAGAGATGGCTAAAACCTAGCTCGGTTTTAGTGCAATCCTCTATTGAGATACGTCATTTGAATGCGTCAGCCTTGAGTACAAATTCTAAAACAATTGTAACTTCAGTCTCTAGTTTGTAAAAGTAGCTACTCGAAAGTTACAATCGGTCAAAGGTGGTCCCTCGGTCATAACTGACAGCCATCCATATCTCCTAACCTAGTTAAAATTTACAACTGCTATAAATGGCTACTCTTTGTAAAGGATTTGTTGTGTGAAAACTAATTGATTAAATATCAACCTTGCCCGTTCACTAAATAAAAGAACTAGCAGTATTAAAAAGCTTAAAATTCAAAGGTTGTCCCTCATTGAGAACGCAGGTTCGGTTTTTCATCAAATTTGCAATAGCTCTAGTCTACAGAGGGTTCTCAGTCGATTAGTGTCGACCTCCACGAGACAGAAGTTATGCAAATCATAAAAAAAAGTAACAATATTTAAAAAGGATCTAACTGTTCTGGTAACTATTTGGTATATTACTTTAAAAGAGTATTACACTATATAAATTAGTATCTCATATAATTAGAACCGCACAGCGAAATCTACAATAAAATAAAAAAGGTCATTAGCGTCATAGACTAACATCTCACTGCACTAGTTAGTGACATTTATTAGAGCGGGTCTATAACTCAGACAGGTCACAGGTAATTTTTGAAGGCGGTCTAGATTAGGAAACTGTCGACTGTCGTGTGTGTTGCGCCCGCGCAGATAATAGTCGGGCGCGGCTGACACACATTCACTATTCATAAAGAGCTATAATTGTCACTTTATTTTATTAAGTTGTTTATTAACACAAATTTTCATTCGAGTAAATTATATTACTCGAATTTAGATAAATATCAATAATAAAGATCGATTGAGTATCTAGTTACCATATTTGTATGTATTTCCAACCAATAGAATAATATTATTATAGTATACTATGGTACCTAGATGTATATCACCAATATAATTGTAGGTATATTATTGTAAATCTACTTTAATACCCGAGTCGTCAAAAGAAGAATGAAAATTATCAATTTCATTAGACATTCTCATCTACTTCATTTCTAAAATGCCAATGCCATTACCATTGCCATTCCAAATACATGGAAATCATCGCCACTGACATTCCTTGACGAAATACATTCACCGTCAGCTACTCTACTAAAACTTTTTCCTACGAATAGACTTTTTCGTTATGACCAGGTGCTTGTTGTTGCTTGTAATTTTTTAATATTTTTTATGTTCGCAAGTCCTGTTCTATATAGCAGTAGAAATTTCTTACAAAATAAGTATAATATTTCAGAAGCATTATGTATAAATAAAATCTTATTAACAAAATGTCTAACATTTGCCTAAAAACGATCTTCGATAAGTTTTAGGTAGGCAAAATTATCGAGTCGTGTTTTAAATTCTTTTTTTTTTGTTATACCGAACACAACGAATTTGATCGGCTTTAGATTATAAGGATATGAAGGCCAATAGCAAATTTGTCATGTTACGTGATATCCCTACTACGTAGCACGTACTATGCATGTAGCAATGACGACAATAAAAATTGTAACATGATTTTAAAAAAAACAAAGTTATTTCGTGTTTACGTTGTCAGCAAAATAAGCTAATCGGAAACACTTGTAAAAACTGTACCTAACTATATTTGTAGTTTTCTAACAATGTCAAAAACACGCTACGTTAGACAATAGAAATACATTATGACAAAACCTGCTTAATTTCGAGTTCTTTTTATAAACGTTATGAGGTATGTATGATTATTGATTTTACCTAAGTAAGTACAACAACAGCAGCTACAAGAATAAACACGTGTATGTATTCTTAAATTTGGTTTATGGAGAATAAAATTCACATACATTTTGATTCCTCTTATTTATTACCTCAGCTTTAACACTCCAATTAACAATACGTTACACAATAGTCATAAATATCATTAACGTAATACGGTTTAGGTCACTGCGTGTGCTCGCTTAGACAGATCTAGGTTACTTTTGAAGGCTTATAGATCCTGTTGTTCTGATTGTCAGAAATATAATCGTCAGTAACTGCCGGATGAAGTGATCATATTGTTGTCAGATAACTAATTTGTTATAAACGATGTTCCTTTGACAGTGTTAGATTCCTTTTTTACCAAGATCAGCCTAAACAAGATTATTGGTTGTTGTCGACTAGTGTATGTAGGCATGGGCAGCCACCGGAGCAGCGACTGCTTTGACTACGGCGGCACCGACAGGCTCCTTATGCACGACTGCGTTGAAACCGTTGTGAGGGTCAGCGGTGTACTCCACGATACGACGAGAGCCGTCAGGTTCCACTAGAGAGTATGAGCCTTGGACTACGTCGCCGTTACGGGATTCTTGTTGGTTCTTTGAGTCACCTGAAATATATATATATATCGCACCTTTAATAATAAACTGAATTAATTCAAAATTTACGTTTTTCGAGTTTTCAACAAATACCAAACCAACTTCATCAGTAGAACACGAACAATCCAACAGCCGACTCGATACCATGAAAATGGCAGAGATAAGAGATCGTCGTTCTCTTTTTGACGAACTCGCACGTACATGAATGTCAAACTTTAAATGCGATTTCCCACAATATTGAAATTCTAAGTTAATTCAGTTTATGAATAAAGGTGCGATAAAGGAACTAGTGTTTCAAGAGGGTCGGTAACATGTACGTTATTATTGGTGTTACAAAGCTTGTTTCAGCACCTAAATGGTAATTTAAAGACAAAAACATTACCTAATGCAATCTTTTCCTAATTATGTATTAACAGAGTAAAAGTTGATTAAAAGTTGACTTTCTTATTTAAAACAGTTTTTTGATAAATTTAACGTACTTGTGCAGTATACAGCAAATTACTTCCGCTCCTCTTCCCCAAAACCATACATTTTCCTAGAGAAATAAATAGGTGACAGTTTTAAATTTTAGATGTGTACCTTAAAAGTTTTGCCACCTTCCCCTTCTCAAGAGTTATAGCCTACTATACAACATCACGCTACTAACAATAGGAGCGAAGCATTAATGAAAGATGTTGCAAAAACGGGGAAAGTTTATTCCTTTTGAGAGATGCAAGCAAAGTTACCTGGGTTAATCTGTCAAATAGTTAAACAGTTGTTGTCATCAAATATGTAGTACGTACGCAGTGCTTCGTTAAATTTTAGCAATCAAACACATTATCCACAAACGACTCATTATGTACGATACTTAAGAGAGGCATAAGATGTTAAAAAACTACATAAATTTGATATGTAGATACTCGACTACAAACAATCCCTTAAAATTATCCCCTATAAACCTATCTTCCTCACGTATGTAGAAATGGGATCGTAAAAGATTCTAAATGTCTTTTAATGTCTTCTTTGAAATTTAGGTTAAAAAAATATAGCATTACAGAATAATTACCGGTAAGAGCATCCTGAATGTCATAAGCGAAGGAGTACTGGGGATTGGGATCGTATTCGTCGACAGGTGCTGCCACCTTGGCGACGGCACCGACCAATGGCGCTGCGACATGGTGTGCAATAGCTGGCCGAGCAACCGCATAGGGTGCTGAATAAGCTAAAGGATGTGCATAGGCGTACGGTGCAGCTACAGGCAGAACACCACCAAACGCTCCTTTGCACACCACCAGGAGAGCTGCTACGATTATGACCTAGTGAAAAGGGATTTATAAATGTATTTATTTAAATGACTATTTATAACTGTCTTATAATATATTTTGTTACGTGAATACATTAAGTAGGTACTGTAAGTTTTCAATTTTTATTCTTATTTTAATTGTAACTAATATTATTTCATACTTAGTCTGTCAACCTCAAAATATTTTACTAAGAATATTTTGATCAAAATGTTGATATAATAGAAAATGTTACTGTACCTTCATGTTGCGTGAGTACCTTCGGTGGCTCTGACTCGCTGTGAACGCTGAGGGTTGTGCATGCGACGCTTTTATACACATGCACATGACTGATTTAATACACCCGTCTAGAAAAACCTTAAACTGTCACAGCTGGCCCTGTACCCTTTAAGATACCGGTTGAATGCTTCAATAATACAATTCTAATTCGAACTAATAATTTGTTCTAGATGACCGAACATTTTTAAGATATTCAGCATTTAAATTTTTTTGCAGGGCACTAACTTGCCGCGTTTTCATATTATTTCTGAGAATGAGCTGAACATACTTCCGCTCGATGCTTTAGTTACTTCAACTACAACCATAATTAAAATTGCTACCAATAATAAGCTTAGCTGGCAACTTGGTAACCCATTTTTTTTATGAATACCATCCACAATGGTTTGTCTTTGCATCTTTATCCTAAAAAAAACAATGAAGAATACGAAGGCGTCTCCTGTTGTTTCACAATAGAAACTGTTAAGATGATATCCGTGATGACTTACAACTGATCGTTATTAACTTCTTGAAGACAAGGGCAGGCAAAAAGTAATTTATTTGTCCTTAAGGTTGGTTTTCTGTAAAGACCACCCAGTATTTCTGTAATCTTAATGTTAATGTATTAAAAAGTTACAATTGAAATACTTTAAATATCTTATTACATAAAACTGTGAGGCATTGCCAAAATTACATCATTTTTCATGCCATATTTATCAACAATAATTTCTGTTTGATTAACGATTCTCAGATGCCTTCTCCTTATACTGACTGATATTTTCGTGAGTCCATTGTACAATATGCAGGGAGGTGGTATAACTAGATGTTAACTTTCTGGGTCACAGCTGCACGTTATCAAAGTGCATGTGTGATAGTGGTCACACAAGCGTTGAGATAATTCATAATAGTCGAGCCGTGTACGTACAATAGATCTATATCTAGGAGCGAGTGAGTTACTGTAGCATGTATGTTACATGTACGTGACTAACAAGATTATAAATCACTCAAATTTTATCAAATACAGAACTAAAATAATTATTTAAATGGATATTTTAAATGGATTTTTATTGTTGAAATTGTATATATGTACATATTATTTCGAAATTTTATATAGCACTAGAAAAGTATTAATAGCACTGATGCAAGGTAAAACTAAAAGGAGTTTAAGTTTTATCTTTAAATAAATGCTGTTTTATTCTGTTAATGAAATAATTAATTATTTTATGTTTACGCTTATTATTCCATTATTTAATTTTATAATTAAATGGTCTATGTAACACTAAAAAATCTTATACATTTTTTTCACCCAGATCATGAATTAGTCATTACAAAATCAGATTTGAAGATATTCTGACGATGGAAATACCACCACGGATCATAAATCCATTTGATGAAACGGAAGTGGAGAAAGTGATACTTAGGGTATACTGAATGTTTCTGGATTCTAAAAATAAGACTAGATATAAGACTTACGATACATTGTTTATCCATACATTTATTATTTTTCACTCAATCTATCACTCAAATTTTTTGGTACTAGGTGTTGTCGTTGGATGACACAGTGAATTGTAGTTACCTCTGGTATAATTCTTTCAAGATGACTTTTAAACCCACGATATCGCCCGACCATGGCAGGAGCTCCATCTGTTGCCACTGAAATAACGTTTGTGAATGGAATCGATTTTTCCTTAAAAAAACACTGAGGACGATAAATATTGACTCACCTTTAGTGTCCGTCTTCAAAGATTTCTGGTAGCTCTTTATGAATTTCTTCGTCCATAACAAATCGAACATATGCCAATAATAATGCCTCATTACCCGGTAAAGTTGTTTCACAAAAAATAGTATCACTTTTGAGAACAAAGAATGTGTGCGTTTTTTCCCGAAAATTTATCTGTGCATAACTCAGTTCAACAAATAAAATAATCAAATCACAGCGATTAATAATTGAAGCCCAGTTTTCCTATAATTTAACACTAGTATAGAGAAAAACGCAACTGGATTTAATATTTAACTTTTCGGGGAAATTTGCATCTGGGGAATAATGCCACTAATCGATAAAATACATAAATAGCTTCCATTTTCAAATTGTATGTTGGAGTTAGAAATAAACGGTCAATATAGTGATCTTATTTTGGAACAAAAAAAAAGAAAGAAAAACATTTAATATTCGAAGCCCACTCTTAGGTACAATAAAACAAAAGTAAATAAACAGAATAATAACTATGAACTAAAATATTCTATACCACTAAATATTCTATACCACTAAATATTCTATACCACTAAATATTCTATACCACTAAATATTCTATACCAGCTCAGCATAATGCTGCATATCAACTATTATTGTGCAATGTGCAGCGCTTATTACGCCTCTGAAAAGAGACGTCACGCTAGTGTTATGCCAAAAATATTAATAAAAAGAAAGGAACCTTGACTGGCATCCGACTTCAAAAAAGGAGTAGGTTCTCAATTTTGGTTCTTATATATGTTTTCTTTATTTAATAATCTTTTACAGGTAATAAAATCCAAGAAAGGAAATTTTCATCAAGCCACATATTTATCCTTTCACCACCACCTTTCATTTCGTGAAAGGTGGTGGTGAAAGGATAAATCTCCTGAAGGATATATCGTAGCGTTATTTTTGATTTGATAAAATTTGATTTGGTAAAAGAGGATAAGATTTACTTTTAGGACTAAGGGTTGGCCATTCATTAATGAAACGGTAAATCGACGACCCGTTAAGCCTAAACTCTGTATTCGTCCGTACTACTGGGTCACCATAAGTGCCAACTCAACACATTAGTGATAAATGAGTATTTATTTTAAACATTCCCTCTCGCTGGTAGCACTATTATGCCTCTACATTGCTCTGGCAAGCTGGTTGTCTATCATGTCATGTACTCATTTTTTGACTTTTTACGTCTTCAACAATATCTAACGAATGCTGACCAATACAATTTATTTTAAACTAGCTGACCCGCGCAACTTCGTCTGCGTCTCTCAATAGTAATAAATTTTCTCCGTTTTTGAAACATTCTTCATTGGTGCTCCGCTCCTATTGGTCTTAGCGTGATGATATATAGCCTATAGCCTTCCTCGATAAATGGGCTATCTAACACCGAAAGATTTTTTCAAATCGGACCAGTAGTTCCTGAGATTAGCGCGTTCAAACAAACAAACAAACAAACTCTTCAGCTTTATAATATTAGTATAGATTACAATTTCCATATAATAAATATATTTATGTATATAACATTTTCCTTACAGCACCATCTAGTAAAAAACCTTACACTAAAAATTTCCTAAACATGTTAACATACACACTTTATTTATTAGCAGGAAACATGTATTCTTTTACTTTAAATTGCATTTCTATTAAACTCTTTTTAATAATTATGTCTTTATTTACAAGTTAAAACATTTCAACGGAATTAAGAAACATCAGTGTCATCCGTTTAGAAATTCCATTAATAAATATTTGGTGTAGCAACACGGTGTTTTTCTGTTTATGAAACGAAACGTCACTTTTGACTTTCTGTATTTCTTTTTTCGTGAATGTCTAAAATACGACAAACACTGTGCTTTGTTATGTATTTATAATATACGGAATTGATTTTTTAACTAGTGTTAAGTACAATGGCAGACTTTGATGCGATATATCCTGATGAGACGGAAATTGAAGAGAATATAGAAGAAACACATGTGACTCTAGTGCCTGATCCGATAATCGTTCGAGGGGCTGGTAACATGACAGTGTAAGGCTCTCTTTGTATACCCTGTTTAATAAACATTAGTTATTAGCTTTACAACACATTCAAACTGGGCTTACAAAACGTTGTGTTTTTATGTCTTAGCGAAAAGTTATCCATGTTTCTTTGTCATTGGACCTGTGGCATTGAGAGGCTATTTCTTTATGCAAAATGTTGACCAGGCGCCAATTTTCATTTTGTAATTTTCTTGCGACTCTCAGAATCAATCTACATTAAAAAACTCTACATGAAACAAAGTTGGAACTTCTATACATAAGTAATAACATACCATTTCTTAAACTACTGTATTCTAAATATATCAACTATTGTATGAGAATGTATATCATATAGTTTTAGTACCTACATATTAAACAGATCTAGAAAAGAGACTTTAATTATGCAATCCTCAATTTGTAGGTTTTTGTAATCAAATTAATAAAAAAGTACCATGACCTGCTTAAAAACACAAATATCTTTTGCAGTACAAGAATGTTTCTGCATTATCAGAATAGTTAATTAACAATGTACTTTGTAAAGAAGTTCATAAATTGGAAACTTTTTAAACTCTGTATTAAAATTCTTATTTTAAATGTACAAAAAACATACCTAGACATTAAAATAAAAATTTGTTATTCTTGTAAGAGGTGCTGATGACTCAGAAAGTCAGCAAATAATATGTACATATTATATGCACAGTAGATAAAGACAGCCATTACATTTTTAAGTGCTTAGTCAACATTGAGTTTATAGCTTTAGGTTTAAGTTCTGTAAATTTTTACAATACTTTATTTATGTTTATTATTTATTTTCACCTTTCTTAGAAGACTATATGTTCTATGTCCAGCCATTTATGAGTTACATTAGTTTATGAATGCTATTTTTTTATTTAAACTTTTACTGGCAGGTTTATAATTCAATGAGTAGAGTTGTGATGTAGAACTTATGTTCATAGAGGATAAGAGGAGGAACAACACAAGATATTTTAACTTGAATAATAGCATTAATGGGGAAGTACCTTTATTCAACAGAAAAAAGAGTGAACTATCAAATAAGGGAGTAAAGAGAAGGAAAACTTAAAACAAACCCTATACCATCCTGTCTGTAGTAGGTCTAATAGATGTCACAGTAGTATAGTAGGTCAAAACCTCTTTCTAAGGAGAGGCCTATATTTAGCAGTGTACTACTAAAATCTGTTGATGATAATGAAAATTCTAGCTGTCAGCAGTTTTTCAATATACATTATTATTATTATACATTTTAATATTTTCAAATTTTACATTGTAGCACAGTTTAAAGAGCTCTGACTTTCGGCAAAAGCCAATTTGAGGTATAGGTATGCAACCCTGACTCACTTGTACTTTTTTTAGTTGCTTTGTTAGTTTAGTTGTGTTGTTTTATGTTTAGAAACTGAAATTATTGTTTTAATTAGTAAATATGTAATTTTAACCTTGTTCAGACGATAGAAAACTGTGTATAGAATGTTAACCTACATTGTAAACCTAATTTTATTAAGTTATTAATAGACTTGCAACGAATATTCGGTTACTATTCGGTATTCGGCCTATTCGGCTGCTTTTATTATATTCGGCCGAATACCGAATATCTACATATTATTCGGCCGAATACCGAATACTTAAATAATATATTTTGTCATTGAGAAATAATTGGTAAAATGAAAAATTAAAAACGATTGATTACGTATATATTCATATTTTTATTTCTGTTATAATCATTTAAGTAGTCATTGGTGCATAACACAGGTACATAATCATCTTCTGAATTGGAAAAATGGAGGATTCTATGTATTTGAATTATTGTGGTAATCAAAATTTAGAAGGGTAAGGTTCTCATTTCTTTTATAATCATTTATTAAGTAGTCATTGGTACATAAAACAGGTACATAATTTAATTCACGTCTGTACAAGTTTTTGGCGCTAAAATCCAGCCGAATACTTTTGCATAACATTCGGCTATTCGGTCAGGGGCCTCGCCGAATATTCGGTATTCGGTATACTGCCGAATATACTATTCGTTGCAAGTCTAGTTATTAATATTTTACCCATTTGACGTGATTGTAGTCTGTAGTTAAATATGTAAATCTTTTTTGTCTCTTTGCAAATTAGAGAAGTGTGAAAATTCTTATTCCTCCAATTATGTTACTTACATTTCAAGACAGATTAACTTTATCTGAAACTCCTCTGTCATGGTTTGCCACTGTTGTTGAGTCTGTTTCACTGAAGTCAGAGTAGTTGTGATGGAAATTGAATTGGTTCTTGTAAACAGGGTACTCAAGTCACTTTTATCATTAATAAATGTATTATTTATAAATTAATATATTATTGTATGTAGATAGGAGAGGAAAATTATTTTGTTAAGGAAGCTTCATAATGGACCTACTCATTGAGCTGTCCTCTGTTATTTGAAAATATTTATTTAAACCTCTATAATTTTTTAGTATCATGTGTTACTAATTATTTCAATTTCGTATCTTGTGTGTGTAGCAATAAACTTTTTAATTCTTTACTTTGAATGTCTGTACAAGACAAACACATTTGAATTTCTCTTTCATGTCAGGTCCAGATTTACATCCCAATATAATTTGTTCTAACACAGTGCACAATACTTAAACATAGTACACAATTCTTAAGTGTGCTCTTAAGTAAAAGAGCCTTACGACTACACTGTGATCTGCCTTTATATTGGGGCTTGATTGACCTTAGTATTCATCGGCTACTTTTTCAGTTGCCCAACCACAATTACTAAAGCAATCATGTTTATTATCTCCTCGCTATCTAATCTCCTTTTCCATATGTATTGATGAATCCGGCGGTGCTTCGATTCATCTGTAGGTTCACATATGGTGAATAGCATAGCTTTTTCATGAAAGATATAACAGAGAGTGGCCACTCTTGGTAATATCTTTCATGAATTGTACACTTTGGTATATGACAGTTTTCACACAATCCTCAGCACCAAAATCCCCAGCCATGATTACTCTTAAATTTCGTTATCTAAGCCTAGGTGTAAAAATCAGCTTTAGTCTCGCCTCTAGAAAACGAGGATTGACAGATTCACACTCTTGTAACTTTCGCTCAAGAGGAACAATGCCAACGCCTCCTTTAGGCAGGCAGCTGCCTACCCATCTGAATCGCCTGTTTGTGCCCGTTATCCCTTCTAGGATAATGTTAAATTATGCCTGGTTTTTGTCGCTCTTTTGAAGAAATATGGTTGTGGGCCACACACGTCTAGTCGCTCATAATCTAATCGGTACACTTTCACAAGTAGGTAAGGAATTTGATTGTTTATAATTTCGTCAATTTAGTTTAAATATGCCTGCTTGTTTTTCACTATAATCTAACATATATTATCACTATCACTGTCGGCAACTATCTCTGCTATAATGTGTACCTAAATATAAAAATAGGTAGAGTAAAATACATCTATCCCCATTGTGTGGTCCGGTTTCCGAATTTAGAGGCAAGATGGTCGTTTATGCGTCGAGGATAGGTTGCAAGTAAGTGGTGGTGAGACTTCAGTCAACACCAGTTTAGACTGTCTGCAGCCGGGTGAGTTTTTCCACCTTCGGTGGTGTGCTTCACGAGTACGCTGTCTAACCTAGGATCGAACTTGGTTAAAAGGCAGATGTAGCAGTATGGTTGGGCCGGTGGCCGGGGTTGCCGAGCCCCTCCTTGCCAACTCATCTGCGACGTCGTTCCCGTGTGAATTACAATTCCATTTAATCCATTGAAATAGTTCCCCATTTACTGTGGCAAGCTGCTTCAATGCTTGATGACTTTCGAAGACAATACAAGAGCTCATTGTATTGCCCTCTAGTGCATTTAGGACGGCCATGCTGTCTGACAGTATTAATTCCCTTGACATTGCCGTTGTGGCGGCGTAAGTTATTGCCACACATTCGCATTGGAATATTGAACGGTGTTGGCCTAACGCTAGTGATATATTTAGGTATTAAAACTCTGGAAACAGTTCCTGACCTAGTCTTCGAACCGTCCGTGTAAATTCGGACTACTCGTTAATGCCGGATTGATCTCGGTCATTTTCTTGTATCTGAATCTGAATTCTTTTTGTAAAGATATGGTGTTTTGCTGCTATTAGTGGTTCGTATTCCACTAATTAATCCCATAGTTTGGAGTGCGATACCTCAGCTTTATGCCACAGACCCAGGTGTCTGAGTCTGATGATCGCCATGGCGGCCTCCTGCTGTATAACAAATCCAGTGAGGGCAGACCAAGGGCTACCTCCAGTGCCGCAGTTGGCGTCGTGCGCATACAGCCAGTGACCGCAGAGCATGGGAGTCGCTGAAATTGCTGCAATTTGTTTATGGCGGTGCTTAGCTCTGTTCTCTGCCACCAGACAATAGCACTGTAAGTGATTATTGGTCTTATGACTGTCCTGTAGAGCCATAGTGTAATCTTTAGTGATAGTCCCCAGCTTTTGCCGAGTAGCCGTGTGCATTGGCAGAAGACAATGCAGGCTTTGTTTGTTTTTTTCATCGAGTGCTTATTCCACAGAAGTTTACTGTCCAGTATAACTCCTAGGTATTCCTCCTAGGGATCGCAGGTAACGCTCTCAAAGGGACCACTGATAAGAATAGTCAGATCGTCTGCATAGTTTATTATCAGGAATCTACGGTCATTGAGTTTTGTAATGAGTTCATCCACAACTATGTTTCATAGAAGGGGGGGGAGAGTACACCGCCCTGAGGGCATCCTCTAGCCACCACCCCTCTAGTCACTTCGCTCACAGTAAATTGAATAGCTCCATTTCTTAGCATGCTGTCGATCCACCCTGAGATTGTGGAATCAACACCATGTCTAGACAGAGCTTGGCTAATGCTGGTGAAATTGGTTTTGTCAAAGGCACACTCGATATCGATGAAGGTGGCCAGTGTTGACCTATTTTGTTTTAAATTGCCTTCTATATGTGATACAACTCGATGTAGAGCAGATTCTGTTGATTTGCCCATCTAACTGACTAACGCAGTGCTCCTAATTTCCCTATCTATTAGCCTATCGAGAACCGTTAACAGGAAGGACATGAGACTGATAGCTCGGTGTGAAATGGAATGTGTGAACCTTTACCAGGTTTGGGGATGAAGACTACTTCAAATTCTCTCGCGAGGCAGCCTAGGGAGATACCATCTAGTCCTAGCGCCTTGAATGGCAGGAAGCTGTTAATTTCCCAAATGAGTTTATTACGGTTGACAACATTGCGGGCCGTGTCCCAGTCTTTATCGTCTGGTATTTTTTACCACTTGCCTTCCCATGTTTCCATCACATCTGTTATGCGACATCCAGGGAAGTATGTTTTCAATAACAGCTCTGAGGCTTCCGAGTCTGTTTTTGTATACTCACCATGAGTTCGCCTATTAGCTATACAATATGTTTTTGACTCTGTTGGCCTGGTTCTTGTTTTCAATGTTGGTACAGAAGCTTTTCCAGCATTTAGTTTTCCTGGTTCTGATTCGCTTCTTATATTTTTGCCGGGTCTGTGTATGGGCATCTCAGTGTTGGTCTAGTCGGGTGTTTTTTGCTTTATTGAACATGTTTGTTCAAAGCAATCGGTCAGTGTTTGTTTAAGGTTGACAAGTACAAGGCTGTAAGTGTCCGTAACAGTCCCCGGAGCATATGTTGAGTCAATGCTTCGCAGTAAGATGCTCATACCATTTCTGGTCCATCTTACGGGGATTCCGTCGGGGATCGGGTGGTTTAAGATTCATTTCAAAATTGAATTTGATCCAGCGATGGTGCGAGCACGATGCTTCGCTCGAAACATGCCAGTTCGAGATGTGTTGCGATGCGTGCTCACTCGCTAAAGTTAGATCAATGATAGTTTGGGCTCTAGATGTAACAAATGTCGGCGCCGAGCCTATGTTGATAATGTTCAGCTTTGGATCAACCAAGCTAGGTATTTGTATCGTTCCTACTAGCTGGCTAGTAGGAACAATACAAATTCCTTGTTGTTGCTCCTGCTATCCCACAGCGTATGATACGCGTTGGTGTCAGAAGTTTTTTTTTTACCAGCCAGTCATCGTGTCGAGTGGGCAGGGCGGCAGCACGGGACCCTTTCCTTTCGGCTGACGCAGGTCCTTTCCAGGCACGGCTGCTTTGGGAAGTACCTGCACTCGGTCTTTAGGAGGGAATTGAGTCCCGCCTGTCACCACTGCGATTGCAGTGAGGACTCGGCTCAGCACACGTTGGCAATTTGCCTGGCTTGGGTCAGGCCGGGTTCTCACTGCAGTCACCGGGGGGTTCTCGCTACCGGCCATCATACGCTCCATGGCCGGTAGTGACAGATGTTTCACCGCGGTCGCATCCTTCTGCGAAGACGTCATCTCGCAGAAGGAGGCGGCGTAGAGGGCCCGGGAGGACAACCTCCACTCGGACCCAATCCGCCGCCGTCAAACCGGGCGGCGAAGGCGCGCTTACCACCTCCTCATGCCGCCCTGAGTGTAGCCGCGGGTGGACGGGACGGGGTTTCCCCTCCACCCGCCATAACGGCCAGCCACGAGGAGGCTACGTCCGCGTGTGCCTGACGTCGCCTAAATAGAGAATGTACCCGAAGGTGGTGCCCGTGGTGGTGTGGTTTTAGTCGGTCCGACTCCCACACACCACCCCGCCGCAAACCCCGGTGGGGTGACGGCCCGAAGGGCTTTCCACACGTAAAAAAAAACAAGAGGGCCATTTCTGGCACTTCGTCCGGGTTTGTTGGTGGGGCGGAACGTTCGTCAAGGAAGCGAACGTAGAGGTTGCCTAGTTTATAGTAAACTCTCCGCTCGCTTGCCTTTAATTTTGAAACTCATTAATTAATTTAAAATTTTATACAATTTTACGTTAAGAATCAATAGGGGTGAAAAGCAATAATAAATTACAAATATTCTATTCTGTTAAATTTTATACAAGTAGGTAAAGCGAGATCTTAGTTCCTTGTTAAAATAGGAATCACAGCCAGTATAATATAAAAAGCATATGTTTACATTCCAGTTTTGGTCTAAGCAACCGATTCAACTGCGAGTTCCCTTCGGGCCTGCAATCACGCGTTGCTCCAGAGGAGTATCAAGCGACGGTGGCGCGGATCAATAGTGTATTAAAAAAGACGTTACCTGTAAACGTCAAGTGGCTCTTCTGCGGCTGCGTATGCTGCTGCTGCACTTTAGGCTGTTCTCTCTGGCCAGTTATATGCCTGAGTAAAAGGGTATGTACACTGCAATGTTTTCCTCATAATAATAATCTTTAAATATTATAAAATAAAGTCGCTTTTTTGGGTTGTACGCTTAGATATTTTATACTAAGCAACGGATTTTAATGCAGTTTTCACGAATAAAGAGAGTGATTCAAGAGGAGGGAGGAAATACGAGAATTTTAAATATTTATCGTAAAAAAATGATTTTGTGGGCTTACATAGCAAACGCTGGCTAAACCTTACGAGATAGACCAAAATAATATACTAAGGAATTGTATATCTTAAAAGATCTACAAAAAAGTCTGCGATCGTATATGTCTATCTCCTAAGGATAACCATTTTTTACTATCTATTTCCGTTATTCTCGAAATGAACGAACGAACGAAACGATTCGATCTAGGTTATTTACGAAACTATTTTCAACAATACATTATTATTCCTTATCCAATCAAATACGTTGTGCATTTGATGTAGATTAAAATTACTGTTTACAGCATATCACTAAAATATCTATTTTAGACGATATTAGAGTTTTAAAATGCCAACGACCGTCAAGCCGTACGTCCGTCCCGGGTGGCAGCGGCCGGCAGAATCGGAGCGGGCCTATTAATATTGCATTTAAAGATATCCTATCACATTAATAGTATAATTAATTATTCCGCACTGACACCACATTAGTAGTACCTACATTGCACCCGTGCTAAACCGGGGCGGATCGCTAGTTACTTACATAATATTTGTAACAATATTCGTCCTATGATTTAATGAAAACATGGCTAGATATAGTATACGTATAAGTTATAAAATAAAATATAAAATTTAACTTATCCTTCAATATTATTACAAGTATGTGATTTTTAAAAAGTACCTACCTAATCGTATTAAGTGTAAAAATCATATCTTGTTACTTTAGCATTATTTAATGTATGTTTTGTTAGTTCTCTATTTTTTAATAAACCAATTTAAAAAGTAAATGTTACATTTTTTTAAAGAACGGTTTTTAAACACGTTGATTTAAAGCTATCTCATTCGTAATGATCTCATAGTATATAAAAATTAAAATCATAGGTTAAATATTCATTGTTATATAACAATGAATATTGAACCTATGACTTGTGTGAGTATAAACATATGTTTATACTCACACAAGTATGCAAATCCACATCTTTGTAACTAATCCATCATTCCTTTTTATGGCTGAAATCTCATAATAGAGAACCAATGCCTCCTTGACCTAATTTATCAACGACACTAATAAAATAAGATATTTTGAAAGCCTAAGCATATGTAATTGCTAACAGAATAGATCGCCATTCCCAAAATAAAATCATAATATATATATATATAAATGTTAAGTTGGTTCTGCAACGCAGAAAGTTCTGCAATGATTGAGAACGAATGTTACACGACATTCAAATCGTTTCAAGGATTGGTTTTATCAATTTTGTTCCTTCATCAACGCAATTTTAATGTGCCACAGCGAAGCGTGGCAGGGTACAGGTATATAGATAGATAAAAATAACATAAAAAGCCGAATATTTGAAAGAAAAGATGGGTTTTGAAAACTTGTGAGTTAATGCGAATCCTTTTTAGATTAAAATTCATTAAATGTGTTTTGTATGTATAGCTTCTAGTCGATATATATATATATATATATATGTGTTTGTTTGTAAATACATAATAACTACTGTCTTATAACTCCTTGTGCCGGTTGGGCCACAACTCTCGTCCGCATTCTAGGCAGCACAGACAGATACAAGCAGAGATTATTTTCTTTACGTTTAATACCTACTCGTATTACTAACAGGATTCAGAATCATTTGCTTACGAGGTAGGGTTCTAAAGAAAAACATATAACTTGCTATTATATGTTAATTATTTAAATTATAAAATGACCGGCTTTTATATTCTATAAAACAATGTTACTTGTGTAATTATGCATGTCACTACACAATATAGAAAAATAACAATATACGAGGATTATTTTCCATTTAATTTTATGAATTAGATTTGCTCAACTAAAATATTAATCATATTATTTACTTACAAAGTACGACAGGAAAATAACATGCGATGCCTTAGTATTATTCCGTTTGATATAACATCCGCTATTGATAGCTACCTATTTCTCAGTAGTTTACGTTTATAATGATCAGCAATTGAACAAAAAGTAATTTTGTGTAAAATTTATATAACATGTTCTGCTATCCATTAATTTCGTTTTATAAACAACGGTAACTTGTAAACAACTTTCGTATATAAACATTTGTCAACAACTATAATAATGAACAACAACCATAAAATAATGACTGGCATGTTGGTTTAGTGGTTCGAATCCCACACAGGACAAATAGTTGTGTGATAAGCGCGCTTATTCGTTCTGTCTCTGGGTGTAATTTATCTATGATATGTATGTTTTAGAAATAAACATATAAGGGCTCAGCACTGGCTCTGTCTAGTTTAGGATCAGACGTGTGTGAGATTGGTAGTCTTATGTATTTTTTTTTAAATTATATTATGTAGTCTATATTAATAAATAAAATTGTCAAAAGTGTATGTTTGTAATGTCAAAAATAATAGGCACGGCGTCACAGAAAACCGGTCGTTAAGCAATTTCCCCGTTGCATTTCACTGAGTGAGTTGTTAGGTTTCCGGAGCCCAACTCCATATACCCACTCATGATAGCGTCGTTGACATATAGTCTGTCTGTAGGGGTACCAGCTGGGCTGGCGTTGAAGAATCCCCCTCTAGACGTGCCCCGCGTATTCTGGGGGGGGGGGCAACAGCGCTCGACAAGATATCTGTTCGCGGTGGGAGTAGGCACATCAGGCCACCCTTCGTTACGCTTGACGTGAATGTCTGAAATATAAGGGGTCTTCACTCCAACCTTAATGCTGTCCACCACCATCTCAGACAGTGATGCCGGCCTTGCTCTTATTGACCGAGACGCAGATATCATCTCCATCGGATACATCCTACCGCTCCTACCTCGGCTATCATCTGGAACACTTCTTTGTTGCTAGGGCTGGAGTGTGCGTATACATTAGTGGTGATATTAGTTCTCGCGCCTCAGCGATCTTGAAGGACGGGACCTTTCCATCCGTGTAGACAGGGACGACAATCCCCGCGTCTATACATGCCTTTACAGGTCCCATACCGGTGACACCGAAACTGACCGACTGATGGACCATGTCCAAATGGCTACAGATTCCGATGAAGATTGACGAAGATGTCCTGTAGTATAGTCCTATCATAATAATTAGGATTCTGTACCTAAAGGGTAAAACGGAACCCTATTACTAAGACTCCGCTGTCGGTCAGTCTGTCTGTATGTCCGTCTACCACCAGACTGTATCTCATTAACCGTGATAGTTAGACAGTTGAAATTTTCACAGATGATGTATTTATGTTGCTGCTATAACAACAAATACTAAAAACAGAATAAAATAAATATTGACACAACAAACGTGATTTTTTTCTCGTTTTTGCCTCACATTGATAACGGAAACAGTTAGACGCTTGAAATATTCACAGGATATTTAGTTATATATTCACTTTAAACATAAATTATTACATTAAAACAAATGTTTAAAGGGGGGGGGGGGGGGGCAACCCGCAATTGGACGGTTTTTTTTGTTTCATCTAAACTAAATTATTTCATCACTAACTACAGTTCATGTAGATAATATGTGGTCTTTGAATGATAAAAATTGGACGTTTGGTTTTGAAGTTATGGCAAAATTAAAATGTAACGATCTCTGCTGCACGGCTCGTTGCGAAGTGGGCGTCACCAAGGCGGCGGTGCGCGTGCGTGATCTATGAATAAGGTACAAGCGAGGCTCAGACGCAAGGTCGGCTCCGTACGCAGCGGTCGTGCGTGAAGTCTAATAATTTTCGTGCGAATTTTTTTAAATTTCGTTCTTAAAACTACACTAAAGTTCTTATCAGAGCTAAACAACAGTTCTTTTCGGGGCTAACCAACAGTTCTTTTCAGGGCTAACCAACAGTTCTTTTCAGGGCTAACCAACAGTTCTTCTTCACTGAAATCATTTATAATGAAGGATTAATTGAAATAGAAAACAAACTTCTAGAATTAAACGATAAAAATTTAAGTGATTTTGGATTACCTTCTCCCGTTCGTACCCAGAATAATACTATTGACACAATGATACAACAGTATAACAGAAATGATCTAACAGCGTTTGTTAATGACAATGTGCCAAAATAAATAGCAGATCAAAGACATGCTTATGAGACTATTGTGGACAGCGTGAACAATAACATGGGGAGATTATTTTTTTTTTGGACGCACCAGGAGGCACTGGAAAGACTTTTCTCGCAAAGCTTCGTCAGGAATTGCTGCAACTCTCTTGAACGAAGGAAAGACTGCTCACTCTACGTTTAAACTCCCGCTATCCGTATCTTTAGATCAACGGTCTACGTGCTCTATTCGGAAAAATGGGCCTCTTGGTAAGTTGCTGCAAGACGCGTCGTTGGTAATATGGGATGAATGCACCATGAGTCATAGAGCTCATGTGGAGGCCGTGGACCGTACTTTAAAAGACCTCCGAAGCTCTGCTAATGTCATGGGTGGTATCACTTTTGTATTTGCTGGAGATTTCCGACAAACGCTTCCAGTCGTCAACAGAGGTACGCGAGCAGATATTATGAAGGCATGTTTAAAATCGTCTCACCTTTGGACATCTGTTCAACATTTGAATTTGCGCACCAATATGAGAGCTCATCTACATAGAAATACGCATAGCAATATTCCACAACAGCTGCTGAAACTTAGAGAAGGAATTTTTCCATCTTTAAATTTGGGCACCGATTATGCGGTTACTTTGGATGAGTCTCTAGGCCAAATAGTCCATAATTTAGATAGTCTGATAGATACTTTATATCCTGACATCGAAAACTTACATCAAAATTATTTTCGTTGGCTGTGTTGTAGAGCAATAGTTTCTCCCAGGAATGAAACAGTCAACGAAATAAGCAATTTAATTATGCAGAAAGTACCGGGTGAAGTTAAGTACTTAAATCCATAGACACCGTCACTGACATCGAGGATGCAGTGCACTACCCCCAGGCATTTTTAAATTCTCTGAACCCCGCTGGGCTACCAGCCCCGTTGGCACGCCGATAATGTTTCTCAGAAATGTAAGCCCCCCAACATGTGTAATGGCACGAGACTTCTTATAAAGGAGCTAAAAGATAATTTAATAGTAGCGAAGATTATCAGCGGCCCTGCAGCTGGTGAATTAGCTCATATACCAAGAATACCCATGATCCCTACTGATTTGCCTATACCCTTCAAAAGGCGCCAATTTCCAGTAAAAATTTCTTTTCACTAACAATAAACAAATCCCAGGGCCAAACATTCAAATTTGTAGGAATTGATTTACGAAAAGAATGTTTTACGTATGGGCAACTTTACGTTGCCCTATCACGGGTCGGGGCTCCCGACCATCAGTATATTTTGTTACCTGAAAATAATTTAACGTCAAATGTTGTTTATAGAGAAGCTCTACAATAATCGCTTTAGTTATCTATCCTGAAACAACGGGTTGCACTCGGGGACTGCCGGCAGAAGTGAAAACTTAGTATTAATTACATTTAAACATTTTTCTCATTAACAACTTTAACATCCACAGAAAGACAATCTGTGTAGTCTGCGGATAATGACTGCGTCGTCGATGTTAGTGTCGGTGTCTGTGAATTGACCTTGGAATCATTTTGCTGACCGTGTCTTTACTGGGTAGGCTTTTTGCAGCGGTAATCGACATCCACGCGGGCGGAGCCGCGGGCGACCGCTAGTATTATATAAAGTTGTTTTATTGGTCCCTTAAATCATAGCAGTGTTTTTACCATTTTGGTACTTCGTCAATTTCAACTACGATTATTTTTACTAATAAACACACACTTTATAATATAAAAGTGAAAATGTGTTAACATCTTAAGTGTGTTTGTTACCTAATCACGCCCTAGTTCAAACAAAACATTTATTAGTCTCATTAATGTTGAATTAATTAACGATTAAAGAACCGATGGGTGGGTCTAAAAGGTAATTTGATTTCTAAAAACTATTAAATTCTAAAGTTGGTATATGATTGTTGTGTGATACTATTGAGGAAGTGGAAAATAAAGTCAAAGGACTGCACATGAGCAAATGATAATAATAATAAAAATATTGTATTCGTGTGCACTGGCATGACTCGTAAATCGTTATATATGATATAAAAGATCTATGGTCAACACCTCCTTGGTGCCGTGTTATGTTTTTAAAGTATTTTTAAGGCTATATATTATTGTCTATGTTTTTCAAAAACTGTTTTATTACTTTTTAAAATATTACTAACTAAGATACTGAGGCCATCTCTCTGGGGTGGCAGTTAGTAGTATTTTAAAAATCATAATACTTAACGAGCACCTCATGGTGCATCCAACCACCAGAAAAATTCTTCCAACTTCTATTTTACATTGTTTTAACTTCCTTCTGTTATCGTTTACAAAAAAAAATCGTTTTATAGGTCTGACCTAAAACAATCTTTTTTTCAGACGCAACACTCTTTGAACAAACTACTCGAATGGGAGAACAGCCGACTGTACAACAAGTTAGGACTACGTTGGCGACTTACAAAGCAACATTGCGACTCCTCCTCAATGATGGAATATGTACTTCTTATAGAGTTTATTCCTAAGATACCCATATACAGACCTGACTAAGGCCCATAGTGATATACACTAATGTAAATATAACACTGAACTAGTTATTCGTACTCTGTTCAAAACGGTTTAATAAAATGTATCTAAAGCTTTCCAACCTTTCCATAAAGATATATGGTTAATAATATATCAATCAATTTTACTAATATAACAATTGATTATACTTTGACTTGTATACATTTACAAATCTTTACAACAGACATACAAATCAGAGGTCTGCATATTATTAGTATAGAAAGACATGAAATAATGATTATTTTTTATTAATTTGTTTGAAACAGAGTAGTTAGAGGTCTGCACCCCAAGAATAACAACTTGCTTACTTGGCTAAGCCAATAATCATGTAAGCTAGATTTATAATACTGGGCAACCCAGCTGGATACTGACGATGTCAAACAAAATACCTAACACACCGTTACTACCACACGCATTAAGTGCATATTTCGATGTAACAAGAGTTTTAAAAGTTTTACTGTCATATAGTCAAAAGCCACTTATTACTCAAAACGAAAATAAATATTATTTTTAATAAGCTTAGTATGAAAATATTTGAATTAATAAATCATACTATACATATATACCACAAAATATAGAGCAAGAGAGCTATAAACTTTTTTATTCTTTCTTCAAGATATTACGGCAGATTTAACAACACTATAACATTCGGATAATTAAAAAGGAAAACTTGAAACAAACCCTATACCCGTATATTACCCGTCTGGCCAGCGTGGTATAGTAGGCTAAAACCTCATTTCTAAGGAGAGGCCTATGTCCAGCAGTGAACTATTAAAGGCTGTTAATTATGATACTTTCAACGTCTGCGATATCAATAAAATTAACATCAGGGCTTATATTTAATATGTGATAAATAAATACATATGTGAGGTCAGCGTCAGGGCAAGGAATCGTGGTTAGTCATTAGCAAAAAATCACTAAGCAAATTTATTATCCCTTGAAATCGAATCAAATATAAAAAAATCAATGAATTATGGGTTGCATACTGTAAGTATCAGTATTCATTCAAAGTGAAATTAAAAAAAAAAAATGTTGAATGCAAGGAATGCATTCCACAAATCAAGTTATGTAACATAGACAAACAACTACGTGGCCCGCCGCACTTTGCGGTGTAAACAATCTTACATCGCAACTAGAAAGATAATAGTTTAATTGAATATCTATTATATAACATACCAATATAATACCTTCTGTATTAATATTGTTTAGAATAGTTGCTATCTTACTTCTTTTTTTAATAAAATCATTTATTTCCTGGTTTCGATAAAGGCCCAAAATAGGTATAACAGTAAAGTGGTTTAGTGTGTCAAGTATATTAGACTGGCTGAAACTTAGCTTATTACACGCAAAAAAACAATCCTTGGGGATAAATACAAATTTTATTGAGAACATGAATAATTAATTTGTGGTTTTTGAGTATGTGGCCGATAAAGACATAGCGATGTCGTTACTGGTATATTGTAAATAATGAAATAGTACGTATTGAAAATTATAAATAAGTGGTAGTGTTAATGCTTTTTGTGTATAGATGTCGCGTTATCAATATCGCAAGCTTACACTGTAAAATTTTATCGCAATTTGTATATATTTTAAGTATTAAAATTAGCTAAAGCTTTGAGGGGCTGCAATATTATATGATAGGGAACGTCGCATATAATAAGTACTATAAACAATTATTTCTACTAAATTGTATAGATTCTGATTATTTTTCTTGCACGTGATGTGGCGTGTCAGAACTCGAATTTATAAAAATGTACATTATCGAGCTCTTCATCTAGAAACATTGCTTCAGATACTAAAATATCTGAAAGTTTATGTTCATCGCTCTTTTCATACCTATCTGATAGATTAATGTAAGATTGTCAGTTTGTGTAGTGCATATATGTTCTCCATATATTACTAACTAGTAAGTGCTACTTAGTACAACTACTAATAATAAGTTTGTTGTTTTCTACTTTAATTAATCTCATCTCTCTATATCTCTCGACGAGCATCAAAACGACGTAACGTGATGAATAAACTACCCATGAAAATTATAAAATGTTGAAAATATAGTATTTTACTTAAAATGATCAGAAGGTCAATTCTCGTAATAAAAATTCGTTCGAAGTTGTACTCTCAATTGTCTCAATGTGAATGTGAAAAATGACAATCTCTGATAAAGTTGAAAAAGTAAAAATTCGATATACTAGTTTTAGTAATACTTTACTACGAAAATACCGACCGACCGAAAATATACACCGAAACTGAGTATTAAAGAAATTTTTATTACGAGGATTGATCTTCAGAAATATAGCATGATTGCATATAAGAGGCCAAACAAGGCGGCGAGTCGATTTTGCTATAATTTTCTAGTGCAAGAAGAGCTGACTGAAATGTTATAATAAGATATCGTTGTTATGATGTGTATAATTTAAAAAGTTTAAATTACTTAGTTGTCAGGCGAGTATTATTTAATTTGAATAAAATAAATGATAAAACTTTTTTAAAGATAGGGCTTTTATTTAAGTCGTGTACTAAAAGGCATAAAATGTTAATTGAGTTAAGATTTGTTCAAAATGCGTGTTGTGCTAATTGTAAAAAAAAACATTTCGGCAATAAATTACATAACAATCACTCTCTAAAAAGATTTTTGATAACAAATAATTCAACAAAACCCAAATTTATATTATTTTAAGTACACAGCTTAAATAAGTTCGTTCGAAAAAAGGTGTTTTATATGTTTATTATTATTAGGTGGTACATCTTAATCAAATGATTTCAAATCCTGCATCGTTCGAAAATATAAATAAGGTATACCTATTGTATTTCATTACAAAAATGTATCAAAGTCCGGTATTTATTAGAATTCTGATAGATGACATCTATTATGTACAAACAACTAAAGCCCGAACAATTCAGTACGAGTAAAATTCATTTTCTTTTTTAGTTTAAAAGTAATCATATCAAATATCAACAATGTGATCTATATGAGATTATTTGTTGCGCCCGGCTCACTAAATTCACTTCGTACATTGCAAAAAATTGTTTAGTAACATCTCTGTAGGTAAAAAACTATCGTCAACTAATGTTAATACTGTACGTTATCGATAAGTACTCAAGTTATTCTGTTTCTGGCCCTTATGAGAGACATAGTGAGATCAAAATACATTAGTTCTGATGTATATTTCACACGCACATCTTATATACATATATATTTATCTTTAATTTTCTACCATAATCTGTCATCAGGTCACTTTCATCCTTTGACACAGGCCTATCTTGATAAAGTTTAAAATTATTGTATCGTAGTTCTCTCTATTTGTGTAAATTTATAGTTAAACACATAAGGAATTAAAAATATTACATTCGTTTTCATTATTTAATAAGTTAAATGTATTTAATCTAATATCAAGGTAAGTTAATTGAGACTTTAACACTATACACCGCGTACACTTCATGAACATATTGCCTATATACACAAAAACTTTAAAAAATATGAAGGCTGAATCATGAATAATTTAACCGTATGTTAGGCCCCAAAATACCATTATTATAATATTTTATTTTAAATTTACCTGCGTATGTTCAAATACAGTAAGTAGGTACCTTGCTTCTTTTGAGCACGAACAATTGAATATACGAACATACAAATGAAGACTTGTAACCCGTTCATATCGTTTTTATCTATGTAAGTGCAAATTCATTAATGCAGTCCAGTTCGCGTCAGAGCTATTTTTATTCTGGTTTATTTAACTAACTTTATTGATAGAGGTCGGTAGTCATTATACTCTCAATTCATTCTAATCATCGCAATTGTTCTGTCATCGCTGAGACGCTAATTGTATCATTTAAAAAGCGTATACTTATATTGCTTTATGTATGTTATGTACCTGAATGTCGATGTTAGTTTACGTAGGGATGTCTAAGGCTATATGCGGGTAGCGACTTGAAGTTTGTTCTGTTTCCATTTAAAAGTTTGTAATTGTAAATGGATGTAATTAGAAATTATTTTTATACTGAGGTAGGATCACATAAAAAAGAGCAATAAGTTTCGTTGCTACTAATTTAGCTATCGATATTTACAAAACAAACAGAGCAGTGGGAGAGGAATAATATTACATGTGTATTGAAACACATATAACATTATCGATTGGCCTGTAGAATCTATACCGTAGAGTCAGATTTATAAATAATATGTTGGAGGCGATTCTAAAGTAAGTGCTAGGGAAATGTTTGGGACTGTGTTATTAGATGATTAGCTTATATAATGTTATGTAACATTAGGTAAATCCCGCCCTCTCTTCTCTTTTCAACATGTTGTGAATGAGAATAACGCCAAGGGATTATCGAATAATTGCTGTAAACGTATATGTATTATGAGGTTCCATGGATCTATAGCTTGCTCGGAATGTTCTCTTGCCACACACACGTCTTAGTTTTATATACTGTTTGAAAGCAACGGTTGAAAAGCGAACAGGGTATGTTGACCGTAAGTTGTAATGTAAGGAATTGTAAATATTTTAAGAACTTATAGATTATTTTTGTTCAAATAATAAACTTCACTTATGTGATAAAAATATGTATTATTTTATTATGTTGATGATGTTGACAAAAATATATTACATACCAATAAATGCACGGTTGGCGTAGTGGTTTATGCGGTCACCTCGCCGCTTCCTTCTGCGCTGAGTGTTGTGGGTCCAATCCCCACATGGGACAACACTTTGTGTGATTCCTAAATTGTTGTTCTGAGTCTGGATGTTCTTTGTGTCCGTTTAATGTATGTTTGTTAAATCCCCCCGCGACAAAGGATATATTTTTAGTGCTGAAATTGTCTTTAAAAAAAAAGATATTGATATATCTAATGAGCTCTGGGTATGTACACTAGTTTATTCATGATATTATTCGAATTTTAAATTAATATTCAAAGGATATCCTTTTGTCATAAATTAACGCTCAAAAATTGCACTAATTAATATGTCAAAATCAGTTGTATATGTAACAAGCTGACCCGCGCAACTTCGTCTGCGTCTCTCAATAGTAATAAATTTTCTCCGTTTTTTAAACATTCTTCATTGGTCTTAGCGTAATGATATATAGCCTATAGCCTTCCTCGATAAATGGGCTATCTAACACTGAAAGAATTTTTCAAATCGGACCAGTAGTTCCTGAGATTAGCGCGTTCAAACAAACAAACAAACAAACTCTTCAGCTTTATAATATTAGTATAGATTATAGTGATGTGCCGGATTTCTCTACTAGAGAATACCCGAAGGTAAGAAAAGATGTTTCCATACAAACTTAGGTGTAAACGTACGTGTAAACTACCTTTTGGCATATCTTGGATGGATCTTTTTCCTTACTTATATTATTTACAGTTATAATATAAGGCACTATTATAACTACTATTTTTAAAACAAAATCAAACCAAACACGAGTAAACCGCAATTTTTTGCGATATGTGTAATAAAATATTTTTTAAATCACGGTCAGTGCAAGTCTAAATGTCTTAATATATAGTGTCGTTTCAAGTTCATGCATGGAGGCATGACCATGTACCACGAACACATGACCCGTAGACGTATTGGCGGATCTAGATTCATAATCCGTATACGTGGGTTTAGAGTTTTAACGATCGCGCACATCACTCAGTTTCGCTATTAGGCACTGCGCCTACACTTATCTTCATATATTTAATTTTTATATTTGTAAACTATAAGACATATGACCACCTTAATGTTTTAAAGTATAATAACAGTACTGTATCAATTTTAAAAGTTTATAAAGATTGAACAAACTTGTGTCGTTATTCTGAATTCTGAGGTTCGCCAATTAAAAAAGATGCTATAGATATTGGAAGATTTTGTTCAAACTATTTCAACTTCAACATATTTTCAAAAGGACATTCATTGTATTGTTTTGTGCACACATTTAATAAGCCATCTTAATAATGATTAAGATGGCTTATTAAATGTGTGCACGTATTGTCGTATCGAATAATGTTACGCTTGCTTATTCAAGTTAAGTACACTTCAGGTGTGTGGCGACCATGCAATGAATCACCCAAGGATTCAAAACTATTTATTTTTAGGCTAATAACATGTTATCGGAATGGTTTACCGAATGTAGTCGGTAGTTAACTACTGTGTTGGATCGTGGTATTAATTGAGAAAGATTATAGGCTATTTAACATCAAGCTACAACCTTAATCGCCGAAGCGTTGACCATAAACGAGGGTAAAACTACAAGGAACAGCTGGTTTTTTTTGTATTAGGAGAGCAAGCAAGGATTTTAGAGAAGGTATTTATTTGAGGTGTTCTAAATTTGTGTCATGATTTTGCAACGTGTAAATGCCTCGATAAGTTGCCAAATTTAATTTGCAAGTAAGACTGAAGTATTATGATTTCGAAATACTCTGGTTTTTAGTACAGATAAAAATAAATTCAGACATGGACATGCCACAACTGTAAGGTAAGGGAGGTAGGTATCCTATATATACTTATACTTTTATTTTAATTGTTTATACACTGAAATACTTAGTCGGTATATGTGATGAACATTTGTACTAAGATATCGCACTATCACACAATAATAATAAGATTCCAAACTAGGCAGAACCTATGATATGGTAACCAGACCACTGATAGACATACTTAAATATTTCTAAATACAAATATTCGTGCTTATCAAGTCATCACACAATGATTTGTCCTGGGTGGAAATCGAACCCACCACTTCCGGCTTTTCAGTCAGTTTCAGTAACTACTACGAGTAGACCAACAGCAGTTTCCTTTTAACTATTAAACTTTCGCCTTCCACGATAGGTATATAATTATAATTAATTATGTGTATAGGAATCACTGACCTGTGACCACCGCTAGTGCAATCTGGTCGAAACGTCAGGCTATTTTAAGGCTATGTAATAACTATTACGTGAACACGTTAATGCCTATTTAACTAAATTTAAAAAATACGTGGAATTAGTAACACACTTTTTATCAATGTCTGCCACTCGGAGCTAAGATCCATAATTCCAAATATTTCAAGATGGGGAAATGCGAGGAATTTTATATTTTTGATTATTGTAGTGAAAATTAAAAAAAAAATAGTGTGAATTTACATTTATTTTGTTATAAATAACTTCATCATATACACATACGTAAACACTCAAGGCACTTAACATTATGGTCCCTCCAAATAATACGCTTATAGTTATGACACAAACAGAACAATAAAAGAAATAATGTACAAAACTGACACCTAAATATTTATCTCAAAATTATACAAAAATTTCATATTAACAAGCTATGTAAGAAGTTACAGGCACTGATAATAGCATATAATTTACAATTCATTAATTCAATTATACGTCGACATTAAAAATAATATTGCATCCATAAAAGCTACAACATACACATACGGAACCGAATAGTGTTAGTAAAATCTCTGCCCAATACAATACTATTACATATATTACATGCAGTAAATAACACTTTGTGTTACAAAAGCATACCTTTAATACTAATACATAAAAATGCGTAGTAACACAAAAAATGCAATGTCCCCAAGAACTTGCGATGTGAATCCGACTTGTAGTGTTGAAGTGTATCGACGCATAATCACTTCCTACATTCGGACGTCATACAATTTACACATTGTCTTTGCATCGCGCATTTATTTATACCTGATGTAGCCGCCTTCATGTAGCCTTGATTTATATTAACAAAAATTAATTATCAAATTTACAAATACCAATAATAATATCAGATCTATTCAAAACTACACAACCGTCGCAAATAATATCTACATTATCTAATTTTGGGACGTTATTGTTTATAAGCTCTTATTATTTACATTCAGTCATTAAAATGCTATCTATTCAATATATTAATTTCATAGGCCCAAATTGGTAATAATACAGATAATTTTGGGCACTTACGTTATTATGGCAACATTAGTGCGAAAACGCAAAATAAATCGTTACAAAATTGTACAAATCCATGGCTCAACATTCGTTTAGTTTTAAATTGGAAGATATTATTTAATAAGATTTGAGGTTTACTTAACACTTTATTTATCACGGACAGATGTGTTTCTGATCACGGAAATATTGCACTTGGAGAAAGCATCTCGCCATGGGTAAGAAAAGACGATAGAGTCTGCTATACTTCAGTGGTAGAAAATGTTACACATGGTAGACGTCAGTCTTCGTGTTAGTATCGCCTACAATTTATCAAACCACCGGGAGATGAAGAGCGATAAAACAAACTAGAACTCCTCGCTTAACTCATTTGCACATAGTTAATAGGGAATTGTCCTTTAGCGTTGTTACAATCGCCAAAATACCACTCTTCGTTGATTTTGTATCTTACTTGTATGGTGTCCCCTGTTCTAAAGCCTAGGTCACCGGGCTGTTGCGGCTCAAAATCGTACATAGCGACTGCAGTGCCGATTAGTGGTTGTGATGGCATTGGCTCGTTCGGTAGTGGAACTTTAATCTCCACATAGTTGGAAGGGAACAAGCCCTGAGCGCCATCCCTCAAACTCCCAAACAGCCATTCGTGGTCTACTCGCCTTATCAACTTAATCTTCGAGTTTACCTGCAATTAATAAGATTAATGTATTTAGAAGGTTTCTAAGAGCGAAAGGTAACCAAGGTTTCGTTTGTGGTACAGTCAGCATCATATTATATAAAGTAGTAGCTAAGATGTTGACCGAATGGCGTAGTGGTTTGTGTAACGGACTGCTACTCCAAAGGTCGCGGGTTCGATGCCCGCACAAGTCAAAGATTTGTGTTCATGAATATTTAATGTTTGATTTGGTCTGGTTGTTTCTATCTATAATAAGTATGTGTTTACGAAAAAAAAAAAGTATATAGGTATTTATATCAGTTGTCTAGTAGCCATAGTACAACATTTTTGCTTAGTTTGGGACTAGATGGCGTTGTGTGAATGTGGTAGAATATTATTATTAATATTCTCCATATCTAGAACTGGAGATAATAAATTCCTTTATGATCTCTGTAAATTAAATTCAATTACCACGTGTATGACAAAACATCTTGTATTTAGCCGACTTAAAAAAAGAAAGAGATTTTCAAGTCGCCTGTATTTTTTTTACAATTATCCGCCTGTCGCCTGTAGCTTTTTTTAATAATATTCCGGATGGTAAACTTACTTTTTTAGTTATCTAAGACCGTATTTAAAGGCCACGGCAAAAAAAACAGTATTAATATTAGGATTGTTATTTAAATTTTAAAAAAATTGACATAAAAATGTATTACTAATCTAAAGTTTTATCAAACAAAACAATAGATACGCTGAAGATTAAAACTAGCCATTTACTATAAGCCGCGAACGTCAAGCGCCACAAGACTGTGTTTACAGCATCGTTGTCTCGATGATACAGTCCCGTTTGTTAACATTTCTCAAGATCATAAATATTTATATAACCTTTCTTTAGATTTTATACAAATTTATTTATTTGTATTCGCCTGAACATAAAGAATTTAAGCAAAAGTGCTTATTACTTTAAAATATTTTTTATAGTCTATAAAAACCAAAAGAGGTAGGTATATCTAAAAAAAGTGTAAATTTTGTATTACACACGGACACATTTTAAGCGTCCACTCATTGTGATTATTAAGGTCAAAGCAAATTCTAGTAAAAAAAATGAATTTCCTTGTATGAATAGTTTTAAATTTTATTCTACTATCTATTTTGAATGTTTAGCTATACAGTACACATTATACAACCCGCGGACAGGGAGATACAGGTGGAGGTTTAATAAGACTATAAAAATGGGCAGTACTTAACCTCATTCGAAATAAAACTGAAATTTAAACCCGTACCCAGTCAGGCAGGAGAGGATCCCAGGCTGTAACCATTTCTATTCTATTTCTATTCATTTCTATTTTCGACCATTTCTATATAACCTATATGGATGTGATGGACCATATGAAATCTTACAAAAGCTTGACCTCTTCGAGTAGTCATTCACATATAATAAACTTTTTATAGTAGGATATAGATCTACTTTAAAGAAGTTAGAAACAAGTTGAAGATTTTTAAAACCAGCACATTCAGATTTTATTGGCCCGCAATTCGAAATTCAAATAAATTTTATTCGAAAGCCATGTTATTTCTTGTTTTTGTGAAATTGTGGTAGTTTTTGGCGCCATGGATAAACTAATAATTCGTACAATTTTCGAATGTGAGACTTCCAACGTGGAACAACAAAACTGCGCAAACAACACGAAACATTAACGACGTGTAAAACTGCTTGCATTAACACGGTTCATTATTGGTTCAATCGTTTTAGATCTGCAAATTTTGAGTTGAAGAAAGAGCCTCGCGATCGGCCGGTAACTATAGTCGACAAAGTCGAATTGAAGGCGATCGTGAAAACGGATCTAACTCAATCTACGGCTGATCTTGTAGCGGGCTTTGGAGTTAGTGCCAAACAACACATGCGTCAAATCGGAAAGAAAAAAAAAGCTAGATAAGTGGGTGCCACACCAACTAAGCGACCATCAGCGAGACCTACGCATCGAAGCTTGCACAGCACTAGTGAATCGGCAGGCATGGACAGGCCATCGCAAAGCTCCAAGGGTTACAGGCGGAAGTTCTCCGTCATCCACCGCACTCGCCGAACCTTACCCATACAAATTTCTACTTTTTCAAAAATTTTACAATTTTTAAGTGGAAAAAATTCAACACCCGAGAGTCAGTACAAAACGCTGTCGCTGACTTCATCGCCTCCCATTAAGCAGACTTCTACGGTAAAAGGATAAACAAACTGCCATCAAAATGGCAAAATTGTATGGATAATTTAGGCCAGTACTTTGATTGGCTAAAATAAAAAAATAACTCACATTTTTATTATTTTTATTTTTTTATACCAATCTTCAACTTCATAGGTCCTAATATTTATTTATGTACGGCCTACATTGATACGCAGATACCACCCACCGGTGGGTATGTAGAATCCGAACCGACTAAAAACCGCACAATGCCATCTCGGGTATCGGTAGCCTGGAAAACCAGGTGTAACCTAGAAAGAAAATCCCTGGAATCCCGACGGCCCCGGGCCATCTACGGTTTCCTGTGAATGACACCCTCCTATGTGGGAACGACGGTGTTCCCATTGTACAACCTAAAGGGCGCGCGCGCTGCTACTCATCTTCCTGTACTTTTACCCGAACATAACAGTAAAAAAAATCAGTTAAGTTTTATTCTCTATTTACAGATAGGATTCAATTGGAAGATAATTTCCCACACAAAATGTATTCATTAACGATAGTCATGAAAAGACTGATGGAAAGTATAATTATTTAATTTCTTGGCATAAATAGTGTCAGTCTATTATAACTTGTTAAGTGAACAACGTCCTAAATAAAGATAATCTCTCAAACTCAGACATTGTATATAAAAATATTACCAATATTTACACACTCAGACAACGAGCTAGATAAAATGACTCATTAAACCGATTAATAATAGATAAGAGGTTATCTAATTGTCGTTTTATCTCTTTGTTTACAAACTAATGCAAAAAAACGCGTAGAATTTATCGCATTTAAAATGCGGCATTTCAAAAGTATTTTATATACGTTTAACTTTATAGATAATTTCCAATAATAATATTGTACGCAATATGTTTTTGACCTTATTTTATGAACATAATAATCATACTATCTAGTGTATTAGTTGGGTATTAACTTGAATCATTGCTAATTACAGAGTAATATCTACACGGTCGTATACAAACAGAGGTGTTCATGAGGCTTCACAAACTGCTGATGTAGGTGTACTTATTTAATAAAGTATGCGAATTGGCTAAACGAAAATAATTACCTAATACTAATTCAGAGGAAGTTGACAATTGAATTAAGTATTTTAGTTTTAGAATTTATAGACATGTTAATTGAGGTGAATAATTAGGATAGTACCATATCTCATGTATTTCTAAATGCATACATATTATAGATACATTACACCCAGACACATAAGTGACCATGCTCATCACACAAACATTAATCCTGGGTGAGAATCGAACCTAAGGCCTTTGGATGAGCAGGCCAAATGACATAAAGCTTTAATTTTTTGCTGCTAACCCAGGCTATTTTATAATGTTAAGCTACTCAAAACACGAACGGTTGAATGAACTGCAATTAAGTGCCTCTTTCACATAAAACTGGACATCAAATTGTCTGCTACAATACATGGAAGTGATAAGGAGTTCCTGTTATATCGCTCTGATAATACAACTGTCAATGCAAAATATATTATCAATAAAATTGCCAATACGCGTCACAGTTAAAAACCAACAATATACGATTATAAAAAACAGACGTGTGCCGTATATACGCCCCAAACAATTATTTCCCAGAACGTGACACGACTGCGACGCCACGGTTTTAACGTAACCGACGGGTATCTGCTTACGTCAACACATATGTATTCAATACACAATTGTTGTGCACGTTATGAAGCAGCAAAACAAGCTATATATATTATTTAGACTAATTTGAGTAAGCATAAGGTATAATTTATGCAATTTGTTCAAATTAGTGCGGCCGCAGCACTTCGAGTCTTGAATTATTACAAAGTAAATAAAAGATGACTGTTAGACAATGTTTAAAAATCAGAATAATCAATATTATTTATGACTAAGTAATGTTTTTTTTATAAATTAACCGAGAATGTTGGTGTCATGTTTTAAAGTGGGTCTCGGCAATATTACACTGATAGGAATAATAAAGCTAGATAGATTCTTAATTCGCTCTAATCTCTGGAACTTTATCTGTAAGTTTTTATAAATGAACGCAAATATATTGCACACTTAAGTGAGGAGGCAGTGAGCGTAACGCATCTGCGGGGAACGCTTTTACATTATACTTTTTACTTCATGAAACAATTCGCTTATTAACTACTTTCCTTTTAGATGGTTTCCAAAAATTCCTTTTTGGAAACCATCTAAATCTGTTTGATAACTTATATTTTATTGCAACTTAAGTAGAGCAATAGAATGTCGTTATCTACATAATGAGAACAAATATAATGTGTTGATTTAAAAGCCTGATAATTCGTTTGATGGTAAAATAAATTACTTCATATCGCATACTGCTTTCATTTCGACTTTTCTCCAACTGTTCGTTTATAAAATTCTAGCTGTACCCGGCCACGCTTAGCACGTTGAAATTGCATTGATGAGCAATGAGAAACAAAATAGATAAAAACCATCATTGAAGCGGATTGTATATCGTGTCAAAATTTGAGCTCAATCAGAACTTTTTGAGTTTTTGAAGCGTACACAAACCAACTTAACATTTTTACATATTTAGATTTACCATTTTATAATATAATGTGTAATACTTCTTTTGCATCTTTTATCAAACTCTTTTAATTCTATTCTTACATTTCGTCTGTATTTCCGCGAATCAAAGAACCGATAATAGATCTCTTTGAAATATCCAACCTAACTATGTTATAGAAAACAAGCAAGCTGACGTTGATAAACTCAAAACAAAATTTTAAATACTATAAGCCCAATTTTATCTACCATTCAGTATAAATCTATCTATAAAGAAAATGCAAGAATATAATAAAATAAATAAAAAATATAAAATAAAAATGCAGACGGCGCTGGTGATTAAATAAAATACTTGTATGGTCGTCGGACTGCTGTCGCTATTAGCTCTAAAACCTGACACGTTGCATTAGACAAAATTTGTCTTTTTCCTCTACTTTTGTTTGAGACATTTCATACACATTACTTCATACCAGGAATGAAATGTCGTAACATGGTTTTCTTTTGTTGCCCTTAGTATTTTTCATAATTACTTCGGTGTATTACATCATACCGACATACTACATTCTAGAAAAAGCGTTAGCTGTCTTCATTTGTGCTATTTTTCTCATTTGTACATATTTGTGTACATATTTTTCGAACTAAGGAAACCTAGTATAAGTAATGATATTAAGTATAAAACTATAAGTAAAACATTAACACATTCCCAAAATATCTTAGTCAGAATCGGAACTTCATTCAATCATTCATTCATTTTATTAGAGTACTAACCGAACCGATTTTACATTCACGTTCAAATCAGACTGTGTAAATCTATATAATTATGTATATAAATGTAAAGTTGGTTTTTGTATTGAGCTCAAATTTTCATTCATTCATTCATTTCTCATCAATGCAACCAGTGTGCCACAGCGAAGTGACAAGATACAGTTAGTTGTATAAAATACTAAAAAATATGAAGTATAAAATATTAAATATTTAGAGTTTGCCCCTGGCTTGTTAACATTTTAATGTTCTATGTCGTCGTCGACAGTCTTTAATAGACCACTTTTGGACACTGGCCTCTCCTCAGCAAGGAGATTTTGGCCATCTATACCACGCTGGCCAGATTGGTTGGTATAGGGTTTGTTTTTAGTTTTCCTTCTCTTTGCAGTGCTATTGTCCTGCGTAGGTTGCTCCCTTGGTCCTCTCTAACGACACCCACGGGATGAATAGGGGTGGTGACACTCCGTATTCTTAATCCGTCACCACACGGACTAATTTTGTTCTATTTAGTTGTTCTATATGGAATCTACAATACTAAATATACGAAAACATTACAAAGCGCTATACAAAAATATCTCAGCAAAACATCCAATTCATTAATCCGGTATGATGAAATGTTATTATAGCCACATAGAACGAAAACTATGGCTAGTATGATACAGTTGTTTAACTATTGCACAATAACTGTTTACAGAAATAGGAAAAAAGTACGTAAACCGAACTACTTACTATCTACAATTTACTTCAGGATGAAGTTTATAGTACCCCTTTTTTTTTTCTGTGCGGAAATCCCCTCGTATACCACTTACCGGTGGCAATGTCGGACTCGAACCGACTAAAACCGCACGCCGTCTCAGGTTCCAGTAGTCATGGAACCAGGTGTACCCTAGAAAACCCTGGTGCCCCGACGTACCTCGGGCCATCTACGGCGGGTAGACGACCCCCCCCCCCCCCCCCCTGTGTGGGAACCCCCATGTTCCCTCTGTGGTCCCGCAGGGGCGCGCGCGCTTCGCAACGCACTCACCGCCACCCCGGCCTGCTTCTGCTAGGGTGACAAATGGCCTTACCTGTCACCCCCAGGCCTGCGCTTATGGAGGACGGAGGTCGTTGTGCGACCTCCGGCGCCTGAGTCGTCTGCGGTACCTGGCCCGTTCCCTAGCCTACAGGTCTTACCGCCGCGATGACGGCGTGCCCGAGTTTATAGTACCCTAACTAATATTATCAATGAGAAAGTGAGTTTCTTTGCTTGTTTATAACGCTTTCACGCCTTAACTGCTCAACCGATCAAAAAATGACATCAGGTATCTTTCAACCCAAAACTAAGTACAGTTTGAATTGTCCCGGATTGACAAAACTTAAGTTTTAAAACAGACGAAGCCGCTTTAATGTGTATGTGCCCATTCGGCAAATGGCACACTATAGTATTAATGTAGCTTATTCAAATGCCATTAAACGGTTTTAATTTTTATCAGCTCAGTATGGACTGGGTGATATGCAACAGGAAGAGGAAACCTAATCTAGAAGTAAAACGGCTAATTTGCTACGCAATCTGTTCAAGCCTGTTTAACTCCGCATTAAATTTAAAAACGTACCCACACATAGAATTATTCACATTTGTAATTGTTGTTTTCGTAAGTATGGATTACGTAACCATCATTAGTTGTAAAGAAAACTAACAGCGCGCGTGTTTTTTAGATTTATACAATTTAACAATCAAGGACATACCAATGTGACAGTGAAATATATATTTTAAAATCCTCAATATGTTTGTAAATCACAATGCCTTTGAACTTCTTTTAGGAATCCAATATTTATATAAATGCTATTAATAACAGATATTTTGGCAATAAGCCATGCAAGGTAAAGATAACTAAATTAGCTAATGTTTACTTTATAAATGGTGGATTCTATTACGGTAAAAAGCTTGAAAATCTAAGCTGTGTAAAAATACCGTTTTCAAAAAATATTAATAATAGGCAGTCGCAACCTGGGTAAAGCAACTTATGCGACCAGCTACTGTGTAGAATAGATAGTACAAGGGACACACAATATCATAAGTCACTCCAAAAGATCTTTGAAAAAAAAATCGTGTGATATCAAACTTACCGAAAAGCATAAATCGTCCGGATGGTCTGTGGAGTAGTCAAACAGGGCTATCGCGTATGGCTCTTCATCACCATGATCGAAGTTTGTAGCCAAGTCAGGAGCGTCCGTTGGCCAGACGCTTATAACTTCCTCATCGATATCTGCAGGTGGCGGAGGTGGAGGAATGGTCGGCATCGGCGGAGACGGTTCTCTGTCCGGAGACAGTTCTCTATCTGGAGAACTCTCGGGATCATCCCAACTGAACGGTTTTGATTCCTGGGACAAATGAGGTATTGTCTATTAATCTAGTCGCGTGAATAACTACTGAAATTTTCAACTAAAATTTTAACGAGGTTTGGTATAAAATGATATTTACAATTTATTGTTGAAGGTAACTGCTAAAATAATATTTTTTTAAAGTAGTATTTATAAGGCAATTATTTAAATCCGTACGTAGTTTTTACCAGCGTAAGTCGTCATATGGGTGATAAACAATCTACCTATTTGCTATTCAACTTATCTCAAATTAGACGTCGTCGATGTCACTTGGTTTATTCCACGTGAATCATGATTTTTTTAAACAGAATATAGTTCAAACCAACTGTATTAGAAGATTTATGCACTGGTTTCTAGATGTTACAAGATTTTTGGGATAATCTCATCAAAATAATTTCAGGCATTGTTTGTGCATTCCTTATTTCTACTGTAAATTCGAAAAGTACTTTGTTTATTTCGTTGTTTGTTTATTTCTTTGTTTATTAAGATTTCACGTAACTTTAACTGAGTACAGAGACATACATAGATATAGAAAACATAAGATAATTTTCATACCAAAAGAGGCAGTAGGTATCCCTGAAGGAAATAAGAAAACCTACGCCAGAATAGCCGCGGTCTGACGCTAGTATTACATATTTAAAGCTACTGAGCTCGTAAGGATGACCTTTATGAAACTAGCAAACTGTTTGTCAGAGTGTAACAATAGCAACAATCACTGTTTTATTTGTAAAAAAATTAAACCGCCCTCAGTCAAAGATATTTTAAGGAAGATAAGTTATATTCATACTGCACGCACAAAATATTTGTTCCGCAACAGTACATACATCTATTAATGCATTTTAGAATAAAACATACATTTACTGTGGTATGATATTCATTTATATTTATTTACATTTTTGACGTAATTTGTGCTCTTTCGGATTGCACATGAGTGATTTTATGAATTTTCTCGAATTAATTAGTACGTGCGCTCGTTACAGTGGTCCTAATTAGGATCCTCGCGTTTTGTGCGTTGGTGGCGTATCTACCTCTTGTTTGTATATAATATCATTGACCTCAGTAGCATTAATTAATAGGGGATCAAAAATATTAGTTATACTTTAGTTTTCTGGCGCTTTCAAACAAGCACGACGAACTGTACATGCAGAAAATTCACTGAGAAACATTTGTCATAAAAAAAATATGGATGTACCGTTAACAGTTCGATATGAATGTAATCTTGAAAATAAAACTTTTAAAACATTATGAAGAAATTTTTCTTCAGAAGATTACGTAACGTTGTACCAATGATAATTTGGTCCCACTCACATAGTAAGGGCCCAAACCTCTCGCCGTTGAACACACACGGGCATTGTAAGTTAAGATACGTGCGATAGTAAAATATTTATTTACTGTTTTACGATTTTAGTTAAAGTATTAAATATTATGCATATCCTCTGTAACGGTTTTACGAAAACTCACAATTAAAACAAAGAGCTCACGGACATTCGTGATAATTATCGCGCAAATTTTAAAGCACCTTAATTAATGGAACGGTCATGAACACAAATAACTCTGCATGTTTATGCGTCTACCACTTCAGCAATTTTTATTCAAAAGTACTTACATAGTTAACATATTTAATTCTTCTAAAACTCGCTGAACTAAATCTCTTCTGACAGACAACATGTATGTTGCTTAAAGAAAGGATGTTCGTAAACCGGACGTGGCGCATGTATGGGTTAGTGAAATGAAATGATATTTCATTTCACTCATCTAGTTGTAATATAACTGCATTGGGTCAATGTTCTAAATAAAGTATACCTACCTAGTACTTTAATAATAAAAAGATAGAAAACATCATGTAGGAACTTAAGAAACATATCATCTCAACCCTTCTTTATGTGTTATTGTTCTTATGAATGGTGCGAGGTTACTAGGACTGTTGAAAAAACATATGGTTAGCAATCAATTATAGTCTCCCTAGTCTCTAATCCCACAGTGCTGATACACAGTGTTTTGAGAGAGCATATCTACAATAATTTAAAGAAATTCTTGATCAACCAAGCCAGAAGTATGTTACCTATGTTTTACCTACCTAGCATATAATTTATATTACAAAATCTAAAAGCATTAAGAGCAAAGAGCATTAAGAATAGAAAAAACAGTTTAAATATTTTTATTAGCAAATAGAAAGTCATTAAAATACTTACAAAGCTATCACCAAATCCATTAGCCACTTTTTGTATAGGTGTTGTAGTGTTCACTGTCATCATTGTCACTGGAAAATTGCCCTTAAGTGTATTCTTGAGTATTGCTGAATTATCTGGAGGCTTAGGTCGCGATGGTTTAGCTCTTATTATTGTAGGCCCTTTGAGTAAAGGTACAGCAGGCTGGCTTGATGAGTTTCTTGACACTTCGTACAAATCCCTGGTCAAAGTCGGCTTCTTCAGTAGAGCAGGTTTATTAACTAATGGTTGAGGTGAAAATGGATCTATAGCAGTAAAATCCTCAAGAGTGTCTTCTCTATTTACAGACCTCTTTGAATTTAAGAACAGGTCAAAGTCATCTTCAAAACCACTTTCTGCTTGAGAAGCATTGCCTCCATTGTGAGTATTATGATGATTAGTTGAGGTAGTAGCATCTGAACCAAAACTGTCCACACTAAGTCCATCACTGCTAGACCGTGTTGTGAAGGTAGGCGAACTGGGGGGTGAGGAGAGATCTATCAGGGCACCAGTCTGCACATTCTTTGGTTCACATTTAGGAAACATTTTTTGACTATCCATATCACTATTAAAATCTGATGTTAAATTTAGTTGTAAATTATTCACATATTGGTTGTTCACTGGAGTTTTTGTTTTTCTAGACAAGAGTGAGGAGAGCACAGTTGGTTTTCTAACAAAGTGAGTAGGCTTAGCTGGCACATCCAAATGTTTCATGCCAACCTTAGGTGGTGGAGGACGTGGAGGTGGTTTCTTCTTTTGTGTATAATGTGGGGAAGGTTCAAAAACATCAGCACCAAAAGGATCACTATCCCAATTGGTGACTGGAGAGTACTTGTTGACACCTATGGAAGGAATAGATGGAGCTGGTCTTGTTGGACCTTTCATGTCTGTAAACAAAAATACATAGTTAATTTTACATATAAATACTAATCACAAATGTTAAATCATGAAGATAGAAAGCTCACTTTCTACAGGAGAAATGTAAATTATGGAATCTCTACTCAAACACAGAAGTTATCTTCACTCACATATTTTTAACCTTGACTGATAGATAATGATAAGAGATTATTGGCTGATAATTTGCTATAAGGAAATTTTATTACAGATTAACAGAAAAATGTCCAACATTGATTTTTTACAAGAGTTCCTGTTATATATTACAGCAGAATTTTGCTTTTTGTCTATAAATATGCTGCATACTTCCATTGCCTACACATGAAATTACTAAGGTCTTTAATATTATTGGTATTTTAATATAGACTTTTATTTTAACCTTGGGAGGCCAAAAGTAAACACTTTGTTATTCTATTTCATAATCATCTGTATCATGAATATTGAATTGTAGGTTTGGTTTGCAAACAATATAACTCAATACTAGCTATTTATGAACATTATTCACTCACACAGTTCAAGTTTAGGTCTATTGTCAGGAATAATATAAAATATTTTCCTGTGTAATGCAAGAAGTATTAAACCCATAGAACTTGTTTGTTCATGATGACTTTAATAAGAATCAGGTATTATGACTCATAGTACTCAAGTCACAACTCTTTGACAGATAAACAATCACGAAAAAACGGAAAAAAGAACTTACTAGAATATCTTATTAGAATCCACTTGAATCACAATTTAATCACGATCACTCTACTATGAATCAACTAAATGATTACCACATTGCTGAATTAAGTCTAACGACTGCGACGTTTCGTTATTTGCGAGTTCGATGCGGCGAGATGAGGACAAAGATCATCGAGAACTGCGCATTGATCGGGTCACAAAACTATGCAACAGAATTACCGCGTAACTGGTGTTATTCAAGTTCGCGATAAATTATAATGATACTGAAATCCACCCACCAAAGAATGATGCACACTACTCCACCGTAGTAACAACTCTGAACTCTGTATCGCGTGGTGCCTGGTACGGGACAGTGCGGCCTTGATAAAGTTCGACGTAATCGTGTCGAAGTATAAATTATTCAATATACCCTGTGCTACAATAAGTGACACTTCTAAACATAAAACTTAATTAAATATTGCTTAATACACACCTTTAAACAGGTCCATAATGTCCAATACTGCAATGCAGCGATAGTAGTACAACAGTTTTGACGTCAAAACGGACAAGACAATAACAAATTACAAATCCATTTTTTGCATTAGTGGTATTGTAGTATATTCTTTGGACTATTTGACTTTTACAGTTCCTTCACTACATATTATAATTTGCGATCGTTTTTAGCCAATTCTATGATATAAACTGCCCTACGAAGAGAAAATCTAGCCCAGTATTACTCGTCCCTCATTATTTACGTTAAGTTTTTGACATGAAGCTAGTCCGCTGTCGTTTTTCTACGCCAGCTGTCGTTATTAACTGTCACAGTTGACGTCAAAAATCCATCTTGACTCTAGATTAATTTTATCCAGCTAAAATGTGTCAACTAAAACCGTTTAAAGTAATTCGTAAAGTTACGATTATGACTGAATGATTTTTGTTGTTTACAAACACCTTAGATAATAAACAAAAAGGTTTAAATTAATTTAAGTCGTTAATTTTTTCAAGATTTTAATAAATAAAAATCTTTTAAAGATATTAATAAATATTTAGAAAATATTTGTTTTCCAAAGAATCAGAAACCAAACTTACCTGTGAAATTACAGGTAAGTTTGGCTTCTTTTTCTACAAAGTAATTGAAAACCTAAATATTATATGAAAGTATAATTAATTTGATTAATGTACGAATCATATCAAAAAAAAACCTTTAAACTCAAATAAAATGTAACATGAACATAAAATTAATTGAAATCAATTAAGACGATTTGAGACGTTAGATATTCTAATGGAAATTGATACAATAGGATTAAATTTATTATTTAAAACCTTCTAAGTGCACTTACTAAATAACATTGCTTGATTTTCTGACACGATTTTCTTTTTTTGAAAAAGGGTTATATTTACACTGCACTGAACTTTATCTTACAAAAGCAGTTAATCAAAAGTGATACATATTTTTAATATTTGGTGTTTTACTAGGTATACTTTTGTATAACTGACTACAAAAAGTGTAAATTAAAACAGGCGTTACTTACTGCTCTTCATCTAATATCTATGCTTAATTTTATTACTGTGGTGAAGTGGATTGTTTTTCCAATCACAAATGTCTAACTGACATTTGTCAAATGATAAGATAAAATCAATCGGTGAAAACGTTAGTTCTAAATGAGAATTTATTAGATTTAGAGGCCTTGAAATTACAATTTTGAGGATATGTTAATAAACTAAAATATAACCACTAATTCTACTATAATGACTGATGATATATTGTTACTCCCACTCGACATCTTAGTTCATATTTTTAGAAAATTAAATACATCTGATCTTCGAAATGTAATGCTAACTTGCAAAACATTAAGAGATGTTATTAAAAACGACAGTAGGATATGGAGATCATTCTGTCGAAATTCAGTTGTTTTTCGAGATCGGGAAGGGAACAGGTATACTATGATGAAATACCTATAGTGTAGTCAGTTTTTAAGGAATATAGATTTAATAGTATACATTTTTCAGGTGGTATAATATATTAACATGGTATAACAGGTGCAGAATATCACGTAACTGGCAAAATGGTTGCTACAAAAGTAAGGTACTTAATAATATTTAATTTCGTATTAATTCTTTTCTAATTATAAATGTATGTAGTCTTAATGAAGTTTTATTTCACAGGAACTAATTCGTCATTATACAAATTATATGCCATGGTTGAAATTTTACAACTCCGAAGTTATGCTACTCACAATAGGTTCAGAACTAGTGTGTCATCAAACAGATAATAAAGGAGTACCAATTTGTAATAAGCGTCTATGGAAAATTGATGTGCCCAAAGTATTGCGACAAGATGTAAGGACTAATGATATATCAAGATTTGTTTTGAAAAACAATCTGCTAGTCTGTGGAAATAGGTTGGTTTATATGTTTGTTTTAATGGTAACTATTGTAAATGTAAGTAACAAAGTACTTACTGCTGTAGTTTCTCTGTAGTAACTTTTGATAAAAGTGTATATCTCTAAAAATAATAACTACTATTTTATGTTACTAACTGCAAATTAAATATGTTTGTACAATGATTTGTCAATTTTGTTTACAAAGTAAAAGTATAATGCCTAAAACTTAGGAATTCTTTATTTTTATGAATTCTAACTATTATTTCACTATTGAACTTATACTTATTTATTAAGTTTAAAGCACAATAAATTTAATATTTAGTGTTAGTTAAATGTTTCTATAATCTTCATTTAATTTATTTAAGGGATGGCTGTGTTGCTGTATATAGACTGAATAATATACTCAAGAGACCGAAGTTGGAATGCCACATAAAAGACTGCCATGATGATGGACTGGCAGAAGTTTCAGACGTTGAAGTAATTGATAGTAGAGACCAATTATCAATTGTGAGTGGGTCAAGTAGTAGTTCAAATTTACTAATATGTACCTTGAGGACAGGAGATGATGCTAGACCTGTACAAAATAGCAATCAGAGTAAGTAATGTAATATTAGTCATATCTAGCTAGAGCGGTTTACTAGTCAGTAAGGTAACGGCAACCACTAAAAGGAAGAACGCAACAGCTATACACATGTATTAACATCCTGTCAAATTACTACCAGATATCTGTCTAGATATCAAAATGTGTAGATATATAATCAATATGTTTTTGATAGGTGTGTCCTTTTCTTTTAAAGTTGTGTTTTGTAGAGCTACTTTAATTTACTTATAAATTAGAAACTATCGTATAAATTGTCTAGGGTGTCTAAGGCTATAATATAAGGGCTTTTTTCCAATTGAGTTATGCATACCCTCTATTTTTCTTGTTTATGTCAAACTTAATAAAAACATTAGTATGGAAATGATAGAAGTTTTACAACTCAATAAAATCATATTCCATACATCATACAAAATAGTTTTTTGGAATGTTATTTTTGAGGTATTACTTTTAAATAAATATAGCCTGTGTGCAAGATACAATGTAATAAAAAATTCTTTTGGTGCTGGAAAGTCCTGGAAGTGCTGCACTAACATAACGATTTGCTTCAGCCATATTAAAACGAAGTACTTGTGGAGGAACGGGTGTCATGTCCCTCCAACACAAAGGGAGGTTCCTCTGACCAGGCCAGGTGATCATGCCTGGCGGGCCGCGGCCCAACGGTTGATGTTGGGAAGTTGTATATTTGCTAAACGGCGAGAGAATTCTTCATATCGCAATACAGTATTTGCAATTCTCATTCAGTAGATACACCATAGCTCGGTGTATCTTGGTTAGATGGCGCTGTAGTATGTTTATATTTCTTTGAATGTGGGAGTCGCCATATACTCTACAGCCGTAAAAGCAAGAGAACTGTTATTATTTAGCAGAGTATTAAAAGAAAATCAAGAGATCATCATCAATAGCCTTTCATAGTCCACTGCTGAACATTATACTTTTCTTAGAATCGATGTTTTGGCCTACTTTACCACCCTGGCCAGACGAGTTGGTGAAGGGTTTGTGTCAAGTTTTTTTCTTTCCTTCTCTTTGCAGTGCTGTTATCTTTTATAGTTTGATCCCTAAGTCGGCTCTTACGAGACCCACGGGATGAATAGGGGAACCTCCACACGGAATCAAGAGATATAATATTATACTTTTTTTTACCTTGTGCTAAACTTACGTAAACTTCTGCTAATTTTGAGATTTGTTAATTTTTTCGTAAGCTTTCATATTCTTCATGAAGGTTTTCTCGTGGTAAGATTCCCTTGGTGGTCTGCCCAGGGTACTTCTACGTCGTTCAGCTTGACTGACCAGTCGTGCTTAGTTCTCAAGGTGAAAGTAACGTTGACCTACTTGTTTTCCTTAGCTTTGATCCGCCAGTTTTTCAGCCAGTCGGCTATGTTATCCAAAGCTTCTTAAAGTAGTTGGGCTGCGATTTTTGGCAGCCCAACTATTATAATTGTATCGTCATCAAAATGGTTGTATCGTCATCAAAAGTACCTGTTGTAATTTTGCAGGGTAAATCTGAGGTATAGAGCAGGTAGATGGTTGGACCAATTACACTTCCCTGTGGCACCCCTGCTGTGATGGGGCAAAGGTTTGTCATCTTTCCACACTGAACCATAAAGTAACGATCAGTTAATAAAACTTTGTTGACAAACTCTCTTGCAAGACCTGGTCGAAGGCCTGCGAGATTTCCAAAAAGACTGCTGCACAGTAGTTTTTGGTTTCAAACGCTTCGTGTGTTTCCACTCTAGACTTGTTCGATGGCTCATGACGAAATCCAAACTGATGGTCTAGAATCACATGTTTTGTTATATTTATTGGTAACATGCGTGTAAATAGGAGGATAAATGCTTTTCTCCAAAACAATTCTGTCACGGATAGAACAATTCGCGCTTTACCTGCTATACTGGTGAGCGATCCTGACTGGTAAGCCAGAAGTCATGGGTTCGATTATTACCATTAGTAATGTAATAAGTAAAGTATGTAATTTATCTATAACGAAAACAATGCGTTTACTATTGATTTTAAACAAAAACGCAACGAGTACATCAGTGCATTAGGTTCCTAGTCTCTTGTTTTGTAAGCACATAGCATATGTTTCGATGTAAGTCGAGGCAGGTGCCAAACAAAAATTAGTAGTATCTATCTTAGCAATCTTAGCAATAATTGAGTTACAAAATTAATAATTTTTGGCATTCACAACTATACTGGGCAAACAAAAGCCATAAATGGTCACATCCCTTTCTATGCGGAGTCTCGAAAAGTTCTGGATCAATTCGATTGGACGTGGGTCTACGAGTAATATTTCGATCCCGAAACCAAGAGACAAAGTATGTCTCTCTAAAGTATGTATGTCTAGTGAAGGCTTCATTGTGCTAGGATACTGAAGGAATAATTTTTATTAATTACATGCCGAGAGAGACTATTACTGGTCCCTGTTATGCAAATTGAATCCTAAATATGCGTGAAGCTATCAAAGAAAAACTGTCACGGACGTGTTGTTCCTCACGATAACTCTCAAAGCAATCGCAGTGCTGGCTTCAATACCTTTGACCACCTACCATTATTCTCTGGCCTTCCCCTAATGATTTTCACCTATTTCTAAAATTGGGAGGGAATATCCGTGGAACTAAAGTTGAGGATGATGTGACGCAGTTATGGCGGCCGTAGATGAGTGTTTTGAGTGTCAATAAAATTATTTATTTTGTTGTTTGTATTCGAAAAGCATTGAATTAGATTCAGATTAGTAAAAAAATATAACATTTTTCTTTTAATTTTCTCATATTTTAGTTAGTAATTCCAAGAAATTTTTGATTGTTCCTCGAATATATTCTGTTGGCTGATTTTTCGACCTGAAAACCAAACACAAAACTAGTCATATCTTTTGCTGCTGGTTACTCAATCGTCTTTATTATTCTGCTGCATATTTGTAGTGTTATAAAAACATACTATATCTTTTACAGCCATATACTTTATAATTAACTAGACTGGATTGCACTGAGAAGGGTTTTAACCTTACTTTTTAACATATCTATTATCTATACAAATAAATAAAATTGGAGTGTCCATTTGTAATATTAAAATAACCGCTTTTTACTAAATGCATATGTATGTTTACATGGTACATATGCCAAAATAACATTTTTTACAATTTTTGTCTGTCTGTCTGTCTGTCTGTTTGTTCCGGTTAATCTCTGGAACGGCTGGACCGATTTCGACGGGACTTTCACTGGCAGATAGTTGATGACATAAGGAGTAACTTAGGCTACTTTTTTTAGACCGGCTTCGCCCCGCGGCGTTGCCCGCGGTTATAACAACAAACACGGGTAACACCGCGGGTCTCAGCTTGTCACTTAATAAGTACATATCACAAGTTGTAAATTGTTACTCTACTTATAAAGTTTTTGCTTTGCAGATGTGATGTATATTCCTTTACAAGACTGTATTGGCACCAAATGTTTATCTCTTAATAAAATGGCAGACCGCCTTGCTATTGGCCTTAAAGGAAACAGTCAACCCGTATTGCTTGATGTAAATAAGTAAGGTTTTTAATAATTGTTATTAAATTAATTGTTTAGCAGTAGATCTTAGGATGTTACAAATAAAAATCTTTTTCTTATTTAAACCGTTTTATAGAAACGAATGATAATTTAATTGTTCTTTCTGTAGAACGCCCTATACATAATGTACTAAAAGGTAAAAAATAAAAATGTAAATCCCAGGCACCAGTGAATAGACTCAAAACTAAAATTCTCTCTCGTATTTTTATACGAGAGAGAATTCAACTGGAAATGATGGTAGATAGAGTTTTCTCTATCTATCTACCATCATTTCCAGTTGTTGCTAAAACACGTCGATGTATTTTTAACCAATTTAAAAAAAAAGGAGTAAAACTCATAACTAAACGAAGAGAGAGAGAGAGAGAGGAGGTTTTTTTCATTTGAATTTGAATGAAAAACCCCTAAAGGTTGAAAATTAAAGAATGAACCAGTCAGTTTAAGACCTGCATTTTAAAAGTGTCTCAGTTGTAAATCTAGTGTTAAAACCATAGAAATCATAATAATAAGACACGAGAAGTCGCAAAGACGCTTGACCTTGTCGCCGTAATGAAGTGTAGACGAACACCACTCACAGAAATTCACACCATTCGTGATTTAGTTGCGCGGAGCATCGTATGTGATTATATATTGTTAAAATCGTGAACTGCAGCATAATGGATAGTGAAAACGCATCAGGACGTGTAATTCAACTAATAAAGGCATAACATTTCATCGGTAAGTTTATTTTTTACTAATAAATCATTGTATTTACTAATTTACATCTCGATGAAGCCTTTAAAAAGATATCTGCCTTTGTTAACATAAATTTATTACTTTCCGTTTTGTACAATTACTATAGCTGCTTTAGTTCCTATTACACGCGATGTTGACAAACTAGCCATGCAATGTAATGTGAAGCATTAGATATCGTTGTTCGTTGCGGATGTTTATAATACGGCAGTTAGTGATGTCACCGGTCCATTCATTTGTATGAAAGCACAGTTTATATCGATGTTGGTGTAAAAGGATATTTTCAGATTTTCAAACGTAAACCAAACGATAGATGCAGATAAAATATTCTTAATATAAATTATACAATAATTTCTTTAGGAATTTAATTATTTGTTTATGTTTGCGTATTAAAGTCATTAAAGTAAATGTAAATTAAATGTTATCTTTTTAAGAAGCATAAATAATTATATTACTTTTTATTATCACATAATTATAATTTCCAGGTTCCCGAAAGATCCTGATGTTAAAGAAAACATTTTAAATAAATTTCTTCATTTTACGGGTCATTAAACTCATTTTGTAGAGTTGCTAATAACATCAACTACTAGAGATACTTACTTATATAGTCAACTATATTTTCAAACATAGTGTGAGGAATAAGGGTATTACACAGTTGGCGACTGTAAATATGAAAAAAAAGGAAACTGCGCTGTTTATTACTTACTACTTAATAACTTATTTCCACATTAATATAAATCTAATTGTTACGTGAAGGAAGTATTTGTTCAGTAATAGTAGTAATATTTAATTTTTGTACCTGTGAGTTTTAGTGATTTTTTTAAATTTTTTATTCATCAGTTTTTTTTTTCATTTTCAATTATAATAATAAAAATAACGCCATTTAATTTCAAACTAAGCAGAGCTGGTACTATGAAATTTAGATTGACTGATAGAATACTTATATACTTTTTGTAAATATATTCATATTATATATAGAAACAAATATAATTATCATTATAATAGGTACTATTCATTTATAAGTATCATTACTGTTAAAATATTAAAAAAAAATATATATATCTATGGTTTTCATTACTATGTACTTGTTATCCATTTTATTTTAATGTATATAAAAAAAATCTACACTTTCAAAAAATTTAGTCAATCCATAGCATTGTTTACAGGACTTCTTATACATCGAAGGAGATTGTAGTGGTGCCACATAATACATTGGAGTAAAATGCAATGTAATTCCTCGACATTAGGGTTCTGAATAGTTTGTGCCCTATACATTTCACCCTTGTTTTGTAGGTGTGTGCGAGTCTTATACCTATTTGTTTGTATTTTGTGTATGTGTTAAGATGTGGCGACATCGGTTTTGGATGTAATCGAGCGCTAATTCATTTCTAGTGTCTTATTATTACGATTTCTGTGGTTAAAACTGATTCTAAGTAGGGATTGTACGTATATAATAGAACGTCACTTAAAACGTGATTCACCGATCCATACTCAAGTGAGTGATAACCTATTTTAGAACGATGTTTATGTCGAAATCCTTACTCAAGTATAGATTTTGACAACTAATGTGATCTTTATTTACGTGAGACTAGTACTAACTGGCTGAAACTAGTATCAAGCAGTAATTTCTAAGGCATTGTAAATGAACGTGTCTTACGATGATTTGTTTCTAAATAATAACGAAAGACTTACTTTATTTACGAAAGAATTACTATCATACCTATTCAATTCACTTAAATTTTACCTTGTACACACAATACTTGTTTAAATTAAAATCACCAAAAAGTTATCAGATCTCATGTAGATCCGAATTTCTAACTCTGCCCGCCCTAACTCTACAAGCCCTAACTTCACGATCTCTACACATTAGTCAAAATATGTGGCTCAGCCGTTTAGTTACTTCAAGACATATTGTATATCAGTAATGAACAGTAAATAAATTTTTCACTTTACGCCCATGCCACCGGAAGTGAAATATTTTTTTATCTTACGCCCATGTCACGGTAGTAGGGTTTGGGAAGTCTCAACCGTTTCAAATTGCCGGGACACGACACAGCCTACGATCAAAGTCCCAGGACGTCCCTTCACTTCAGAAGTTTCAAATTAGATTCGAGTTAATTTCTAGCGAAACTTAATTATTAATAACAAAGCAATTTATGTTAAAAAGCAACTTTAATTTAAATTGTAACAATTTTAACGCTAATTTCAGTCTAAATAATTGTTATGTATATTTCTTATAATCACAGATTTTCTTTTAACAATAAATCTTAAAATTATAAAACAAACTTAGCAATAATCGTACTAATTGTTATTATTACCTAGTGTTTAGTCATTGGTCATAAAATAATTCACATAATCACAGAATATTAAACTAATACATGGCGGTTACAGGCTCTTTCAACGATTTGATTGGAAATAAAAATGATTACAATACAATTTCAGCAACTGCGTCTCGAGTCTCGACCCGAAAGTCTCAGGACCCAAACCCGGTAGCAAAACGGCCAAACCTCATATTTTGACTAAGGTGTTGAGATTCTGAAGTTAGTTTTTGTGAGATGTTACTTCTTTTTGTAAGTTACTTATGACTACGGGGGTCACACTGAAAGAAAACAGAATGATTTAGAATATTTTTATTGTTTTTCGAAGTACGAGGGAAGATCCAAAAGTTCGTGGAATGGAGGGGATGGAGTGGGGATAGGGGCGCTCGCTTAGTGTCATGCTAATTGGGGACTCATCATTAGTATATAAATTAAGTTTTAGCCCTATTGCTTCATTCGTTTACGAATATTCACCTGCTCAACAAGTCTAGCCGGAAGAAAATTGAATACCGTGATGTGATCAAATGGTCGGGCGTCGATTGAAGACGACCCCCGCTCAGGAAGGACAGTTGAGGCCACCACATCAGACATCGTCGAAAAAGTAGAAAAAAATGTACTGGAGGACACCCGTTTGAAGAAAAAACATTTATCTGCATTAGTTGGAGTATCAGATACCACCACATTGCGATTCCTACATGACCACCTGGGTATGACAAAAGTCAGTACAAGATGGGTACCGAGAATGCTCACGCCGCTTTAGAAACAACAGCGCTGCGATGCGTCAAAAACAATATTTGGAGTTGTGTGGAGACGAACCTGCACAGATTTTGGAGTGGATTGTTACCGGAGATGAAACATGGGTTCATCACTTTGAGCCTGAGTCCAAACAAGAGGCCATGCAATGGCGTAAGAAGGGTACACCATCGCCAAAAAAATTCAAAGTGTCGGAGTCGGCTGGAAAGTTGATGGCTACTGTTTTTTGGGCTTGTGAGGGGATAATACTCATTGATTACAAAGAAAAGGGCAGGGCCATAACCGGAGAATACTACGCAACGATACTAGAGAAATTAAAGGAGGCCATCAAAGAAAAACGTCGAGGAAAATTGACCAAGGGTGTGTTGCTCTTGCAAGACAACGCGCCGGTTCACAAGAGCAGAGTTGCAATGGCTGCTCTGCATAAGCATGGCTTCGAAACACTGGTTCACCCACCCTACAGTCCAGATCTGGCCCCAAGTGATTTTTTATTTGTTCCCCAATTCAGAAATAGACTTAAGGAGAAGGAAATTTTCCGACGACAATGAGGTAAAGGAGGCAATTTTAGCTCATTTTGAGGCAAAAGATAAAAAATATTTTTACTATGGTTTAGAAAAATTAATTTATAGATCTAATAAATGTATTAAGCTTAAGGGTGATTTTATTGAAAAGGAAAAATAGATTTGTTTCATTTTATTTAAAACCCTTTCATTCCACGAACTTTTGGACCTCCCCTCGTAGTCTCCTTTCCGCTCTAAGCGCTGTCGCATGCGATGGAACTATTGTCTAAGGCAATAAGCCCACCCTTCTTTAGGAATCTCTTCCACGACTTTTTCAAACACAGCCACGGCTTCTTCAGGGTGCAAAAACCGAATCACTCTAAATTTATATTTTATTTTTGGATATTAATAAAAGTCACAAGGAGCTAAGTCCGGATTGTAAGAAGGATGACTCACTAGCTCCACACCTTCGTTAGACAAAAAGCGATAGTTCGTATGGCAGAGTAAGCGAGAGCGTTGTCGTGGTGGATGCTGCTTTTCTTACTGGCTTATTCTAAAATATTTTAAAATGCGAGTTATTAAACTAATTGCAGTGCTAAGATGCTACTGACAGCTAAGGATACAATGAATCATAGACGATCAGTTCGTGACATTCAATGGCATGATGAGAATACAGTTGTATATGTAACTCACTCCGGATTCCTTCAGCTAATGGATATGAGGACTCATCAAGGGGTATTGTATTTTATTAAGAATATTTCATTAGACAGATGAGTTTCTTTTTACCAAAGTCTTTGTGCAAGAATTAAAATCAGGTTTAAACAGTTATGTGTTAGTTTTCCATATAAGAGTTATTTCCTTGATGATGTGCTGACCCGTGGGGATTTGCAAATGAAAAAATAAAATACTAGATTTTATTTAAGTAAACTTTTATTTTAGCACATGCAGGATCTAACGCCTTTCTGTTCATCCACCGTAGATAAATTACAGTTAATACAAATTACACAAAAACAGTACCTTTCTGGCAATATTAAAACCTAAGTCGTAGGAGCGGCCTTGTCAAGAGATAGAAAGAAGTACAACATTCGAATACTATCAGATATTATAACTAACCTAAACCTAAACTAAACTAAAATTACTAGGCCTTAGTTAATGGGGTAGTTCTCGTATGAATTAAAGGGCACAAAATAACACCGCCCATAAAGTAATGTGGAAGGAATCTATAACATCAATGGCGGGTCCACATGTACTGCTGCCACCATCTTTCAACGGTTAAATGCTTCCGAAAGGAACTAGGCTTGTTAAACTAGCCAGCGTTTTCTGAACGCATAATGATAATAAAACTAAAGAAAGATGTGAGAACTAATAAACTCATAGCTATTTAAAATATAAGATTTTTAAATTCATATGAAAAAGTATCAGTAGGTAGCGTATACTTTTCATTTACCGGACCAAATATAAATACCACAAAAAACCCATTTGCATTATACATATGCCATTAAAAATTGGTATATAATGCAAATGGCATAAGGCACACAGTCACGTCAATTCTTTTAATTCCTAATAAAACTTTCCGCACAAAGCCGCGGCTTGATACTATGTAGATCATTATTTATATCTAAAAGGACATAAATAATTAGTGTAATATAATTACAGGTGTATAAAGCAAGAGATCCATTTCAGTCAACTTTATATTGTGTTAAAACGGATGGTGAAAATGCTATTTTAGTTGGTTCTGCTGAATATTCACGATGCGTGTTATTCGATGCACGCAACTCCAGAAATCACGTGCAGGTAAAACTTCATTATAAAGGGTTACCGGGTAAGTCGACCTAAATACTTTAAGAGGGTTGTAGTTGCCATCATTTCTGATAGATTTCACTATGAAATACCATATCCCAAACCCAACTATTTTCAAAATATACGTCTTTTAGGATTTTTATAAAAATTGCCGAAATTTTGCCTATTTTTAGGGTTCCGGACCTCAAAAGGTAAAAAAGGAACCCTTATAAGATCACTTTCTTGTCCGTCTGTCCATCTGTCCGTCCGTTCGTGTTTCACCACCGATTTTCTCAGGAACGGGTAGACCTAGCAAGTTGAAATTTATACCAGATATTGAGGTCTATGGTCCCTATTAGGTGTTTAAAAATAAAGGTCCTGAGTCAACACGATAAAAAGGATATGGGCAAATTTCGATTTTCGTGAAAACTTGTAAGTACCAAATTTGCCTTAATTTTCAACTTTTTTATATATAGCACGAGCACATTGGCAGTATCCGTAAGAAATCCAAATATGAACATATTTCTCGTTCGTATCGGTCATCATCTCCAACAGTATCAGAAGCACAAATCAAAGTCTACTTAGTAATAGTTAGTCACGAATAGAAAACTAAACTGTCCAAAAATACAAGCCTAGCTTTCAAGTAGGTACTACCTGGTTTTACGCTAATTCTTAACACTCCCGGTCTATCATCTAAGTTTTTTTCTATGAATTCTGCTACTAGACTAGACTATTATACTTAGATAGCTAAGAATGCGTACATGTTTTTTAACAAATCTGCAGTTTAACGGCCATGCTTTTTTTTAATATTTCGTCGGAGAAAACAAATATTAATATTTTTTTTCTTTTTGTTATTATTAACCATCATTGGTTATTAACAACCATTGTAGTTAAATTAACCAACTATTAACTACAATTTTGGTAATGAAAATTATAAAACAATGTATCAAATACACAAAAACAGTAAAAATAAACATAAAATAAAGGATATATGTAAGTTAGAAAAAAATATTAGGCAAAATTTCGGCAATTTATATAAAGAAACTTAAAAGTCTAATATTTTGAAAATGGTTAGGTTTGGGATATGGCATTTCATAGTGAAATCTATCAGAAATGATGGCAACTACAACCCCTTAGAGTACTTAGGTCAACTTACCCAGTAACCGTGTATAAATAGTTTTTTTAGACTGTATTTATTATTAAATGTTGTTGAATAGTTTTTTCGTAAGTACTAAAAAAACTCATTTTAATCAATAGAGCCAAATGTTCGCATATGTAAAATATTAAGTGTTGTTAGTCGTGTTGTTATTTTGTACCAATGGTTATACGAGTAAAATCTTTTCCAGATGTACTTTACTCAACGAAACTCATCGCCTGTGTATAGTCTGGACTTTGATTCAACCAAACTAATTACTGCTGTAGACCGAGGCGTTGCAGTATTGAACTTCAACGTCGATTCGACATCTCAACCGTGCAGAGACTACTCAAGTCATGTGTTTCAGTGACAGTGTATTAACACGGTGACAGACGCCATAATCGCTGCCACCGTTTTTCAAGTTGAACTGTTAAAAGCGTACCGTAGAGCCTGGTTGTAGGTCACGTCTTAGTACCAAATTTGCAAGTTGCAAATGTTTTATCATTGAGCATTAGAGGAAAATTAGGTATTCCTCGTTCTCAATAATAGTAAAATAATCTAAAAAGTGGACCACCGCCGACTACTACTTTCATAGGACTTGGACGCAAAAACAGTGACTGCTACGACAAAAAATAAGTGAATTTAAATGTAATGACATGAGTTCATTTCGTTGCTGAGCTCAATTATTAAGACCAAAGGTATTAAAAAAAAGAGGAGTAGCATATGATCTTAAAATAATACTATATTATATTATTATTAGACTATATAATAATATACAGCCTTGGCCAAAAGTATTAGGCACCCTACATTTTACTTAAAATAAAGGAAAAAAAACAACTTATACCTTTGAATTTATTTATTACCATTAAAATTCACAAAAAGGAAGGAAAAAAAAATTAAAATATAGTCGGTCCACCTTTGGATTTAATTACTACACTAATTCTAGCTGGCATGCTGCGTACAAGCTTAGTACAATCCTCCCTTGTAATGGCATGCCATACTTGTACTAACACATTTTTAATGCCGTTTTCGATGTGATACTATGCTCTTTAATCTTGCGCTTCAAAATGCTCCAAAGATGTTCAATTGGGTTCAAATCTGGTGACTGCGCTGGCCAATCAAACAAGTCAATGTTGTTTGCAGTAAACCAACGCATCGTAGTCGCTGACTTATGACAAGCTGCATTTTCTTGCTGGAATATAACTCCCTCTAAGTTGGTATCGCCGAAAATACTCGTTAGCGAAGGCATAAGCGCAGTTTCAAGAAACTTTTATGTACTTTTCGCTGTTCATACGACCTTCGCAAACAAACATTTCGCCAACCCCATCAGTAGCCATGCAGCTTCAGATCATTATGCTGCCTCCTCCATGCTTTACTGTCGGTACGACGCAATCTGGATGGTATTCTTCGCCCACACGTCGCCTCACGAAGGTCACACCTGGCGTTCCAAATATCTGTTGAAAAAGAAAAAAAAAAATTTTTTAAACTGCCTTAACTTTTATTATTTTAGTTATATAAATAACTGTCCATGATTATTAATAACAAAATCAGTAAAATTTACTTACCTCAAAGTTAGACTCGTCAGACCATACCACATTGGCCCAATCTTCCTCCAGCCCATTCAAGTCGTTTTTTTTGTTAGCTTCTGAAAGCCAGGGCTTCTTCCTGGCTATGCATCCTTTTAAGCCTGCTTCTCCAAGTCTTCTTCTGGTGGTCCGAGCACTTATTGGCTTTCCAGCCTCTTCGGACAAAGTAGCAGCAAGCTCTGATGATGTTTTCTTCCGACCTTACATAGATTCGCGTATTAAGTTTCTATCCTCGCGCTTCGAAGTCACACGTCTTCTGCCTGTTCTTGGTTTATTAGCGTGACTGCCAGTCTCAGCAAACCGTTTGATAGCAGATTGCACAGCGCAACGCGAACATTTCACTAACTTAGCAATTTCTTTTTGCGACTTCCCTTGTTCATGGAAAAGTTGTATTTTTACTCCGTTTTCCAAACTAATTTCACTTCTTTTCGGCATTTTTAAATAAATTACGTGTCAATTTAATCACTATGTTAGAAATAAAGCTTGTTTACTCGTTAGAGTCCTGAACACAAGTGACCAAACATTGACTGATAATAACGCATAAAAACAAATCCTTTATTTTCAGTAACCAGGTGTTTTATGACCATAACAGATAGCTGCTTGCTTTTCTAGGAAGTTATTTGTGACCCCGGCATGCCATCTAAGATAAGCATTTATTCATTGTTCAATCAGTAAACATGAATTGTGCATTTTTCTGGGGTGCCTAATACTTTTGGCCAAGGGTGTATTGTAGAAAGCACAGAAAGGCAGGCATCTACAGGCCGGAGTGAATAAAATGTGAACTGATAATATGTACATAGTAATAAATAAATTAGATAATTATATTTACACAATCGAAATAGTCACTAGAATGACTGCCTCGGTGTTGCAGTGGTAGCGTATGCGACTGCTGTGCTGAGGTCTCGGGTTCGATTCCCGAGCTGGACCAAATGTTTGTATAATCTGCAAGCATTTGTTTCGGAGTTTGAGTGTTTTCTATCTATAATATGTATGTATTAATACAAAAAAGTATATAAGTATTCTATCAGTCAATCTAACTTTCATAGTACAAGCTCTGCTTAGTTTGAAAGTAGATGGCGTTGTGTGTCAGACGTCCGAAAATATTATTAGTATTATATTATTAGTTAAATTCCAGTGGTTGTTAACATGGTTTCTCTGATGTGTTATAGAAAATGTAACTTCAAATTCGCTTTTGTGCTTTATTTCCGCTTTAAATCTTCAATGATAGAAAAAAAACCAGTAAGTAATTCTTTTAAATATTTTTTTGGGCAACAACAAAAATCATGAATAACTAAGAAGCAGGTCTAGATCAGGATCTCTTTGTGCATTCGCAAGTGACACATTGATAAAACAATTGATTATAATCAATTACCTTCAGCCTTCCTTACACGCGAAAAATGATTAGATATTACTTTAAAATACTAATTTAGCCTTTCACTGTTAGTCACGATTCCGATGTTTTCGTAAAATACTCTTAATATTACATGTAATCTATACTAATATTATAAAGCTGAAGAGTTTGTTTGCTTGAAGCTAATCTCAGGAACTACTGGCCTGGTTTGAAAAAATATTTTAGTGTTAGATAGCCCATTTATCGAGGAAGGCTATATTCTATATATCATCACGCTAAGACCAATAGGAGCGGAGCACCAATGGAGAATGTTTCAAAATCGTTTTTTTTTTCTTTTGAGAACTTCCGCTGCGTGCGCTGCGTAAACGGTTACTTTCGCAAAAATCATGTATGACAGAATTGTTCCCCTTTTAAAGTTCTAAAAAAAAAGTCCGCGACAGCATATGTCTATCTTTTAAGGTTGGCTCACTATAACCTTCTTATGCTACAGAAATTTGTTCTAAAAAATGTATTATTTGCGAAGGTGTTTTTATAAACATGATATTAATCCTTATCCAAATAAATACGTTATTCATTACAAGTATTTAATTTAAAACAAAAATTGACCAGTACATCATTCGATTTCAATAAATATCTTAGGAGCTATCGCAGTTTTAAAATAATATCACAGCAAAATAATGATCAAGTACTGCGCGCGCATTTATGATGTGCAAGGCCGGCGGGCAGTCATGAGGGGGAAGGGCGGTGGCCCCTCTGCGAGATACCATGCCGCGCGGGTCAGACTCGTGGTCGGCTCCTTACGGAACGGTTGTTCTTAGAGAACTAGGTTTTAAGTTTGTTTTTCCAAAACATCATCGTTTAACACTTTTTAGATGAATAAGTTATGAGTTTTAGAATGCGAGGCGTAAGGCACTATTTCTACTTGCCGCGAGTGCGCGAGGCCCCTACATGGGCCCTGGGCGGTTGCCCTGCTCGCCACCCCCAAAGAACAGGACACACACGAACCAATTTAGACACACGAACCAATTTAGACACACGAACCAATTTTATTTTGCATGATCAAATCAAACCCTATTTGATTGAAAATGTACTATATCATCAACAGCCTTTAATAGTCCACTGCTGGATATAGGCCTCTCCTTTCAAAGGAGGTTTTAGCCTATTATACCACGCTGGCCAGACGGGTGGGTATAGGGTTTGTGTCAAGTTTTCCTTCTTTTTGCCTGCGTTGTTTTGCATCCTTAGTCGGCTCTTACGACACCCACGGGATGAATTGGGGTAGTGACATTCCGTATTCTTAATCCGTCACTACACGGACAAGTGTGTAGTAGTTGTGTAGTGTAGAAGGGAATTAAACTCATAGCTAATAAAAACAAAAAAAACATATTGTGTAAGTAAATATATGGTTATGAATCAAAAATTTTGTTTTTACACTACTATGATGCAAGAGCATTCAGGAACAGCACACTAACGATAAGACCAATTATCAATTTATCAAAATCCAAATGCTAAATGCATCTCTAGGGGCTAAGGGCTCTTGGCTGGCTCAGAGTCAATCGCACGTCATAGCATAGCATACTTTCGGTTACTGCAGTGCACGGCTTGGTACGAGGGCGGGTCAATAAGTCAGTGACTTTTTGAATTTCTGACCTCTTTACTGAAAAAGCAACACTACTCCTGTCAACAGGCATCTGTCAGTTGACTCCTGTCAAAATTTGAACTTGCTGCGTCAGTTAGTTTGTGTTTGACAGCTATCATTATCAGACTACCCAGTAATTTGAGGAAAAATGGAAAAAAGTGAATTTCGTGTGCTTATTAAGCATTATTTTTTGAGAAAAAAAAACCATTACCGGGACCAAGGCTAGCAAGCTAGGCAAGCTTGATAAATACTATGGGGACTCTGCACAATCGATTTCAATGGTAAAAAAGTGGTTTACTGAATTTCGTTGTGGCCGTACAAGCACTGAAGATGCCGAACGTCCTGGACGCCCAGTTGAGGTGTCTTCACCCGAAACAATCGAAAAAATTCACGATATGGTGTTGGCCGACCGAAGATTGAAAGTGCAAGAGATTGTGGAAGCCGTAGGGATCTCGCATGGCTCAGTGGTTTCAATTTTGAATGATCACTTGGGCATGAGAAAGCTTTCCGCTTATTGGACCGATTCAATGACGATTTGAAAAAAAACCGACCTCATTTGGCCAAGAAAAAAGTTATTTTCCACCAAGACAATGCAAGGGTGCACACATGTGCAGTTGCCATGGCAAAAAATCCATGAATTGGGCTATGAATTGCTCCCTCATCCGCCCTATTCTCCAGATTTGGCTCCGAGTGACTACTTCTTGTTCCCAAACCTGAAGAAATGGCTTGGTGGAAAAGAGATTTGACTCCAATGATGAAGTTATCTCGCAAACAAAGGCCTATTTTGAGGACCTCGACAAATCATATTTTTTGGAAGGGATAAAAAAATTGGAGAAGCGTTGGACAAAGTGTATAGAGCTCAAGGGAGACTACGTTGAAAAATAAAATGATTTATTTAGCAAAAAAATCTGTGTTTTATTCCAAAAGTCACGGACTTATTGACCCGCCCTCGTAATATAGACTTTAAATTCTGTGTATACTGTGTATTAATATCGTGTAAAGATTGTAAAATCCCTTTCGATCCGATCGAACCGTTTGGTGGAAATCATCCTATAGACTAGGAAATATTGAATTTCATTTATAACGTTGAAAACTCATCATCTTTTCATTTTTGTAGGCGGATAAGTACATAATTAATAGTATACTTATTTATTTATGTTCACATTACAATTAATTGTATAATGGTGGACTTAATGCCACAGGCATTTTCTCCTAGTCTACCTTTGAGTGGTGGGGAAATTTCTGAGTAGGAGCACTAGATTTTTTTTGTTTCAAAAAACTCATAATAATTAAGGAGATGGATAGAAACAGTGGGAAAAAGATATACATACATACTGAAATACACATACATATATACTTACTGAGTTACATACAAATATACACAAATAAGATCTAAAACTTGACGGATATGATGAATCTGCTCTGCTTAAAATACGAGCTCGGACTTTCGTCGTGTCGAAATGATAGACGGCTAATTGTGATGGTATAATAATATTAGGTTTGTGGTTTATTATTTAATTTTTCTGATATATAAATATGGTCTACCTATCTATGCAATGAATGTCTCGAAATTTTATTCAAGAATTGTGTAACCATCTGTACTTATTCAATACCAGTATTACACTGTAAATTTTAGAATGGTACCTAAATGTACAGTGTTTTAATTGTATTTCGTTAATTATTGAGTGTAAAGAAATAAAATTTTACATGTGAATAGTTGCATTAATGCACTAATTATTAGAATAGGTTTTATAACGCATTTCCTTGAGAATTTCGTGCAATAAGACTACATATGAAACAGTGGTCCAGTCATGGTAAATTATTCCATAGCTCATTATGTACTAAGAGTACATCAATTATACTTGGCAAGACGTTGTAGATGCTTAAAAGGTATGTATAAACGTTATAACTTAAAACCTAATGCATAAGCACTAAGCCCTAGGACCTAATAACCTTATTTTAAGTTTATATTTATATCTTCTGAATGGTGTGGTTTGTTGAAATCCGTTTTTCAAATTCAAAACAACAGCAACAACAACAAACAAATGAAAAAATGTACAGCTCTCTAGAAAAGCGTTTTATATGAAATCTAGAAAATGGCCAAACGTTGTCACAGCGGAAACTTGAATATCTTCGCAGTTTATCGACACACACACAACACACAAGACATACACAATTACCCCGCGTCATACACTAATTTTTGATACTATTTGTTTTTTTCTTCTATGACCAGAGAATAAAAAAAGTGCCGCTGGGACAACAGTTTTTTCGTGAATAACTCCCCAATGGTTGGATGCACAAATTTTTACTTACCATACACAATTATACGACGTCACACACTAAATATCTGTTAAACTCAAATAATTAAATTCGAACTTCTTCCGCTGGGGCAACGCACACCTCTTAGGCAGATTTTTTTTTTTCTCACCATAGAATATAAGACACCTTTAAAAAATGGGTGTACCCTATTATTTTACTCTACGGTCGCTTCACTGTTTGACTTACTAGATACCAGGTCATTAAATTCTAAAAAAAAAAAAACGCTTCAATGTTATGTCACAATTATGACAAACGATTTGACTTTGACAGACTACAATACTACAATTGTAAAACATAACCTCACTCCATTGTTGGCAGTTGGCACCTAATTTTACTAAAATAAATAACAATGAAATAACTTAACTATCATTGTATTTTAATTACCAGAATTATCTGTATCCATTATATAAATAATATGTTCAGAATTAGCCTATATAACTTTTTTAAATATGCATACCCCCACGGGAAGCGAATATTGACTAAACGCAGACATTTCGCCCCTGTAACCATGGGACTGTTGACCACCGCAGCCTTCTGTGATGACAAACGGAAAGAAGTCGATCTGCTGTGGGAAGACGGCAGTCTTGAACATGAGTTCTTAATCCGTCAAGCCACAACTATTAATGTAAATGCAGCCACACAGCTTTTAACTGTTACATTAGTCGCAATACAAGACACTAGTGAAAGGTATTTAATTTAATAAGCATAACTTGTAATAGTCATCAAAGAAAATTATTAGCTTTGATTACATTATCGTAGTTCATTATATCATTGTTCTGCCATTTACAATTTTAAATAGTAACTATTGGTTTTATAACACACTTCCGAAATGTTTAAGTTATTGTTAATAAGATAAATATTATTCCATGTATTATAAATCCTAGGTTACGGGATGCAATAACCAAGGAAATTTGTCTGGTGAAACAAGCTGTAGAATGGGGAGAAGACGGAACTCCCCCACATCATTGGGAACAGTTGGTTGCTGTTAGAGGATCATTGTGTGATTTAAAACATAACTTAACCACTTTGTTTAGTAAGTATTAAATGACAGCTATGTTTACCTCACAAATAACCTTTAATTGTAAAAACATAAAAACATTTTAATTTTGGCTAAATGTTCTTTAACTTTCAAAGACAATAAGCATGTTTGAGTACTTACTAAGGAATTCACTATAGATTTGCTTACTATCCATTTTTTTTTACGGATCATTAATCAACAACCTTCAAAGTTAATTCAGTTTAATTGGATCAATAATCAACAATTGTCAAAGTTAATTCAGTTTAATACTCAACTGTTATTTCTAAAAAAAAAAATTTATTGCATTACAAAAACTTCCTTGTTTTAAATGCTAACATAGCATTTAAAACAAGGAAGTTCAAACAAAGACTGCTCTGATTAATATTTTGGAATATCTTTTCAAGGACTGATAATAGCTATACTCTGATTATCATCATCAACAGCCTATACTAGTCCACTGCTGGACATAGGCCTCTCCTTAGAAAGGAGGTTTACTACACTCTAAAAACTTAATAAAAAAAATGGTATATGATAATATTGGCATGCCTTATGCATTACATTATGCAGAAAGTGTATATAAATAAATATTTCTTTTTTATCTGTTGCCTAATGTTTGAACATCTATTTCAAGAGGAATCCTCGCGCATTCTCGAGTATTTCCCTAACTACTGAGGGCATCGTCTGTGGAATCCGCAGGAAGTGGCGCAAAGTGGGAGTCAGTCAAGTCGTATCTAAACTAACAAGTGGAAGCCCCTTTAAAACCCGCAAATTCACGCCTTCTATCGTCATGAGGCGACAGTGACGCTTCCATTTCATGCCGCGGCGGTGTAAATTGAGCCTTAGACTGTCTTGTCTCAAAAGACCTTACTCACCTATAAAAGATACTCAGAGACATCCTCATACATTTGCTTCACGAATAACCACACATCCCCTTATAATATATCCTGTATGTAGTGGGAGTGCCATGCGTCAGCACACGAAGAGGGGCTTAAACAGAGTCATCCTCACATAAAACTCGTGTTTAGCAATTCTTCAATTGCTTTTCACCAAATGAGTTAGGTTACTGGAGCCCAAAATCCTCATGATTCTGGGAGTACTCAAAGAGCGGCAATGAACTTGTGAGTTTCAGGTGTCCATGGGTAGTAGTAGTTACTTACCCTCAGGTGCTCCTTTGCTTGTTTGCCCTTCTATATGCCATAAAACAATATATTATCTTGGTATCTATCTATCTATCAATATATTATCTTGGTATCTATATATCTATCTATGGTACATTGGTTACTTTAAGTATCTTGTAGTATATGTCTGTTACACCCTGAATACTTAAAGTACCTTTAAGTATTCAGGGTGTAACACGTCCTAACGAAAACTGAAAAAGTGTATTCAGGCCATCATTCGACAGAGTCGAAAATCGTTGCAATTTTCTGCCGAAGAATTCGATATTTGGTTAAACATGTTACCACAAATGAATAAGCAGAACATTTTAGCGAAAACAATTAAATAAATACAGCATACGCTCAAAAACTGCAATCTAATTAAACAAACAACCTAAGAGCGCGGGGCCTCCTTCCTGGCCGCCAACTTGTGTTAGTGTGCGTAGACTGTTTGAACGGAATACAAATGTAGTTATTGCTTTTGTGTGATACCTACGGGTCCTTATAACCTTAAGGTTTGACAGCTAATTGCATACGTTTAATTTTCGTTGCAGAAAATTCCAATGATACCGACTTGAGACAGATGGTCTGAATACACTATTTCAGTATTTGTTACAGCGTCCCTTACACACTTTTTTTTTCCTTATCTTTGTCAACATAAAATGTTTAACTAAAATTTACTAAACATATATTTTATAGGTTACATGGATTATGCAGAAAAATTAGCAACAGTTGCCGCAGAAATATCATATTTATCAGGCAATATTGCTGCATCAGATGCTATTTGCGAAAGAATAGATCATGCATGCAGGTAAATAACCAACAGTAGATGTATAAAAGGTTTTTATTTAAGCATGTTATGTTTATATGACAAGAGTTTAAAAAACAGTTTTTCCTTTTTTTTTTCTTATATTTTTGTTAGAAGTGCTCATAATTAACAAATGGCTTTTGTTTTAAATTAACTTTAATACAAATTATTTAGATATTTTATAATAATATATGCATTATTATTTAAAACAACAATAGTCACTTCTTTAACTTCTAACATTGTAATAATAGACAAAGTAACAAAAGGTTATAAACAAAATATTTTATCCTTATTTCATATTGTGTGTGTATATACATAGTGGCAGTATGTGTGTTGACAGGACGTGCAATGTGCAGAAACAGCTCACACATGACCTGCAGCAGGAGAGCTTGGAGCTGCAACAGCAGGCCATCATCAACTCCCCTCAACTTCAGGATAAGCTGAAGGACGATATTAAATCTGAAAGAAAGCTGAAATAAATATAAACGAAACTATAACTGAAGAATTTCATGTGATACCTGCATATGAAACAATAACATGCCACGCAATGGATGTGAAAAGTACATATGGACGCAATAATCTACTCTAACCAAATTACCTGTAAATAGTAGGATTAATAGTTATATAATTACATAATAAGAAGCTTGTAGACTGACGTTTTGTTTGATTTCTTTGAGTTTGTTTGTCCTTTAGGCTCAACCCCTTGGAAACGGGCGGTTGTAGGTTGGACAGGCATTTTAATTGACATTTAATTGAGTACGCTCCATGGCTGGTAGTGACAGATATTTCACCTCGGTCGCACCGAGGCGGCGCCGGCGAACCGGGCGGCGGAGGCCACCACCAAGTTAATGACCATGAACAAATGGCGGCCTTATCGCTAAAAACAAGCTATTACAGGCAACCTTTGGATGGACAAATAGACTGTAAATAGGTAATTTCATAACGGCCAGCCGCTAGGAGGCGTCGTCCGCGTATGCCGGACGTCGCCTAAATGGAGAATGTACCCGGGGTTGGTGCCCGCGCCATTGCGGGCAGGCGCTAGGAGGGGGTTCGGATGTCTTAATAATAGCAGTTCCCGGATCCCTCCTATTACAGGCACAGAGTGGCGCACCGTGTGGTTTTAGTAGGTCCGATTCGATTTAACGCACCACCCCGTCGCAAGCCCCGGTGGGTCGACGGCCCGAGGGGGTTTCCACACGTAAAAAAAAAGGCATTTTAATTGACTTCATTTTGCTAAATATTTGACAAAAAAGAAAAAAAGCTATTGTGCGTGTTAATCTATGACTTTAGAGACTAAGATGATTTCAAGTAAGGTTTTTTTTATGAAATAAGGAGTTTCTGTAAAGGATAGTGATCGATCAATATGGCACTTAGATGGCTAAGTGCCATATTGATTGCTCAATTAGTGATGCTGAAAGAAAAAAAATAATTAAAAAAATACTAAATTGGTTGTGATGCTACCTCAATATTGGTAAACAATTTTAAATACAAATTGAGTTAGAATTTAGTAAGGAACTTAATCTGAATAAAGTCGAAACCTTAAAATTTTGGAAGTGCATTTTCGTTTCGTTTGTCGGTTAATATGTGTTGACGTGTTCCTACAATGTTCTTAGAAAAGGTTAAAAAAAGTCATGTGGAAAAAAGGTTAACAATACCTGCAGTTTTAGAAAGTAGCATCCTTGTTAAGATGAGTCTCAATATCCACACGACAGATGGGACAATGCTTATTGGTGCTAAGCCACTGGTCCACACATTCCATATGGAACAGATGCATGCAAGGTAACCGTCTGTGAACAAAATGGGTTAGGTATGATGAAGACTGTTTTGCAAAACATGCCAATTGTAAATTTTACACAATATCGAGTTTAGCCATGTCATATTATGACACTAGCGATCCGCCCCACTTCAATTCGATGTAGATATTACTAATGTGGTGTCAGTATGGAGTAATTAATTATACTATTATTATGATAAGACTATACTACAGAAATCTTTATATAAAATATATATGGGCCCACTCCGTTGCTGCCGGCCGTTACCATTCGGGACGGACGTACGACCCGACGACAGCCGCTTTGTGCCCACATTTTAAATCTCTGATATCGTCTAAGATATTCATTTTAATGATATCCTGTAAAGAGCAATTTTGATTGATATTAAATGCACAACGTATCTAACGCATTCAATTAGATAAAGAATAATACTGTATTGTTCAAAATAGCTTCGTAAATATTTCAAAGTTTATTAGTAATATGTAAAAGTGTAATATCACTTACTTATAAAGGAACTGAAGCATACTTGCAATCCAAATAAACACATATATACACACACATACATACATCAACTACCCATCTCTACATGACCCCTTCATAATATTATTAAAATTAAAATATTTTTTTGTGTTCAAGTAGGTTTGTAAGAATCAAATGAACACAATCGTGTACCAACTATGTAACAAGTATGCTATGGAAGAGCGGAGTCTCCTAATACAGGCATTATTTGCTTAAAGGCAAACGCCAATCACGAATATTTTTATACTCATTTTTGGTAACGAAATAAAACAATTTGTATTGTGTAATATGTATAACTGCCTCGATGGCGCAGTGGTAGCGTGGGTAACTGCTGTGCTGAGGTCTCGGGTTCGATTCCCGGGTCGGACCAAAATTTTGTATAATCTGCAAGTATTTGTTTCGGAGTTTGGGTGTTTTCTATGTATAATATGTATGTATTTACAAAAAAATGGGCATTGGTAAAAACTCTTTAAAATCCGTTGCATAGTTTAAAAGATTTAAGTGTACAAGAATAAAAAGCGACTTCGTTTAACATTATGTAAAGATTGGACTTCTTATAAGTTTTTTTGTAATTCTATGACAGATAAAATATAAAAGGGGCCGAATTTTAGTATTTTAAAAAATCTTAGGTTTATTCGTTTTGAGATAAGTAGAGGATAGTTATTTTTTTTTTCAGTTTCTCAAATAATCTTAAAATAGTAAAAATATATTTGAGATCCTCACAACGTGCTCTATAATTTATATATCACAGTTTAGCAAATGTTTTTTGTATTTTATGATGAACATTTGAAACGTGCAAGTCTGTCGACGTACAGGGCGGAGGGAGCGAACATACCTGCAGTCGGAGTCGAGCTCGAATATAGAGAGACAGATGGTGCACTTCTCGTCCTGGTGCTGCGGCGCGGGGCGGTAGGCGTGGCGGTACGTGTTGCGCTCGATGACGGCCACGGACGCGCCGCGCCCGCGCCACAGCCGCGCCTCGTCCTCCTCGGCCGCGCGCAGCATGGCCGCTGCCAGGATGCCCGCGCCCTGCGGGACTCCCGCGTTATATACGAACCCACACAAAATGTTTGCTCAAATAACGATCTCAGAAACCCGGTTGCAACGGTTGTATCGTCGCATTTCCAAAAACAAATCTGAAGAAATTTCTGATCACCGTTCACTAGCAAATTTCCATCTTAATCGGAAATTTCACCAGTGAACGGTGATCAGAAATTTCCGTAGTTTTTAGGTGATAAAGGTTTATATAGCTTACGTATATAGAAAAGAAGATTTTAAATGTATACATTATGTACAGCTTAATAGACATTTGAAATAAGTAGTCTTTTGTTTCATTATAGTTTACTACAGTATTGATTCACATGAATCTTCTGTCTGATCCAAGTAGTTCCATTAAGGGAGAAAAAAATCCTAGTAGATTTTTTTTCTCCAGCAGTTTTCATAAACAGCAGTTTATGCAATAAAATTAGTTTTTTTTTATTGTGGGTTTTTTTTTCTCCAGCAGTTTTCATAAACAGCAGTTTATGCAATAAAATTAGTCTCTTTTCATGTCGGGATTTACTTTTTATTGTATTTTCTTTAAATATTCAGAATCAGATGACCCGTCTGCTCGTCTGCTCGTCTGCCCCTTCTAACATAAAAAAAATACTGTATAATATATAGCGTCGTTTGATAAAATCTACAATAGCTTGCATAAAGTTATTACAGTAATTTTAAACGATTTATTTAGTTTTCTGTGCCATGTCTCTTACAATATTGGTTGTTCGACATCTTTACATTAATGAATTCAACGTTCTCAACCAGAACTCCTCCAAGCTCCATGTATAGTTTGAACCTATTTAATTTTAGTTTCTTGGATTCAGCTATCAACTGTACATTTTTTTTATAATGGAGCTAATGTGCTTAAGTGAAAAAGTATTCCAAATCCATGGAACTACTAGAAGAAAAAAATCCAGTAATACCATGATGGAAATAGAGAACTACTGGGTCAGACAAAGTCTTCGCTGTTGATCTCTTTACTCTTAAAAAAAATTACCTGTCTCGTCATGAAGGCGGGCTGTATAGAAATGTGTAGATGCGGTGGCGACGGATGCATCTGTAGATAATGGTGCATGTGATGATGGTGGACGTGTTGCCGATCACTGGAAATAAAAAAAGACATCCATTTAACATGACAATGTTGACTATGACATGTTACCATGCTTAGTAGGTATATTCCATAGTTATTTAATCAAATGTTTATATATACATAAGCCACATGTATAACCTATAGTTAAACCGCCGTAAGCTTGGCCCTCCTGATGGTTTGGGGGACGCGGGGCGGGGGTGCATTCAACCAATTAGCTAGTGCGTCGCTGTCCGCCGGCAGTGACTGACGTGAAAGCATGGCTGTACGTGTTATTTTTCTTAAGACTGCTACACACGGTATTATTTTGCAATATGGATAATCTGCCGACTCTGCGTCACAAAAAGATTTAAAAACTTGAAGTTCAGCTTACAGAGGTTCTACTGTTAAAGTTCTAATAAAGAATATTTATTATTTTACTTAATTTTTAAATTGTATCTGAATATAATTTACATGATGAAGATAAGGTGATTTTATTAAAATTATTTTACAGTATTAAATTTTACAATTAATCATAAAAACTTACAATACACTGACATTATAATACATGGAAATAAATTCGATTTTTATTACATCGTGTGTAGATTAAATCTCAAACAAATAAATCTGAAGATATCGAGTTAGTACATCGTGTCATGTATAGCCGAGCGCAACACCCGCCCCGCGTCCCGCAAACCATCAGGAGGGCCAAGCTTACGGCGGTTTAACTATAGTCATTTAAAAAGTAATCGGATGCATCGGGAATGCTTATTTTCCTAAATTTCAGTTTACTTTCACAGAACAGACTAAAAATCCCTTCTCAACCCATTGCTAACCTTTTGGATTCGAAAGATTAAAAATAATAACGGGTTATTAACGCAATGTGTTAGAAGACATACTTAGTGTTTATTTATTAGTTAATATATAGTTTAGACGATCAAAACTTACAGTATCATAGGTTGTTGAGAGCTGCCTCCGTAATCGCGGTCTAACTCATCAGGGAACTATAATAAAAACAATATTTAAATTACACACATTGTTATTATTAAAAACACTTTATTTTAATGAGAAATGTGCGCCCAGTCATTCAAGAAGGTTTTTATGTCCATATCATCATTCTCTAAAATTCATATACAAATGAATTTAAAGAGTCGCAACATCGTCGATTCACTCATTAACGAGTCGTTCTGTCGGCGAAACGTTCGTAGTGGTAAGGTTCTGTCGTTGATTTGGTCTAAAATAAAATGTTTTGTCGGCGAATCGTTCGTATTTGAAAGGTTCTGTCGTTTGAACAACTTATAAACGAAACCTTCTGTCGGCGACTCATGCGGCAGAGAAATGTTTGTCGGAGTTTAATTTCAGAATCGAGTTTAATCAGAGAATGGACGGTGACAGTCACTTACCATCAGGTTTCTGGTCTCGTTTGCCACTCTATACCGTTAAAAGACTATGGTTAAATAGATATAAATTTTGAGGGAATCTAAGTATACAGAAAATTGAACGTTTTAAAAATAATTCATTTACGTTCACGTGGCATTAGCTGTTTGTTAGAAACATCTTAGTCCTCAACGTAGGCAAATGTAGTAGTAGTAGTAACATGTACAATGTATGTTTGTATGTATGTAATAAATGTGTTGTGTCATGTCGCTTGTTTTAGTTATAAATGGTAAGGGTCAATTGTATATTAACCGCAAGTACGGCGGTGGGCGGCAGAGGCACAGGCACCGGCACGGGCGGCAACACCGGCCCGAACGTGTCGCCCATCATGGTGCGGCGCTGCATCTCCTGCAATGTAGTGTACATGAATATTGATTGACTCTAAGGTGTCCTGACGGTGTGGCTCTATTCATCATCATCATCATCATCTCAGGCGAAAGACGTCCACTGCTTTACATAGGCTACAACAAACGGTCCTGTGCTGACCATATTCAACGGCTTTTTGTGACTATATTGCACCGAGAAAATTGGAGATATACATTTTCAAAATGTATAGTTCTAAACATATTTAGCCCCATAACATTGGGGCTTGTGATGAATGGTAATGTGGTCAACTTCCGGTCCGGGTACTTTTAGTATGTTTTAAAATATTTCAAATATACAGGGCATAACAACTTGATAATGATAAGTATCAGATCAGATCTTATGAACTAATACGACCTCAGTATAAGTTCCGGTTGTTTAATTAAATAATGAATATAGAAACTTACCAGCATATGATGTTGTCTTTGCCATAATCTTTCGTGAACCAGGTACGGCGGTGCGACTGGCATACCGTCACGGCGGCGTTCACCCACTTTTGTATGAAAAAAAAAGGAAAAAAAAATGGATTGACGTTTTTGTTCGTTCACCGTATCTGCCAATTCGTCTGCTAATATATCTATTTATAATGTGGTGTAGCAAGATAGCGATAGCGAGCGATAGCCCCGCAGTCCTCTTCACTGCTCTCATAGGGTTTTATGTATAAGTACAAGTTAGCTAATATGTATATGTATAAGCTAGACAGAAACCAGAATAGACGATAAAAGCTACCAAAGACGTGTATGATTTCTGCACTGGTAACCCTATCGCCCTACATTTGGCGCCCAACGTTGATGAAGTTAGCTACAGCTGTCAAGTATAATTGACGTAGTGTGAAGTACCCACTATACACATAAAATACCAGCCCTCATTATAAGAATATTATTTCAAAACAAATATACATTGAAGATTAATTTCGTAAACTACCCACTATTTTTGAGAAAAGTACACGTATTTGAAAAGCTTTATAATGTCTGTGTCTAAAGAATTGTCAGCAGACGCAAGTCAGTATGCCATAGGCGCAGCTTTAGTGCAGGGGGAGGGCGAGCATGAACATCCTATAGAAAATGCAAGTAGATTGCTGACTCCAGCCTTGAAGCAATTAGCTCAGGATTTGGCACTTGCGAAAGAAAACATTGAAGATAATCTGGAATCAAACAGATTTAAAGCAAACGCCAAGAGAAGACCTGATCCAGGATGTAAATTTGGAAACTTAGTGTTGGTAGAGACACATCCAATTAGTAATAGTGAAAAACAATTCTCTGCAAAGTTTGCTCCACGGCGAGACGGTCCTTACATAATAGTAAAGAAACATGGAGCTACCACTTACGAAGTAGCACACCCAGATACACCTGAAAGGTCAATTGGCAGATACCATACTTCTGCTATAACTAAATTCGAGAGAAGAGCTGATGATTTGCCAAACTCTGTTAATCCAATCTGTCGAAGAGGAGGACCTCGTAAGGGTGCTGGTGCTCTCGCGGGACGTTAACGAGCACCAGAGGGGGAGAATGTAGCAAGACAATAATGTACTACGCGTGGACCCGAATACTTTCTCTCTCGCACACCGACTATCTATTCCATTTAACAGTCACAGGAGGAGCACAGGGCCACCTATATAAACCAGCACGCAGCCTCCAGTATGGCAGTCGATAGCTAGACGACTCAGAGTGCGATAGCCCCGCAGTCCACTCTGGTGTCCAGTAGCTGACCTGATCGATAGCCCCGCAGTCATCAGGTTCTGCTAAGCATGAGGTCTTCAAGAGCGATAGCCCCGCAGTCCTCTTGACACTCACGTAGCGTAGGAAAGTAGTGATGAGCGATAGCCCCGCAGTCCTCTTCACTGCTCTCATAGGGTTATATGTATAAGTACAAGTTTGCTAATACTTATATGTATAAGCTAGACAGAAACCAGAATAAACGATAACAGCTACCAAAGACGTCTATGATTTCTGCACTGGTAACCCTATCGCCCTACAGTGGTATAATTTCAGATGTACTCACTGTGCGCAGGTGGGGCGCGGCCCGCGTGGTGCGCGTGGTGCGCGTGGTGGGCGGCGTGCGGCGGGTGCGAGTGCGAGTGCGCGTGCGCGTGCGGCTGGTGCGCGGTGCGGCCGCACACGCACTGCGCGTGGCCGCAGCAGCAGCGTTGGCACGACCCGCACGACACACGCGTTCTATACACGCAACATAAAAATATTACGACTTTCCATGTGGCTGGTAAAAAATAACATACGATATTCGTTTGAATATCGTATGTTATTTTTATGTACTTTTAAACCTGTTTACAAACAACGTTGTTACTAAAGATACTCATAAGAGCCACCTGACACCCGACCGACACCGCCTCGCCTCGAGCGGTTAGGGTTCTTTGTATGGAGTACTTTGAGTAAACGCTCACTACATCAACTCCGGAGAGCCTCACCCGCTGGTTTTCGAGACGGCGAGCGGTCCACCCGTACTGGTCGGGTGTCGGGTGGATATATGACCTTAAATCTCAGTAAATAAACCCAATCAGTCAAGGTCACGACAACAACTAATGGAGAATATACCATTAATTTTCACAGTAGTAGTACTATTATACAATTATTCTACAAATTATACATTTCTAGGTAAATATACCTTTGACAGTGTGATAAAGATATGTGCTTTAGTAACTTGATTATCTGCAAAATATCATTGAAGATATTATATTTTTTCATTGTCATATTATTATTTAAAAATAAATTACCTGTTCCCTCGCAGTAAGGACGCGGGCACCTCAGGCATGTGGTTCATGTGTATTGATGAATGGTCCCTATAAGTTGATATACGTTGCGGGATACCGCGTATTATACGACGCATTCCGGTTGCCCACGATGAGATCGATTCATCCGATGCCGATTCGTTTATTCGCGCTTCTGCTATTGTTCGCAACGGCGACCCCGTTAAATCAATTACTTCCTGTTGCTGAAACAAAGGTATGTACAGCTTGTCAAAGCAACGCATTTCCGCAGTTTTAACATCGTAAAATGACATGGTCCTAAAGAGAGATCACTTGATATTGAAATGTCTATAACCTTCCTAAGAAACGGGCTATTTAACTTTTAAAGATTGGTGCACCAAAATTATTTTCAAGAAATCAAGATCTGATTTATTTTTAACACGCTTTTATTAGCTTGACCTGTATGTATGTATCTATGTAACGAAATCTTTTAACGCAATTTTCACCCACTTCAAAAAATCTAATATAGTAGGCCAAAACCTCCTTTCTAAGGAGAGGCTTATGTCCAGCAGTGGACTATTAAAGGCTGTCGATGATGATGATGATGAAAAAATCGAATTAAATTGAAACTTTGCATACTTATCAAGGACCGATGACTATACAATAAATTGATAATTTTGGGCTATTATCTTAATCAGGATCTTCAGGATTAACATATTTCCATTTCCATACCCAAAAATTGGGTACTGTCTTTTGCTACGTACTAAGAGGCGTGTGCGGAAGCCTATGTGACTTACTTACTTGTACTTTTTAATGACAAAATAATCATCCTTAATGACTAAAAGTTTAAAAAACTAAGAAACACGCTTTTGTAACTCGACGAACTAAAAAGTAGAAAATAATTTTCAGTAACTTTAAAAAGAAAAATCATTTTATCGTAAAAAAAGCGTGGGGTGCTTTTCAAGATATTTTATAATATAATAACTTTACTTTTACCAATATCTGTCAATAAAATATTTTTACAACAATTGAGATCTAGCACCCCACGCATTTTAACGATTAAATAAAAATTATTTTGTGGTTACAGAAAATTATTTTCTACTTTTTAGTTCGTCTAGTTACAAAAGCGTGTTTTTTAAACCATAATTTATTAGTTTACATGGTTATGTGCATATTTTAAGTTGTTGGAATTTTACAAGACCAAATATTGGGCAATAATATACTGTTTACACTTATAGAGAACTGATAATGATTAATTTACACTAACTATACTATATATCTATATTTTAACTTTGAACTTAACTTTTTTATTGTGATATCAATAGCCAATTTCGGCATGAAAAAAAAATATTTCTCTAAAACTTATTTATATTATATACATACATATTGTCACGTAACACCGCGAATGTTCCGGAGAGATTTTATTACTGGCGAATTGAAATGGTTTATTGCGCTGCCAATTTTAAGAATATAACAGGGCGGTATGAGGCAATGAGCTTTATCACTATGCACATAAGATTGAAAACAGATTTTTCGGATACAGAAACTATATAAGGGTGAGAATTTACTGGAATGAATTTCTAGGGTCTAACGAGTAGTATAAATACAGTACAGTGGGACATTTCAGTTTGACTACAGTGCGATGAACATCGAAGTGATCAAGGAGACCAAAAGAGTATTCAGTAGATCTTTTTAGACTGTTATTAAGTAACGATTACATTAATATAAGTATATTAGTAATCAAGTCTTTTAAGTCATCATCTTTTCATCATATTTCATTCCAAATCAACAAACCTTAACATGTAACAATATTATTATATAATGTTTATTTCGAAGTATAATAGGCTTGCTGGCTTGTTTTGTACCTTACTTTTACTACTACTAACTAATTGTTCTATAATACTTACAGTATTGTTATCGTCTCCTACCACCATGACACCATCATCAGAGCTTGAATCAGACACCCAGTCTAGTTGTAAATCAGGTGCAGACAGGAAGCCACCTGGAGGGTCGTTGCCTTGTGTCTCCTGCAATGGCATAAAACCATGATAAGTATTTATAATAATTAAGTAAAGCTAACTCATTCTGCACTATTCCAATAGTGCAGAATGAGACTATATTACACATCTATATTACAATGTAGGTTTTACTAGCTGTCAGTCATTAAAGGATAGCTGGTCCTCAAGTTAAGGAAGAGCAACTTGGCTGCATGAAAATTATAAGATTTTTAGAAAATTGTAGATTTTTAAATTAAAAGAAGCTATCTCTTTTAATTTAAAAATCTACAATTTTATCAAATAATAATGATACCCAAATACTTAATCATGTCTCCTTTTTTTTCGGCAATCACAACCGTGCGACCGGTGAGGTAGTTATATTGGACTCGAACCGACTAAGAAACGCACCCCGTCTCGGGTACGAGTGACCAGCTGTAACCTAGAAAGGAAATCCCTCATCTACGGCTTGCAAATGGCTCCCGCGAGTGTGGGGGCCACGAGGTCCCCTTCCTGCTAAAAGGGCGGGCGCTCCGTAGCGCATCGTGCCGACACCCCAGTCTGCTTCTGCTAGAGTGACAGATGGCCTCACCTGTAACCCCTAGGCCTGCGCTTATGGAGGACGTAGCTCGTTCACCTCTGGCCCCTGATTTACTATGTATATGTACATATAAAGTAATGTTACTTTATATTTACAAAATTGTGTCTCCCTAATACTGATAATTTGGGAGGGTCATCATTTATTGAATTAATCTGTGTTTTTTTTTAATGAACATGGAACTATCTATCTTAGTCCTCAAGATAATTGGTAATATCCATCCAGTCTTGTCAAATTCAATAACTCAAGTCAATCTTTTAAAATTAAATCATTTTGATATAATCAACTTAATTTTCATTTAATTTCTTGAAAAGGTTTATCTATCTTACCTACAGGTACTGTGTTAATTGTTGTATGTTAATATAATAAGATACAAAAATACATTTCACACAAATTGGTTTTATAAGGTAATTGAAATATATCAATACTTACTTGGTTATTAGTTGTTCTAGAATCTGACCCTTGATTTCTTGAACTAGTTCCTGGCTGAGGAGATGGTTCCTGTGTTCTCCTTATATCACCCCCTGCATCGATATGCTCTGGCTTCACAGAAACATTTTCTCTAGTAGTAGGATTTGCAACTCTTGGCTCTGTTTTCACTTGACATGGTGTAATATTTTCTCTTTTAATAGAAGTTCCTGCCAGTACTGTATTTTCTTTCTTCAAAGTTTCTTGCTTGACAACAGGTTGTTGCACGCAGGGTTCTTGTTTTACTTGCACCATTGAAGTACCCTCACCTCCACTACTGATGGCATTATTTGAATTCTGGTACATAGGCCTACAAGATTCAGATCTATCATGACAGTTGTTGCATCTTTGACAATATGTATAATAAGAGGCAGGAGTTATTTGATTAGTTCCATAACTGCAACTACCTCTTGTAGCACAACCAGAGTTCTCTTGTTTAACTTGTAACTTTACACCAGACCTGCTTAGCTCAGGCGGCAAGTTTTGACCGCTTTCTGTAGCTAATGTTTGTCTTGATCTGGATTCATGCACATCACTCTCCATATGTTCTGCAGGTTCTCCTTTGATCTCCACCCTTTGTCTACCTTCTAAGTTGTTGCCTGTCTGGTTTTCATTTCTATTAGCATTCTCTTGTTGATTTCCTGCACCATTACCACACTGTTTCTTTCTGGGCACATTTATATAATCTTCGTCATCTGAACTAACTTCTATTAAATTTGATGGATCACTTTCTTTTGATTGTCTTCTCCTCGGAGATATGTTCAACTTTCGACTTGGGCGTTCTAAGCTGCTTGGCTGAGTAGTATTTCTTCCAGCACTAGCTTGATTAACATTGTATGTTCCTATATCTACATTTTCAACAAACTCTGGTTGATTTTCAGACATATGGGTCCTGTTGGGCATTGCGTATGATAGTGGATGAGATAAATAATTCCTATTATCAGTAAGAACAACTAAATTATTATGATACAAATATTCCCTTGAAGGATTTAAGTAAGGATAGTTTGGATAATAGTAATTACTTTGATTATGTGGTTTAGGTTGGTATCGAATGTTGACGTCCGGAATCCTTCTCTGGCCACTGGCATCCGTACTGTCAGGGTTGTTTGAACCAAAAGAATAGTCAAGGGAACTAGAACTATCAGGCAGAGGTTGGTATTCTTCTGGAACAGGTGTGTGAGAGTCTGATGGATGACTCAGTGATATGTTCACTTCATATGGTTGGATAGGTGTTGTTGAATTCACGTAGTTAGAGGACACTGGTTTAGGCGGTTCATTAGATGTTGTTGTAGCTACATCTCCAGTTGACGGCAGCACCTCTACATCATCATCACTTTCAGCAAATAGAGCATCACACTCCATTCGTTCTGCAAAGGCCAATTGTACAAATTACCATCATTTTACCATGGCACTCGCAAAAGAGGCGAAATATCAAATTTCCAAAAATAAACATGGTAAATATCCCATTTATAATAACTTATATAAAAATATAATAACTTATCAAGTAAAAATAACCATGGTAGTGTACTTGATTGATAGTGTACAAGATGCAGGTAGCTTGCTCATGTTAAGGTACTTGCGCAGGTTTTTTGCTTTTTGCTTTGCACCCTTAATCAAAGTACCATGGCATCATACTGCTACTCTAATATATAAATTATTTATATTATACAATACACAAACTTGAAATACTTATAATTTTAGGAATGCTATTACACTTTCGATTGTATTGATATCAGTAAGACACTACAAACTTAGTGATTCATGTATTAGGAAGGAAACATATGGCTATCTTACAAACCGATAACTTAAGAGTCATGAATACCCTTAACACGACTATATAATATTCCAGATATTTCATATGCATTCCGTAAGCATGAAAAATGGAGCAAACAGGTAACGGTCTGGTATCCAAGAGATGGGTCTAGGGGCCGAGGTCGCAAAGTCAGAAGATGGGAAGATGATCTGAAATTGACTCTAGGCCCTTTGGCTAAGGATTGCAACCGATAGGAAACAGTGGAAGACGTTGGAGGAGGCCTATGCCATAAGGCACACCGAACTTAGGGACATATTATGACTAATCTACTAGGGATTATTGAGTAGTATGAAAAACTGTATAACTTCGGAATTAAAGGCTTATTATTATTATTATTATTCCATATGCGCATTTAATTACCTAAGATGATGTATAAAAAACAAAAACAATGCATACAAATCAGTAATTATTTATTGCTTTTGTTTTTATTATACTTTGTTGTAATCAGTTCATTTTATGTATCCTGGTCATATAATATAAGCTTGTTTCTGTAAATAACAACTTGCAAAACCCAGAAATATGACAGCTGACATAGGTATATAATACCACTACATAGGTACTATTTCTTTTTAGACATTTTTAAGGCGCCAGAGTCAAAACAGCAGTCGAAATATAACTTCTGTATGCTCTATTTGTTAGACAATATGTTTTAATATATGAAGCAATTCATATGAATAACATTTCATTGTCTATTTACCGTTCCTTAGTTGACTGTCAGATTCAGTGGATGTAAACACTGTGTCCAGAATGGCTGCCAAAGACGATGGCCCCGCGATATCCCACGAAGAAGACGACTGTTCGCCTTCGCAACCCTTTTCGTTCATTTTATAACAACCATTCCATACCGTTCAAGCTAAGTCTGAACGTACAAGGTAACTCCGTGAACTATCTATTGTCAACACTTCAACCAACTTATTGGATGTGTAATTTCACTTCATTTTAGACATATTGTTTACAAGTTAACTAACGTGAACACAAAACATTTAATAGCTTCGACTGCATGAATAACAATTAAAATGAATATAAAAACAGAAATAAAACTTATCCTGTATGTACCTCAGTATTGTTTTTTTTTAAACCTATATCTGGAACATAGCAAGATCGAAAACTGTGAGTAATCGATATTATCAGCATAAAAAATTACTAAATAATACAAACTAATCCAATGACAATTTAGTTTAGAATTAAAACAAAAGTTTCATTGAATAATACTGACCTCTGGTTAGTGTGAAATAAGTCTAAAATCAGAAATATTCTTATTTAATTTGCCAATAAAATTATGCACCATAGTATTCATTCGCTGACACATTTACACAAAAACACATAATTTATACATGTGACAACACACTACAACACTCCTACTTGTCGTGTGAGATTCCCAGTTATAAAAAAATAGTGCCTGCTGTTTAACCTAGGGATACCTGTAAATATAAAAATATAAATCGATTTTCTCCATTCGATTTTTAAACAGAACCCCTTGATAATGATTTTAGAAAAAATTAGTTTTATGTCTATATGTTACGTATGTATGTCACTTCTTCGAGTGTGATTAATTTAGTTGTACAAATATCAAGACACCCGGAACGCGGGACAGCAACAGTCAGACTCAGTTTTTTCTGTTGACTTTGATAGGAAGAAAATTCGCTCACCAGCTGAATCTATCCAATCGGTTTACTCCAAAACGAGGTTAGAGTCGAATTCTAGGGTTGAGTACTCAGCGTCAGACAAGGGTCCATATTCTGCTTAAATATCTAGAGTTTAACCTGACTCATCTGGCCACTCTCTTAGAGCCCTTCAATTCATACAGTTATTATTTAAGCATAAAATGCCTGACATTGCAGAAGGTCCAATAAAAAATATGGGCTGCAAAAGGCCGGTGTATAATTCACCTCAGCTTTATCTGCTAATAATTACCTGAATTTCTCAGTTGTTTTAAATTAACTTAGCTGCTGACTGCTCTATCCCCCTTCCCCTCTTCACCTTGGTGAGATGCCGGATATACTACCAGTGTAAGAAAGTACAAAGAGGCTCAGAAAAAATTTGCTTCATCCTTTTCAATATCGGATTTCCTCAATTTAAAAGAAATTTGCTGCTAATACAACTAGACTTATTTCTGCTAAGAAATCTTTAGGATGCCGTACCTTTTGTGAGTCCTCATCTTCTCGCTCTAGTCTTTCACTTATCTAGAAAAAAAAAAAAGTTTTTCCAGAAGTCTTGATAACTCAAACAAGATATCCTCATTCATTCCTACACGACTTGCTTACCTAACTGGCTCCTCCATATACTCTGGATTATGATTGTTTCCCTTTTCCCATCTTCTGTTCTAGATTCCTCTCAAATTCCTATGGATGATCCCTTTTCTTTTACAGAACTATCCTATGCTCAAGATAACCTCCATGATTCCTTTGTTGGCATTGACGGTATAACTTACTGTTTTATTGGTAAATCCTTCAATTCTTGCAAAATTTTCTTTCTCAGTATCCTCAACGCCATCTTTTATCCAGGTCAAATACCTGACTCTTGGAAGACCCAAATTTTCATTCCTGTTCTGAAACCTGACAGAGATCCTAAAAATTCGTCTTCCTAATGCCCAATTCATCTTCCTCAAACAAGGCCCATACCATTGCATCGAGGAGTGAGACAAGGGGACGTTATTTCCCCGAAATTGTTCACAAATGCAATGGAGGACATGTTCAAGACGCTGCACTGGAAAGGGGGTGAATACATCTCTCACTTGCGATTTGCAGATGACATCTTCATCATGGCAGAGAAGTTGCAGGACCTACAGCAGATGCTGAATGACCCAGCTGACTCTTCTGTACGCATCGGCCTACGGATGAACTTGGATAAAACCAAGGTCATGTTCAACGAACATGTACTACCGGAACCGATTGCGGTACACGGTGCCGTTCTCGAAGTTATTCAAAATTATGTGTACCTGGAGCAGACATTGCAGTTAGGTAGCAACAACTTCGAGGACGAGGTGAACAGAAGAATTCATTTGGGTTGGGCAGCGTTAGGGAAGCTACGACGAGGCTTCTCATCGTCGATCCCACAGTGCCTTAAGACGAAAGTCTTTAATGAGTGCGTCCTACCCGTCATGACATACGGAGCCGAAACGTGGACACTCACGGTACGGCTGGTCCACAAGTTCAAAGTCACTCAACGTGCTATGAAAAGGGCTATGCTCGGCGTTTCTCTAAGGGATCGTTTCTCATCAGGAATGAGGTGATCCGGCAGAGAACCAAGGTCACCGACGTAGCCTACCGGATCAGCAAGCTGAAGTGGCAGTGAGCTGGCCATATTAGCCGCAGAACCGACAACCGTTGGGAAAAACGAGTTCTTATTTGGAAACCGCGTCTCAGCAAACGTAGTGTTGGATGCCCACAGGCCAGGTGCAGTGATGATTTGCGCAAGGCAGGAGCTGGATGCCAGAAGGCCAAAATCGATCTAAGTGGCGTGCAATGGGAGAGGCGTATGTCCAGCAGTGGACTGCGATAGGCTGATGATGATGCCCTATTGTGCTTTCGTCACTACTAATTAAAATCATTTAAACCTTAATTAAGTTTGGACTTGAATGGATACGAGAACACAATGAATTATTAGCCAAAATCTAGCATGGCTTTAGAAAGGGTTTAAGCACTTTAGATAGCCTCAGCATCCTTCTCCTTCATCTTTATCTCTAAAATTCGCCTTGCATTTTCTCGTAACGAGAATGTAATTGGGATTTTTATGGACATCTCTGCAGCCTATAACAATGTACATCTTAATTCTACTCAGGCAAAAAATGCTACATCTGAGTAGTCTAACGATAATGGTTCACGTCATCTGCAATATGCTCATATATCGTACTATTTCTATCCGTGTTCAGGGTTCTTTTCTCCCTCCTCGTCTTGTATGGAAGGGCCTTTTGCAAGGTTCAGTGCTTAGTTAAATCCTTTATAATATTTATACTTCCGACCTAGTCCAGACCGCCAGTTCTTTCTGTAAAGATGTTCCCTTATATTTGTTTTTACTTTATTTATTTACTTCAGTTAGAAAAACCAACAGCTACGAAAATGATAATGGTCAGATTGATATACTACATCAGGTAGGTACAGTATTACCAATTTTCAGGACTAGAATCATTGTAATTTAACAGAGGTTTTGGAACACTAACTAACACGACACATTAAATCTAAAAATGTTTTACTTCATCTTCATTCCTCAGTGCCACTAGCCGTTTTAATGCCGCTCTTTATTACTTAAACGTTTGGCTTTTAGACCACAATCTTTGTCTGTCTGTTACTAAATGAAGTGCTCTTATTTTCACTCGCAAACGTAATATCCCTTATATTAACATCTCTGTTGCATATGAATGAATTCCAATAAAAGGTAAAGTTTTTAGGCCTCATTCTCGACTTTTAATTTTCAGGTATTCATCATTTAAAAAAACGTCGATCTGAATTTCAGATTTAATGTGTTAATTAGTTTTAACATAAACAAGGTGTGTGGATACGGACTAATAATACGGAGTATTACCCCTATTTATCCCGTGGGTGACGTACGAGCCGGCTTTGGGAGAAAATTACGCAGGACAACAGCACTACAAAGAGAAGGAAAACGTCTGGCCAGCGTGGTATAGTAGGCCAAAACCTTTCTAGGGAAAGGCCTATGTCCAGCAGTGGACTATTAAAGGCTGTTGATGTATCAATGTGTGTGATGTGAGGAGTCCCTAGTATCAATAATTATTCTCAAGTTATATGTTACAAGATTTTTTGAACATGGTAGTATTTTGATACTCTAAAAAAAATCGTATTCACAACAAAAAGCCGATGTATATCTCGATGTCGTCTGTTCATTCCGAGTAATTCGATTGTCTGTTGACAGATTTTCTTCTAGGATACACTCTATTTTGTGGCATCTCTATAAAGCCCTAATTTAAAGTCACTATTTGTTTAGTTAATAAGAAAATCAGTCTGGTTTATTTGATGACGTGAGTTATTTTGTACAAACTAATCGTACAGGTTGTGATTGATACAAGTTGTAAGTAGTAGCACGAGTACTAAGTAAACTTGAAAAAATAAAATATATTTAGTAGGTATTTAATTTAGTTGGATTGTGTCAATAATGTTCTTGAATAAATATGACAATGTTTCATATGAAACAAGGTCATTATTCTTCATATTTTTTATCTTAGTGATAAGTAATAATAATTAGTTCTTACAATTATTATTTTCACCCTCAGAGTAAAAACTATGTCAAAGTTATTACCACTATTTCTTGAAGGTGAAGTGGTTAAAGGATTTGGAAGAGGATCCAAGGACCTTGGGTGCCCAACAGGTATAAATAATTGGACTGTAACATTAAAGTCCTAATTAAACCTATTATAATAAATCATTCCTAAACAACATTCAGATAATACTTTTGAAAGAATTGTAGAACACAACCAACAGATTAACTATTATATGTGAAATGTGCCCGTAATATGAGTTAAAGCTGCGTTTGGTTTCACATACTACATCAATTCCATACCTTAACGAGTTAACTACATAAATGGTTAATTGTTTCTTAATAGTATTCTTTACTTCACACTAATATTATAAAGGCGATGTTTGTGTGTGTTTGTTTCTTCTTCACGCTCAAACGCCTGTGCCTATTTGGACACCCTGGATTACTTTTCATCTTGAAAAATGTAGCGTTCCCATTATTGGCATTGATAAATAGCGGGGTACAGCTAGTATTAAAATAACATACTTGTTTGTATAGCATTGGGTCAATCATTTACAGCAAATTACCCATTGAAAGTGGTGCAATCTTTGCCCAAAGAACTGGAGCCAGGGGTGTATTATGGATGGGCACAAGTTGATAAAGGTTCAGTCCTGAAAATGGTTGCCAACATTGGTTGGTGCCCGTTTTACCAAAACAAACAAATGTCAGTGGTAAGTAGGTAACTGCAATATTGTTAATATACAAATAATGACTGGCATACGGCTTTTCTTATTATAGAATACTATAATTTTCTTTTAATAGTATATTTTAGGCAAGGTATTTAAGGCAGAAATTTTTCTTCAGTTTATAAAAAAATTACTGACATGCTGTCAACATCTACATATCCAATGACCTATCCATCCATAGTATGTCATAATTATGTAAAAAAAAGGCATTTTTTATATTATTTGTCAGATCTATCTCTATACCCGACCATGGTGATGAACTATGCATTTTTTTTATTTGAATAGTAACAGAAGGCTAATTCTCGTATGACCGAAAATTGAATTGGTGATCTGTGTCTTAGTAATAGCTACTTTATTATTTTACCACGAAATTACCTTTTATGAGTTGCAAGATCGCAGGTTGATCAGAACTGAATTTTGAACTTTTATTACGAGAATTGGCTTTCAGAACTGTATCCCAGTGAGAGTAACTTTAGCAATTCAAATTACATTGATAAAGTGGCAACAGTAATTAATGGCTAATACTATTTCAGGAAACTCACATCATCCATAAATTTAGTGGTGACTTCTATGGGTCAATCCTCAAAATATGTTTAGTTGGTTACTTGAGGGGTGAGAAAAATTTTAGTTCTCTAGATGACTTAATAGGGGCTATCAAGCAAGATATATTAGATGCTGAAAGACTCCTGAATGAAGCACAAGAGCTCAAGACCAGTAGTTTCTTTACACATGCAAATATAAAATGACTACACTTTTAAATATTGTTATAATTTATTGTTATTATATTTTTAATGTTATAGTTAAAATGTTATTGACATATAATTATTATTTCCAATGTATAAAAATGAAGATTGCAGCCAGTTTTATCTTTTTAATATATATTTAAAAATTCGAGTTTGTTGAGGATAAACATTCTATCTAGCTAATTTACTATCCAAATATTATTATGTATTTTATAGGAACAACATTGTTTGTTTTTATCAGATAGACTTGTGTATAAAATGTGATATTTTAAATGTAAAATTAGTTATATGTAAATAAAAAATATTTACTGTTTAAAATTTCTTATGAATATTAAATTAAACCACAATATTCCCTTTGAAAAAGCCTTTAATGTTATTGTTTGACTGGATTCATTTTCACAAAAATGTAAAATATTACTCCTATCCACACAACGGAAATAAAAAGAATCTTAAATTAATAGGGCTCTCTCTCCAGGCAACTTAATGTTGTTTTCTTCTAAATGAACATCCTGAAACAAGAATAAGAAGAATCATTAACTAGAACTAAAAGAACATGCAGGTTTATTTATTGTGAGATCTGTGTCATCACTAAATAGGCCCCCATCACATTTATAAAATTATATATATTATCATGACAAGACAGTATTTATTAGTTATGTTGTCAATAAAGTGATAGATTTTTCCATTTTAGAATTTTGATCGAATGATTGATTATTAGATGAAGAAAGATCACAGGGTTTGTTTAAATTTTTCTGAAAGGAGTTAGCTAATCCAGTGCCATATTTTTCAATGAAACTGATTCTGCGTTAGTAAACCTACATGGTTGATACAACATAAGAAGTTGAGAGAGAATAAATAGCACATTTTTTACACTACTTTACACTTAATTTTTAATGTGTGTACTTTTGTACTGACAGACATGCATTTTAACATTCCATCTATGCAATCCAAATCTAGCAACTTCAAGCAGCATTAGACACAAGAAAACAAAATTTTTCTTTATCTCAAGCAAAATCTTTAGTGTTAACATCACATTTATGTATAGCAATGTTGTAAAGAAACATTGTGTTCTCATATATGATCATTTCAAACATACCACTTGCTACCCTGCAAGCTCAGGGTAAATTAATAATGACCACTATGCTCTTAACTTTTTTTTTAGAAAACTCCCACACTAGGAATATATCCTCTGTCATGGGGACTTTACAACACCTAGGGACACAAAGAACACCTAGACTCAACACAACAATTTGTGAATCACACAGTGTTGTCCCATGTCCGATCCGATCACAACATTCAGCACAGTAGGAAGTGGCGAGGTGACCGCCTAAACCACTACACCATCTGTGCAGTCAGTATGTATCACATTACCACTAAGGATGATACATCTGGAGTTCTTCAAACTCAACTCTGGATCTATAGATATATATTCCATCATCGTGTATCTATCCTGTGGTGTCCGAAATGCCTGTGTCAATCTGGTATGTTTCATTTATCATTAACCTATCTTCGTCCACTGTTGGACAAATGCCTTCCTCAAGAAGCCACAAATATCTCTATCCTGGGCAGTCTGAATCCAATATTTTTATTATATTGTAATATTAAGAAACTGAGATTAAGGACTCTATTAAAAAAAAAAATGTTTGCACCACATTATGAAAATGCATGTGATAAAATAATGTGCAATGAATACAAATTGAAAGCATACTAAAAATAGATAACAATTATATTTACAATGATAAAACATTATTCCTATTTAACCTTTAGTTTAAAATATATACATAAAATTAGGCTTTTATTCATTATTGAGTCAGCTGATTTAAAATAACACTAATTTTACTGTTTTTGTGCACTCTTGAGTTGGTATGTATTTATCCGATATGCAGGTTGATATTTATTATAGCATTAATCTATAATAAATATCAACCTGCATATTTCAAGAATTTCAAGAGTTCATAGTATTGAAATTTCCATATGGATGAGATCCTGAAACTGTTCAACCAACATAGTACTTGTTGTAGTTGGTTAATGTACCAATTAAAAAATCCATGAATACTGTGATAAGGAAAAATAACCCCAGGAAAGGCATTATACAATGCTTTTTTAAATAAATTTGTTTAAAATGAACCTTTGAATATTTGTGAAATAGGAATTATAAAACTACAACATAAACAAAGCACATTCTTAAATAGCCAAATATTTCCACAAATGTCAGTTGACCTTTAAAAACATATCAATTTAATAGTTATTTTATTATAAATATGAAACAGTTATAATTAAAATGATGCGAGAAAGAATTAATTACGATTATGGAATGGAACATAGCTTTTATCAGCTTCGCATGTTTAACAACATGGTGCAATACATTGCAAACACTGAGGGAAAACAAAATATTCATTAGCAAGAGGGATAATGTTAGTTTTTTTACCAGTAGATTCGTAGGATAAAATAGATCCTTACCCTCCGTTAATCTCGCGCGACCACCGGTGGGTTGACACAGGATTGTTGAACAACCAGCACATACAACCACTCTTTGCGCGTGACTGAATACGGTTGTGATTTTGTAGCAGCCAGGGCACTTAACATCCATGAAGTATGAGTTCGGATGTGGCACCAGCCTCTTCAACTTATGTTTCCTTTTCTCCGAAGCAGGAGAAGGGTGCAGTAAATCAATTGCGAGCTGAAATCCCGAATACGCACATTTAGGTTATTTGATCACTTTGTAATTTTTCACGTTATATGGCCTAATAACTTCCAGACACTTCTTAAAATAAGTTTGGGAATTATTTCCCCTATCCTATCCTATAGCTAAGCGTTAAGCTTAATGCTTGAAGTTTCGTTACTAGTTTATCTGACATGTCAGGTACTGCCATGTGTATCTGCTTGTTTGGACAAAACCGAATTTCCATGCAAAGTTGGTAAGCACTATTTCATATACTCAGTGATTTCAGAAAACGATAAGGTACACAGAAAACTTGGAATATAAGTCAACAACATTAAATACTTTTCTTTGATAAATAAAAATACACACCGGCATGGTTACAGCTTTGATGCAGAACCGGAAAAGGAAAGGCCGCCAATGATCCAACGACAAGGACTAAAAGCTGTAGACAAAACATATGCCTGCGTTCATAAAAAAAAAACAATGTTTCATTCATTTTAAATTGAACTTTTGGCAAGTTAAATAGTATTACTCTATAATTAAAAAAAAATAGTCCTGTAATATATAATAGTTACATTTTCAGATTAACTATATATCGATTCGATTATTAATTAGTCAAAAATTAGATGCTTAATTTTAGATTTTATAGTATTCTTAAGTAATTAGCACGGATTTCTAAAAGGTCGTTCAACGTCATCCAACCTTGTTATACTGAACGAGTTTATTTCAGAAGCGATGGGTAAAGGCAAGCAGGTCGATGTTGTTTACACTGACTACAGCAAATGTTTTGACAGAATTGAACACAATAGGCTAATTTTCAAGCTAGAGCAGATTGGTATAAGGGGAAACTTGCTTAGATGTCTTGATTCTCGTCACATATATCTAATAGATCCCAAGCCGTTGTGGTCAATAACTACATTTCCAGCTGGGTAATTAGCCCAAGTAGAATACCCCAGGGGTCTTTGCTCGGTCCGTTGCTGTTCTTGGTCTTTGTAAACGACATCGACTAATGCTTCTATCCCTCTGAGCAGTTATGTTTTGAGGACGATATGAAAATATTTAAAGCGGTATCAACAACGCAAGATATAACCGACTTACAGGCAGATTTGACTCATTTGGATAATTACTGTAGGGTAAACCTGTGGCGTGCAATGGGAGAGGCCTATGTCCAGCAGTGGACTGCGATAGGCTGATGATGAAACCTTCTCGACTTGAATCCTTCAAAATGTTCCGTTATCACATTCAGCAAGAAAGTTATCACTGTCCACTCTGACTACATTCTAAGGGGACAGAAACTCCAAAGGTGCTTTGATGTACACGATCTCGGTGTCATACATGGATCTACATTATCCTTTTAGGGACACATAGACAGTGTAATGTCAATCGAATTTAAGGAAGCCAGAACTATGAAAATTCTTTATTGCAGTGCAGATTTGGAACCCACGTTGTGATAAATACATATCTCGGATTAAAAAAAATTCTATGATTTCTATGATATCGGTTTAAGTATAAATACGAATCAAAGGACTATTTGAAGCTATGAGCCAGGTTTCACATTCTCCCTATCAGCATACTGGGGATAATATAGGGACGTGTAGATTTCCCCGATCTACTTTCAAAAATCACCTTTAACGTACCCACTAAAGTTTCGAGACACCACACTCCCATTCACCTACCATTGATCTCCGCGAATTATCGCCAGGATACGTTTCTGTTCTCGCTCGATAGCCTGATTGCGGCTATCGTGCGGAGCGAGAGTGCGTGGAACTCTGCCGTCTCCTTCTGCGAGCAAGTTATGCTCGCGAAGGAGACGGCGGAGCGGGACCGGGAGAGGTTTAGAACTCTCCCGGCCCGCCAGGCCCGGGCACGGGCCAGGCAGCGCAGGCGACTCAGGCGCCGGAGGTCGCAGAACGATCTCCGTCCTCCATAAGCGCAGGCCTGGGGGTGACAGGTGAGGCCATCTGTCACCCTAGCAGAAGCAGGCCGGGGTGGCGGCGAGCGCGTTGCGAAGCGCGCTCGCTTCCAGGGAGCACAGGGAACATGGGGTTCCCACACGGGGCGGGGGTCGTCTACTCGTCTGTAGATGACCCGAGGTATGTCGGGGCACCAGGGCCTTCCTTTCTAGGGTATACCTGGTTCCCCGGCTATTAGTACCCGGCGAAGGCGTGCGGTTTTAGTCTAGGTAGTTTTAGTAAAAAAAAAAAAAAAAAAGGATACGTTTCTGTGGCGAGCGAGAAATACGATTAACAAAAAATTTTAACAATTAGAACTTGACATATTTGTGACTAGTCAGCAGTTGGTGAGAAAGGCATCAGTCTTCAGTTCTTTTCAGAATACTAATTTTATTAAGTGTTGTACTTGATTCTTTCTTAAACTCGCACTTACTTACTGTAAACTTTTTTCTATTCCTGAAGACCTGTGTTGTTGTTACCTATACAATATTAAATCAATTTGTAAAGCTGTTGGTCTTCCAAGATCAAATAAATAAATAAATAATCTGTAATGTTTGAAATCTAGGTGGACGTAATTTTACTAAAAATATAAAATTTTAGTGATTTTAGCTTTCCATTCAAACAATAAAAAAAAAACATATTTAGGCATCATAAATTAGCTTTATTGTATTTTCGAACTTGATAAATATTGTCAATTGTCACTTAGAAATCAACTGTCAAATCAAGAGTGAAGTTCTGCTAGTCAAGCAAGCCACTTAATAAATTAACCTCACTTATCTAAATTTACCAAACAACTTTGTACGGTTATCGATATCTAGCGTTTCTACGCAAAGAAAACATAGCAACTGTTCTTGACGAGTGATCTCACAGTTTTGTATTATGGCTGATGAAGAATATGAGGCCGAAGACCCTGGGGCAGATTATGATGACATTGCCGAAGAAGACGACAATATTGAAGAAACCGAGGAGCAGGAGGAAGATGGTTATAATGTGCAATGTCTTGCTCCTGGTCAGGCAGGTGGAGGAGTGGAAAAATCAAAGCGAATCACTACAAGATATATGACTAAGTACGAGAGAGCCAGAGTATTAGGTGAGACTTGCATAATAGTCATAACTCAGTACTATTTGATGTCCATATTCTGCTCAAAATCGTTTGTAACTCAAATAATTACTGTATGTTTCAGGAACAAGAGCACTTCAAATTGCTATGTGTGCACCCGTTATGGTGGAGTTGGAAGGTGAAACAGATCCCCTACAAATAGCTATGAAAGAATTGAAACATGGTAAGATACCAATCATCATCAGAAGATACCTCCCTGATCATTCCTATGAAGACTGGAGTATAGATGAACTGATTATTATTGATCACTAGTGTTAATATAAAGTAAATCATATCAGCTTTGATTAAATGCAAAACTTAATTTCTGACTTTATATCTATTTCTGGGCGGTAGTAATTTTGAATAAAGACTAATTTCTACTTTGATTGGTGCAAGTGCAGGTGATTAGCGTTTAATGATTATTGTAAGTGATTAGTTGAGATGTGGAGTGCAAGTAGTGTCGATACTATTTAGCTGTTGTGCTTTGAATAAAAACAATTATCCCTGCAAAACGCTAAACACTAAGTAAGTCAACCCAAAAACAAACATGTCTAAACATATTTAGAACGGACACTGCGAGTGGAGAGGAAGTAAGGAGAGGAGGAAAAATGTAACCACTTGCGAACACTTCTACTTTACTGCTTACTGATCACTGGCACGATTAGTTGTGGTCCATGTGTATTTAGTCCTCAGTGAACACCTGTATCAGCTGCACTCTGGAAATTAGATTTTAAAGATATGAAATAGGGCTTCATTAAGCTACCATCTTGAAAACACACATGAACATGTGTCACAGGTACAAAACATTGTGTGTATTACTGATGAAACAATAAATATGATAGTGACATTAATGTTATAAATATAATGTATGTTTTAAGATAATTAATAATAAGTTTACTTTTAAGACATAAATGTAAGTACTTTCATACAAAAACTTGGTTTTTCTTTATTTACATACCATATACATACATACATATTATTCTATATTTATTTATTTACTTACATCTTTATGTACTTATCTTCATCAGCAGACTTAAAGCCCAGGCTATTCTGTACCAGCCCACCTTTGGGTGATGTACAAATCTTGTAAGATGCACAGAGGTTACATAATATGTACTTAATCAATGGGATTTTTTTTCCAATAATACTAATTTGATCTAGTCCTCAAGATAAAATAAAAATTAAATGATACCACAGCGGTCAAAGAAGCTGTGCTAATCAATTGTTTTGTTACTTTCACCCAGTGAGCGAGATTACCAGAAGGGAAGTTGGTTGTGGATCTCACTGTAAAGTTTTCAAAATGTCAAGACTAAGAAACGTTTCCATACATACTATTTTTTTACTGATAGTTTTAGTCTTCCAAATTTAAATTGAGGTCTCGTTGCACAGTACTCGTGCGAAATCTTAATGACAACAAATTGCCAGTGGACAAGGCAAATGTCGAGCGACAATATCTCAGAAAATCGCAGAGACACACCATATAAAAGTCAGGTGATGATAAGTCTAGACATGTGCCTTAAGTGAATACATAGTTTATTATCATGTTTAAGAATAACCATGGTAGGTACTTGAGGAAATCAAAATTTGTATTGTTCAATACCAGTTAAATAGAAATTGACGTTGTTTTTTTTAATGGCATAGGGTGCCAAAGGAGCGGAGCGGGACCGGGAGCGGTTTAGAACTCTCCCGGTCCCGCCAGGCTCGGGTACGGGCCACGTGCGGCAGACAACTCAGGCGCCGGAGGTCGCTGATCGACCTTGGTTCTCCATAAGCGCAGGCCTGGGGGTGATAGGTGAGGCCATCTGACGCCCTAGCAGAAGCAGACCGGGGTGGCGGCGAGACGCGCTGCGGAACGCGCGTGCCATTTCGGGAGCACAAATTAAACATGGGGGTTCCTACACACGAGGGGGTCATCTACCCGCCGTAGATGGCCCGAGATCCGTTTGGGTGCCGGGGATTTCCTTTCTAGGGAACTCTTGGTTCCCCGGCTACTGGTACCCGGGACGGCGTGCGGTTTTTAGTTGGTTCGAGTCGGACATAGCCACCGGTGGAAGGTGGATTTCCGCACAGAAAAAATAAAAAAAAGGGGGGCAAAGGAGCAGACGGGTCACCTGATGGTAAGTGATTACACCGCCCATGGACACCTACGACTCACAAGTGTACACAAGTGCGTTGCCACCTTATGAGTCCCCCACCTCCAAAAATAGTGGTAGAGATGTACAATCGTTTTAAGAAACAGTACAATTGGCACACTCACCGCAGTCTGCCATCTGTATCTGATAACCAAGGTAGACTATACTGTACAAAATAATAATAACAATAATATAATATAGCCTTTTATTCAGATCTCTTAACTAGTTACAATGGGTTTAAACTTATATTAACACTGGACTCTTAAACTACATAAACTATTTAAGCTAATATCTGTTGCTTGGTTATCATTCCTAGATCTGTTTGCCAATCGGCAAAGGCATCCTCCAGCCTTTCCATTCTTTCCTTTCCTGTGTCGCCCTGTTCCACATCATGTCTCCGGCCACTTGTCTAATGTCATCGTCCCATCTTTTTTGCGGCCTACCTCTCTTCCTCTTGCCTTCTCTGGGATACCACTGTCACCCTTTGACTCCATCTGTCGCATCCTCTTATCACGTGGCCAGCCCATCTCCATTTCAGTCTTTTGATTTTCGTTGTACCATCTGTAGTTTTTGTTTTGCTTCTGATGAAAAAGTTTTTCAGTCTGTCAGACTTTCTAATATTTAGCATACTCCTTTCCATTGCGTACTGACAAGTTGCTAGTTTGTATTATGTTTCATGATTTAGCACCCATGATTGACATCCGTACGTCAGAACAGGTAGTACGCAGCTGTTAAACAGTTTACTTTTTAAGTTTATATGGAGTTTTTTGTCTTTCATAGCCTCCATCAGGCTCCAGTATCTCTTCCAGCCATTCGTAGTTCTTCTCTCCACTTCCTTACGCATGGGTTCTTTTTGCGTTATAAGCTGACCTAGATAGATGTACTCGTCAGTGTAGTCTATTTCGGTGTTCCCTAATTTAATAGTGTGATTGTTTCCGTTTGTGATCACTCTAGTCTTATCCGGATTCAGTGCCAGTCCCACTTTCGCACTTTCTATCGCAAGTTCACCTAGCATTTTATTTAAGTCTTCTGGTGTTTTGGCAAATAGCACTATATCGTCAGCGAACCTCAAGTGTGACAGCAATACGCCATTTACGTTAATACCGAGGCGTTCTCAATTAAGTCTTCTGAAAATTGATTCCAATACTGCGGAGAAAAGTTTAGGAGATAGGGGATCCCCTGTCTAACGCCTTTTTCAATTCTGAAAGGAGCGCTTTTCCTTTCTAGTTGGATTCTTCCTGTGCTGCGACTGTAAATGTTTTTTATTAGTCGGATGTATTTGTGTTCGATTCCTTGTTCTAGTAGAGCCTCCCATATTTTTCCGTGTAGTAGAGAATCAAACGCTTTGCTGTAATCGATAAACGCGATGTAGTATGTTAGCCGGTATTCGTTGTATTTCTCTAGAACTTGTCGCACTACGTGGATGTGGTCGATTACCGAATAATCGTTGGTGTTCGTCTAACGTTATTTCGATTCGTTTTAAGATAATCTTAGCGAAAATCTTGTATACGTTAGACAAAAGGCTGATAGGGCGATAGTTTCCTATATCATATTTGTCACCTTTCTTATACAGTAGGATGATTTTAGACTCTGTCCATTGTTGGGGCATAGTTTCAGTATTTATGATGTCATTGTACATATCTTCGAGAACAGGTATAAGGGTGCCCTTGCTGTGTCTTAGAATTTGGTTGTTTATGCCATCGGGTCCGGGTGCTTTCTCTTCTTGTTGGGTGTCAATAGCTTGCCTGACTTCAAAGTGCAGGATATTAGGAATATTCGAAGGATTTACCAGTTCTAATTTGCTTTGCGTAGTGTCGTTGCTGTACAGTTTTTTGTAGTATGATAAAGCTATTTCTAATAGGTCTGTTCTGTTGCGGTTCCATTTTCCTCTTTCATTTTTCATTCTTACAATCGAGTCCTTTGTGTTTGTCAATTCCTTGACCGCTTTTTTGATTCCACCTATTTGAAGTATGTAATTTTCTATCGTTTCCATCCTCAGCTGTTTCCTATCTTCCCTAATGATTTTTTTGATATCTTTGCTAATTTTGACAATTTCCTTTCTTCTATTTTGAGCGGTTTTTGCGCTAAAAAGGTGGTTTCTATCTTGTAGTAGTTTTATAGTGTTTGTTGATAGCATATTTGTTGTTTCAGTTTTTATGTTCGTTACGAGTTTTGTCTGAGTTTTAATAATATTTTCTATGTAATTGTATTTTTCTTGGATTGCTAAATTTTGTAGTTTTTTCCTTGAAGTCTGTAAATTCGAATCTTAGAGCGATTGTTATTTGTTCTAGTTGCTGCTTGCTGAGTATTGTATTTCCTACGTTTTGTCTTGGTCTCGGCTTTATTGGTTGCTTTATTTTGAATTCAGCTCTGATTAGCCTATGGTTGGTGTTAAAATTGAATCTTTTAATGACGGTAAAGTTGGTGAAATAGCTACTTCTATTCGTCATAATAAAATCGATTTCATTTTTTGTCTTGCCATCGGGGGAGATCCAGGTCCACATCTTATTCCTGTTTTTCTTGTACATGGTGTTTAGGATTGATAAGTTATTTTCTAGCGCAAAGTTTGTAATTTTCTCCCCATTCCTGCTCCTAGACTTGTTGCTATATGAAAATAGACCTAATATTGTATTTTAACCTGGGCGTCTTGCTCCAATTTGGCCGTTGTACCTACTCGTAGTCTCCCATTACTATAAGGTTTTTGTGGGTGTATTCTTGGATGGCATCATTTAAGTCTTGGTAAAAAGTATTTATTGTTTCTAAGTTTGATTGATCTGTAGGTGAGTAAACCTGTACAATAGACCAAGGGTCCTTGTATCCCGGTAGTTTCACATTCATAATCGCTATGCGCTCTGAGATTCCGATGAATTCTTCAATATAATTCGTTATATGTTCCTTGATAATAAATCCTACCCCGTGATGGCCTTGAGTCTCTCCTAGCTGGTCCAGTAGGTAGTCTGGGTGAGAAGTGATTCTTTCGCCCATTCTTCTCACCTCGCTCAGGCCAAGGATGTCCCATTTGATTTGTTTTAGCGCGTTAGTTAGTTCAATAAGATTTTCGTCTTTCATTAAGGTAAGTACATTAAGGGATACTATGTATATTACTGGTTTTTGGTGCTTCTTAGCTTTTGGCGTTGGAGAGTTGTGGTCTCTTTCCCCCACGAGGACCAGTCGGCTTGGGGGAGTTTGGTATTTTGATGTTTCTTTATTGGCAGTTTCATTGGTTGGTTTTGGTTTCCGTTTGCGGCTCTTTAGTTGCTATTGGTTTCTCTTAGTGTTGGGTGTACTCGGAAGGGAGCCGGCTCTGGATCGCATTATGTCAAAAGCATTACTTCTGTTAGACTTGGTTGTGTTCACTGTTTGTTGTTTCTTTGGTTGGTTAGTGTAGTTGGAGAGTGAAGCTGATGTTTCCCTTTTCCTTTTCTCTTGACTGGTGTTGTTTTCTTTAACTATTAGTTCAACATATTTCAGGTATGCCGTATTGCCCTTCTTCCTCTCTTCAACTAACTCTGCTTGCAACTCTCTCCTTCTTTCCAACACTTCTTTCGGGTAGTCCTCGTTTATATAGATTGTTTTAAGGTTCCTTTTGTTTTTGATAATTTCATTCTTCTTCCAGTTATTAATAAACGAACACAATACCGGTCTCGGTTTATTGCTCGCTCTCTCCTTGTTTCCTAAGCGATGAATTTTGTTAACTTCGTACTCTTCTATGTTGATATTTAAATCCCGACTGAAGGTTTCCTTAAGCTTTTGTATTAGTTCATAAGAGGATTTTTCTTCTTCTTCTAACCCAAATATTATTATATTATTGCTTCTTTCGGCTCTCTTAAAATACGTTAGCTCTCTTTCTAACTTTTATACTTTCGTGTTTAAGTTATTATTCTCTTCCACAATAGGGATCAATTTTTCATCCATTTTCTCCATAATACTTTTTGTAATCGAATCCTTTAGTTCAGCATTTTGTTTCGATCTTCATTTGTTCAAATAGTATTTGAAATTGGCCTTCCATCTTGTATGTTTTGGAGTTTTGTCTCGAATCGTTAAACTTGTGCTTGTAAATACTTGCAGGATTTCAACAATCACACGTCACTAATTATTTATAACCACTTCGCGACGGTTCTGCTTCTGTTTTACACAGAGTCTATCCACTGGACATCACGTTAACTATTTCGTTTCGCTTAATTTGTATCGGAGGTTATCACTACGATGTTGACAGTACGAAAGCCGGAAACGGAAAAAAGTACAAATACAAAATACATACTGTACAAAATAGTAAACATAAATTAGATCAATAAGTTAATAAACTTTTTGTCATAAATATGACATGACACCTTCGGTGTTCGGTATGTGTACCTAAATAATGCTGTACGAGAACAAGTTATATCTGCGTACGTACTGCTTATCTAGATGTCACTGCACCTTGTGCAATAATTTTGTTAAACGACTTGTTGATATATTGTAGCGCATGGCCACAAAATGTATCAGCGGCGTTACAAATGTGCCAAGTGGTCTTGTAGAACGACAAATATTAATGGCGTGATGAACGCATCAAGATCTTGTGTGGATTATTAGAACATTTTAGAGCCATTAAAAGCCAAGAAGTAAATTGTTATAAAAGGTCTGGCTTGAGATGCGTTTAACTATATAAGCATTTTTCAACATCTTTTTATGGAATGTACGAAAGGTTTTGTCTAAAACCGTAAACTTGTAATATAGAGATATTACAAGTTTACTCTTAACTCGTATTACGAGTATAGTATCTTTAAATTGTAGGTAGATGGATAAATCGATGGTGTTTGAATTGTTTTATGTCTATTTTGCGGTGACTCGATTTCAAATAAAAACTATGTATCTAGTCAACTGCATAATCATATAGATAACCTCCGCCTAAATATATGTATTCCAGAGAAGTTTGTTTTCCTAAGGCCTCGTCATGAGTATCGAGAAGTAGGAAAGTGGGCTGTAGGTATATCAGTCTATGTAATAATAAAACAAGCAATTTGGATTCATAAACAAAATAAGCTTTATTGAGAAATCCTGGTTTTATAATGAAGCAGACATAAGTAATGTAGTGAACGCGTGTAGTTCCACCGCCTGTCGCGCTTCGTGGGACGCGCTTGGCAAGCGCACCGTGCTGAATATCGCTGAAAGCTCCGCTGTGCGGGGAACATCTTTCGTACGCCAGTACCCCTCCGACCAGCGATGCTGTGCTGTCTCCGGAAATAGAGTACGTTCGCCGTCTCCCCGTGCACTGTTGCGAACCGTTCGCCGCTGCAGCCAACATTTTAGCCATTGAATCGCGGTTAATAATAGTTGTCGTTAAATAATTTATGTTTTCCCTGATTTCCTTAGCTTCGTATAATTTTGTTGAGGAGGTATATAATAACTGCGATTCAATGGTGACGGTCTTAACCCGAATTGCATTTTGGAAGGAATGCAAGTCGTGTTGGACCGTGAAATAAGTGTTTTCGCTGGTGCAGTGTAGATGTTTACAACGTCTTTAGATTGGCCGATCAGGTGCGCGAGTGTGTGTGCAAATGACTGGTAGTCCGTCATAACGGGCTTAAGTTAAACAACATGTGGACCAAAGGATTAACGCTATGGAGGTTTACTTTGTGCATGTTGTTCGTGGTGTCAGCGTTTGCCGCTGTAGCGAGAGGTGAGTCCTTGTCGCGTGAGTGGGAGCAGATCTTCGCTCGCAGTCTGCGTCACTACATTGCTGCTATTTTCGGCGTAACTTGCGCTGAAATTATGTAAAAAGCTCACGTATGTGCGCTATTTTTGGCGGTAACGTTAGGTGAAATTTTGTATGACAAAATAATCCAGTGACCGAGAAATGAAGAAGTTTCTATTTGCTCGTTTTTTATATTCTCTTATCCATTTCTTAGGGTTAGTGAAGTGGAGGCAGAGCAACGTCAACCGCATCGTTTCAACGCAAAGCTAGATACGTAAATAGAAATACAGGGATTTGTCGTTGTACGTCGCCATCTTGTGAAAAACGATAGGATCGTGACGACATTATAAAAGTATAACACGGATCTAGGTCACATCATAACTTCATGTTAAGTGTTTTTGGTAGGGATTCTAATTACTTATAACAAAAAGACCTAGGTCACCTCTTACATTTGTGCTATTAAAATATTTAAACTTATAGTCAAAATGACCATTGCACATTTTGAAAAATTGCCAATTGCCAAAACAAAAAAAAAATGATTTAATTAATAAAATTATTCTGTAAGATATTTTTTTACACGACAGTGTTTCAGTTCCAGAATAAGTTACCTATTCATGATCAAAAGAAAATATTATTATAATTTTGAGTATTAGACTAACCCTGTTCATCCCGTGGGGGTCGCAAGAGCCGGCTTAAGGAGCAAACTATGTAGGCCAAAAGCACTGCAAAGGGAAGGAAAAATTGAAACACACCCTATACCAACCCGTCTGGCCAGCATGGCATAGGAGGCCAATACCTCCTATCTTAGAAGAGTCTATGTCTAGCTGTGGACTACTAAAGGCTGTTGATGACGATGATGATGATGATGATTTACGCCCTCTAAGCTTATATGCTTATTTTTCGGAAAATAAAACTCTAAATACAACACTATAACTTTATGAAATACTGCTGAAAGTTTTGATGTATATATAGTTTCATGTAAGTCAATGTCAACTAACATGGCCCACAACATAAAACACAAACATCTAACTGTAGACCGACGACGCAACAAGGCCGGCCGTATTAACTGGATGTCTTAAAATACCGTGGATATGTAGAGCGTCCAGGAGTTCAACTATTTTAATCTCTGCATAATGTTATTTTTTATGAAATTTACATGTATAATAAAAGACTAACTACATGGTCACTACTGGTCTAAACTAATGCATTGTGTTAAACGGAGTTACAAACCAATTATAACACAAACCATTTAATTTTATTTTCACTAGTTGAATAAGTTGATAAGTCCAATAAATTTACGAAAATTCAGAAGTATAAAAAGCACCTAATACGAGTACTTTAAAGCTAACCAATTTTTTTTTAGATCTGCAACTAAAATGAATTGTTTACTACACTCCATAAAAACGAAATTTAATTTATTTGTTATAGTTTAAAGTGTTGTATTGGTATTATAATGAACTAATAGTTTTAGTAGTAATTTTCATCTGCGTTTTTACTCACAGCTCTGCCCTTCGTCCGTGTTAGGTTTCATACACAATATATGAGTTCTTTTTTTTTAAAGGTCTACTAGCAACCGAAATTACTAGTAATCCCGTTAACCCCTCCCGCTGAGCTAAATTGAATTTATATTGCTTTATAAAAATCGGTAAAGCCGTTATTGTAAATGCCGTAACTAACCCGTGCCAAGCATCAAAACAAATGTAAGTATTCTGCTTGTTTGCCAAAAATGATAAGTTCCTATCTACTTACATGAATGTATAGTATAGGAATGCATAGTATTTTTTTGCTTGATTAGTCTTTTCAAAGTTTCTGCTTTATTGTTAAAACACAACTCTTATTTACGTTCAATTTTAGCTTGAATAAATAACTCTAGCTAAAATTACTGAATGAAATTAATTAATTTAACAACTTTGGACAATATTCAAGAAAAAGAAAAACTTAACACAAACCGTATACTAACCCGTCTGGCCAGCGTGGTATAGTAGGCCAAAACCTCCTTTCGACGAAAAGGTCTATATCCAGCAGTGGACTACTAAAGGCTGTTGATGATGAAAGTAACTTTACCGATTAACTAATTCTAGCATACTTATAATTAAAGTAAAATACATTTCTAGAATAGTTTTTAAAATACAGTTTTAATTTGTAAACATTAGCGTTATCCTTGTTGACCCTAGTATTTTGTAAGTATTTTGAATCTATTTTTTGGTAAAATAGACATATTGATAACAAACACAAAATAAAACACAAGTGATTAAAATGGGAAAGAAAAGTTCAGAAAACTAAATTATTAACAAGCCTAGCAACAGGGCTTCAAAATTAGTAATTAGATTAAGACAGAAATTTAGTTGCAATATGAATCACGTTCCTCTCAGCTAGGACTTTTATGAAACACAACGCTATCAACACGTGAGGAAGCGTAGTTACATCTGTCATATATTCTGCTACAACCTTAAATGGATCAATTCAAATCACAACGATGCGATTGATTGACATGTCATTACCTATTATTTATTAGTTTATTATCTTTGTGCCATTCGTGATTTCACCAAGAGTGTTCGTATCAGTTTTATCAATTTCGACCATCCATTGTAGTAACGTTACTACATAGCTTACTAGTGCCCACCCAATTCAATAGTGTGTTTATAGTGATAATTAGTGACAATAGTTTTTTCGGAAGCCTGAAAATTTCGTAAGCTCAAATTTCTTTTAGTTCATTTACAATAGGACCTATGAAGTTGGAGATTTTTAAAACCAGCATTTATAGATTTCATTATGTATGGGTTTGCCAACAATTCGAAATTCAAATAAAATATTTATTCGAAAGCCATGTTATTTAAAGTTAAAATTCAGTCATTTGTTTTAGATAGTGTTTTGTTTTTGTGAAATTGTGGTAGTAGTGATAAATTGCAAATTCGTGTAATTTCCGAATATGAGTTTCTACGTGGAATTACTTACGTTCATTATTTATTCAATCATTTTAGATCTGAAAATGTTGAGTTAAAAAACGAACCTCGCGGCCCGCCGGTAAAAATAGTCGCCAACGACAAATTGAAGGCAATATTGGAAGCGGATCCAACTCAATCTACGGCTGAGCTTGCTGCGGGATTTGGAATTATTGTCAAAACAGAGTTCCCTCTATCTGGCAGAATTCTGTTGCTCCGAATTTTTTCGCACAACACACTTGGCAGAATCTTCTTAAAACGAATATTTTTAAGGAATATAACAATATTTAGTATAATTATTGTTTGGCTAAATATTTTTATGTCCGAATTTACAATGGCATACTTTTAAGATAAAATAATTTTATTTAGCATAATTACCTTTGGCAGTTTCGTTTAGCATAACGCGTATTTAATAATATCTAATAATTTTATTTTGGTATATTGCCATAAATATAAAATTTTAACCTAAAAATATTATCTTAATAAGTCATATGTTTTGCTACAAAAGTTTGTAACAGAAACGAATCGCTGCAAAACCGACTCCACGTAGTCTTGTCTGTCCTACCCCTAGAGTAATTTAAGCCGGCGTAGGCGCGGAGGGACGAGGCGGCCCGCGGAGGGGCGAGGAGGTGATTTCAGCGTTCGCCGCCGCGGTTGAGGCTGGCCGGCCAGCAAGACGAAGCTACGGTGGTGAGCGTTGAATATATCTGCGACGATGAGCTCGCGTGGGACCGCCGGCGCTCCGCAGCGCCGGAGCCGTGACAATATGCTGCATGCTGCATTCTTGTTTACATGCTGCATGACTTTATAATTATGGTAAGAAATACAAAATGATGGATAGGTAGTCTTTCAATTATTATAGATATGAAATGTATGCCAAAAGATGATTCTCACTGTAATCTGCCTGAGATATGCAAGTTCTGCCTTGTAATGATTATGGATATGAAATTTATGCTCACAGACGATTCTGACTATTACCTTTTGGCGATATATGATGTTTATGCCTAAAGATGATTATAATTTACAAAATTATGCGTTTTGAATGTATGGTAAATGAGTGTCTGCCAAACGATTTCCTGCGAAATGAAGTTTATGCTAACCGTTGTTATGCAAAATAATATTATAACATAAACAGTTCTGCTATAAAGGGCAGACTCGTCAAGACAATATTGTAATACTTGCGTCAAATCGGAAAGATAAAGAGCTTGATAAGTATGTGCCACGCGAATTAAGCTACCATCAGCGAGACTTACGCGTCGATCATACGTTGTCATGCATAGCACAACTTAATCGGCATAGAAACGAGGGAATTCTGAATCGAATTGATACCTGCGCTGAAAAGTAGATCCTTCACGACAACCGTAAGCCTTTGTCTCAGTGGGTGGACCCGGGTACCTAATCAGTACGCTAAAAAAAAATTACCAATAGGAAGATGATGGTGACTGTCTGGTGGACTTCTACATCACAGCTCCTTACCGAATGGCACAAGAGTGCCTATTGACAAGAATTGCAAACAATGATGGAGAAGCCCGCAATTCAACAACCATGACTGCTCAAGCGCTCTTCCCCAATGTTTCTCCACGACAACGCGGGAGCTCACACTTCACGACAGACCATCGCAAAGCTACAAGAGTTACAGTTGCATTCTGTCCGTCACCCACCGTACGTACCGGACCTTGCCCAACAGATTTCTACTTTTTCAAAATTTAGACAATTTTGTAAGTCTGAAAAAATTCAGCACCCGAGACGCAGTACAAAACTCTTTCGCTGACTTCATCGCCTCCCGTCCAGCAGACTTCTATAGTAAAGCGATTAACAAACTGCCATCAAAATGGAAAAATTGAATAAATAATTTGGGCCAGTACTTTGATTAGCTAAAATAAAAGAAATTATCGTACAAATCTCCAACTTCACAGGTAAAAACCTATTATTTTCATGTTATCAACCCCCAACGGTGGAAGCAGCTCTCGCCATGAATTATTTTCATTTGCCACCTTTCTGGTGATTTACTTTATAGCAAAATATCAATGCTCATCGTGAACGACAAAGTTTAAAAGTTCATATTAAGGTAAGATACCAAAAGGTATATTATTTAGGTATATTATTTTTATAGCGTCTTACATAGGTGACAAATGAGATTTCAAGAGTTTTACGCGATTATAATCTCTGTTGATTTTCTTATATTAGCCAAATGTATGGCAACAACATTACCTGTGTACCATTAGTAGACTAGTTCAAAGAGCTTTTAGTAGATATTGTTTAGTGAACATTTTTTACACAAAAGGTATGACATGAAACCCTTAAGCTATGAAAGTACGTTGATGCCTTTAATTAAGTTTTGATATTACTTATCACTGAATTGTTCTCTTTGTCCGTTTCATGAATGTTTGTAAAGTACCCCGTGACACATGATACTCGTAGGTATATTCTTAGTGCGGGAGTTGTCTGTTTAAACAAAAGAAAAAGTAGAAATATATTTGCGAAAGGGGTATAGCAACACCAAATAAAGTTTATTAGTTTTCTACAAGTGTGAGTCATTTAGCGTCCTCCGTTCTGGGCCTACAAACTTGAAACTTTTCTACTACAAAAATTACCCAAGGGAATCTATTATTAATAAATTAGCCTATAGTAGTTGACTGATGGATATAGGCGTTCGACGTTCCATCTGCCTGGAGCGCGATCTACGTACTGTTTACCTTTTCATCGTCCGTTCATTTTATACCCGTTTGCTCCAATGACATATTATTATGTTAGGTGTCGGTATACGAGTATAAGCGTACCTGGTATAATTTATTAATTGAATTGAAAGTGAAGAGAGTATCATTAGAGTAATAGTGTTGCCAAAAATACCTTGTGGTAACAAAGGCACATATCCTTTGCTACTAACAACATTGCTAATTCTGACTAACGTTTTCTCCACTAATAATACAGAGAAAAAAGGCTGAGGGGGCGGATGAGATCGTCGCCCCTATTTTTTTTAAAAGAGGGAGGGAATGAACATTACATATTAAGGCATATTTTTAAAAACGAAATGCTTATAAAATGGTACCTTTTGTAAATGCTACTGCATTTATATTTTACTTAAATTTCAGCTGACGACGACATACCATCTGAATCACAATGCCGGCCATACATCGAAAAAGCTCTTAAAGAGCTCGAGTCAGGAGATGTGGAACCAGGTAAAAATCTTTTATTATTAATTTTATTAGTGCTATTTATTAATTTATTATTTGATTTTCAACAGCTACGTGTGCTTTTACACTTTTTAGTGAAGTGCTCTTTTTGGAAATCTCAAACCAACTACGAACTGAATGATTTTCTAGTTGCTTGTCAAACATACTATTATTCAAGGTCAAACACATTGTTGGCTGAAATAAATCACTTGAAGACAGGTTCATTATTTAGTTTAGTAGGATATATAGATACATACATAGATACGCCTACTTTTTTAATTGCAAAGAGAAAAATAACAGGTATCGTTGACAGAAGAAGCAAATAATAATAAGAACAGGTTAATATTGTTTTTACATACAAACGTTGACAGGATTGCAGTTCCAAACCTTCTCCAGGGAATAATTTGCTTGAAAACAGATATTAGAATAGAAACTATCCTCATGTAAACTGTGATGCTAGAGATAGGGACTGCAGTTTACAAACATGCAAATGTACATCAATACTTACGCATTCAAATACAAGAATGGTAGAGATTTATTAATTGGTAAAAAAATGCGTTTTATCATAGCGTTGACGTTACAACTAATAGGTCACTAGTAAAACTTTTGAATAAAATAGAGAGTATGGGTTACATCTTATGAATGTGTTTTAAAGCTGTTTTATTCTACGACATTACGAAACAGTTTCCGGTTACGAGTAATAGGTATCTTTACATAGTTGCTATTGTATCTGACCTTAGCGAAACCAGGAATAATCCCGGAGTGACACAAGTTTGTCGGCGATGAGATGTCAGATCTATTTTAATTACGCGAATAGCAGCGTCTCCGATATTAACTCACGCCTAATAAAAGATGTCAGTATTATCGCTAGTTCACATAATATTTAGTCTGTTGTAAAAACAAACAGACATTAACGACCTGACACGCATTACGGAAGTCTTCACTATAAACATTGGAAATACATTATACTCAATAAATAATAGATGGCTTTTAGCCACATCATTCTTGACAGAGCATGGTCAAGCGTAAAAAGTTGAAACGTTTCAGGTCATATATATTTCTTTACAAGAAAAACATAGTTTTAATATTCCAGCTAGAATAGTGAAAGGTTGCTTTATTGTCATTGTAGTTTACAGTTGGTCATCTAAATTTAGTATCTTATTTATAGCTTCGCGCGTAGACGAGAGCGTCAAGCTGAAGATCGGACGGACTGTTAATAAAACGTTACGGCTTTGAAAACTCTGTACGAGTCACTTGGAAACCTAACAAAATTAAAAATGACTCATTATATAAGACTTAATAATAAAAATTATATGAAAAGTTTTTTATGAAAATTTATAGGAAAATTCAAGAAACGTCTCTAGTATGTAGGTTAAATGTGAAGATGGTATACCTTGTGGTACCTATTGTCTTATTCAACTCTCATAGTGCCGAATACACAAACTTGAATATCTAAATACTATATATATATATATCTTGACGAGGAAAAAGAAATGTGCTTTGAGAAATTACAGTCTTTAAATTAAGAAGAAAAATATAAGTTGTCCCTTATTAAACCTATTTTTTATTCATGCTTTTAGAGCTGGGAACAATTATACATTTTTCGCTGATATTGAACGTACATACATCGTATTTGGCGCAGGTACATGAAAACAGGTACTGGCTAAACACATGCTTTCGCGTACACTAGTAGTAGGTACAGATTTACTATCGAGTTTTTGTGGGATGACAAACAGCTGATGGATTCTAAATAAGATAGCATGGATAAAAAATAGCATCATCGGTATAACTATCCAATTAATTTTACATCAATATTTTTTCTTCTGATAAACTTATAATCTGCTAATATTTCACTTACACATCACATCACATCAACAGCCTTTAATAGTCCACTGCTGGACATAGGCCTCTCCTTTGAAAGAAGGGTTTGGCCCCTATACCATGCTGGCCAGATGGGTTGGTATAGGGTTTGTGTCAAGTTTAACTTCTTTTTGCAGTGCTGGTGTCCTGCGTAGTTTTGCGCCCTTAGTCGGCTCTTACGACACCCACGGAATGAATTGGGGTAGTGACATTCCGTATTCTTAATCCGTCACTACACGGACACTTATTTCACATATTTCACTTACTCTTTTTAATTCTTGGTATATTTTGTTTTGATGTTTTCATTAGGTAATCTAAAAATACTAAGAATGAACCCTTATACTTGATTTAGTAGTGTTTATACTTAAGTTAGTGTGAAAATCAATAAATATGTGAAAAAATACTCTCATTAAAGAAGTTATAAGTAACTATTACATTCATTTTAATATAATTTTTGGAGCTGCTCCACAATACGTTATTCTTTAAGAACTGGAAATACATAATTAAGTATACAAATTCTCTCTCTGGTCGGTTTTTCGAAATTTCCATTGCCTCTGCGCACTGTGTGGCCGAAATATTAATAGATAAGTTGGTAGCATATGGTGGTCAAGCGAGTTTTAATCCGAAGCGAGTTTCATTTCGAATTGCAGATCGATGAATTTGTGCGCAGTTCAAGAAATTCTTAGCATTTGTTACCAGCGCTACGTCTCGAATGCATCGATCCTTTATTTTTCACCGGGCAGAATTGTTTACGTTTTAAGTCCATATAGGAAGATAGGGACTACATGGGCTTGTACCAATCTAATCTTGGTTTTGAGACCAATTCTTCTTTTTTCTAAATGTTGTTTTGTTAAAGAGTCGTATAATCTTTGCCATCCTTATTTGTCTTTTTATCTCGGGAGCGCAACTGCTGTTATTACAGATTTGGGATCCCAGGTACATGAAGTGGTCGACGTTATTAATTCCCTGATCGTTGCAGATAAAAAAGCTTCACAAAGCTTTCTGGCCCGATCTTCTATTCTGTTCAGTTCAGTACAGTCAGTCAGGACAGTCTTTGGAACAGCTCATTCATATCTTCCATGGACGTTGCTAGAAGTAGAGTGTTGTCGGCATATCGGATAATTTCTTAACACCTATAGGGAAACCCCTATTCCATTTTCGATGGTTTTCTCCATATGAATGAGGTAGTTCTCCATAGACAAGATGCAATCCTGTCTCATTCCTGTTTGGACCATATTGCAGCATTCATTTCCTATCCTGATGAAAAAGCAATTTTCAGGGCACTGGATTTAGATCAAAGCAATGTTAAAGAGGTCCCATTTCGAGAAGCACATTCCAGAAGTTGATCCCATTGCACGCAGTCAAAGGCTTTGGTGTAGTCGATAAAACTTAAGACTACTAAGCTGTAGAATTCTTTGCTCTGCTCGATAATTTGGTGGATTTTTTATATTTGTTCCCGTATGCCTCTGTCCTTGACGAAAACTGTTTGATTTTCAGGAATCTGTCGCTTAAAAAGTAGGATCTGATTTTCATGCGATATTAACTTTATAGATCTGTAATTTACAGTCCTTTGGAGAAACTTTCTTACGTAAAAGTATATAAACACATTCGGATCTTTTGGCCATCTTTAACATTTCTGATGGTATTACAGATCTCGATGATAGCCTCTTTAACCGATGATTCCTTGTACTTAAGAGCTTTGCTCCATTTCTGATGCCAGAATGTCAGGTTCTTCTGCCGGTCATACAATATTAGAATTTCAAAAATCACATTTGTTAGCAGACGTCCGTCTGTATATGTGTGTATACATTTAAAGTTGCTGAATATCTTAAGTAATTTAAGAACGAAACTTTCAGAATATTTGTAGTTCTTCGTAAGCTCTACTTTAAAATCTGCTATTTATGCTGAAAATGACATATTGTAAACAACAAAATCTACAACATGTTGTCATTAGAATGAATGATACTTGAGTAAAATTTATGCTCGAATATAATGTTTCGTTTGTTTATCGTTATTTCTAAATCTTGGGCAACTGTGTTTACCAACTACGACTATGGTAAACATTAGGCGGTGGGATATTATCGTCTTACGTAGGTATGCAAATGTGTAGACAACTCAAACAGTAAAGTAGCATTTAGGCCTGTATTTTAAAGGGTGTTTCAGTCGTGAATCTGGTCTTAAAAAGGATTTTAAGTAGAGATTTTACTATAGAACGTCACATAAAATGAGATTCACCGATGTATACTCAAGTGAGTGATACTTTATTTTATAATGATGTTTATGTCGCAATCTTTACTCAAGTATAGATTTAGACAGATATGATCTTTGTTTACTTGAGACAAGCTGAAACTAGTCTTAAGCAGGGATTCCTAGGGCATTTTAGGGGATATAAAACGTGTTTTACGATGATTTGTTTTTGAATATTTACGAAAGATTTACTTTACTTTATTTCCGAAAGAATTGCTTGTCATACATTATCAATTCACTTCAATTTACCTTAATTGATATTTAAGTAATTCATTTAAATTTACCTTGTACACACATAGTACCTACTTGTTTAATTTAAAATCACCACAACCTTATGGTTTATGTTAAAAGTATAATATTATTCTAGTAGGTAATATAAATTTGAGAGTGACACGCCTTTTAAGATACGGGCCCCAGACTCAGAACAAAAATTTGTAGATCACACAAAGTGTTGTCCAATGGGTGTGTGGGGATCGAACCCACAACACTCAGCGCAGTAGGAAGCGGCGAAACCACTACGCCATCCGTGCAGTCGAAACCGATCGACGCTTAAGTTTTGATATGAACTTAAAATTAATTTCAGATAATCAGAGTTCAACCGATAGTTATGAAAGTTTTTTAAATGCGAGCCTAAATGTTTTTTTTCTTTGCTACTACAGAGCCAAAATATTTTTTGTCGTATCGTATGTTTAAAACGAGACTAACAACTGAACGAGAAAGCATTTTAATTTTACGAGGTAGTTAACTATTATATCCTGTACCTAACTATCTCTAGATTACCTAGATTTGAAACAATAATTAAATTCATCATGTACTTAGGTTAAATGGAATAAAGGCGTTATATTAAGAATACGATCTTGAAAATTAAACTCGCAAGCTCTATTTTAACAGACATTTATTTTTATGTTAAAATAAAAATTACTCAGTTTTATTAAAGACTGAAAATTAGGATCACAATGATTTGATGAATAATATTGTCATTAACAAAAATATGAAAGTTCTTCCATGAGTTAGCAGGGTGAGCTTGCATAATTGATCTATAATAGAATGTTCTATTCCAAGTTTAGCTGACTTGAGTTATGTAATGGAATTGATAGGAATTAAGAATATCTACGACCAATAAAGTTTGAATTAATAATAAGTCCGGTAACTGTGGCACCAAACTTCTCAATTCCTAATGATTTTGTTAACCCCTATTAAATTATTTGGTTTATAGACTCTGCCGAAAAGAATGACAGTAGTGAAGTAAGCATTGACGATAGAGACGATTCAAAAGAAGATGGAGGTCAAACAGCTGAAGCGGAAGACAGCATAGAAGAGGATGTGCCATCTGTAGAAATAGCGGACGAGCCATACGTCTCCCAAGCCTCCATTGAAGAGGTTGAAAGTACATCTAACGACGCTGACTCTAAAGAAGGGATTGAAGAAGCCGATGGAGATAGCAATGAACAACAAGATGATGGAGGCCAGGAAGAAGGAGACAGCAAAGAGGAAACAGCATCTGCTGAAGATGAAACAGCTGAACAAGGTTGGTAATTAGTTTGTTTGATTATCATACCTATATATCCATATGCATACCCTTACCATATTCTAAAAATCTTCAACGAAATGAGACTCGAGTACATCTTACAATTCTACACATTTCTGCCAGTCTTCAATTTCCTTTCGACTGATCAGAGTACCATCGATGATTTTATAGGTCTATAAATTCTCGAAGATCTGTTATTCGTATGACTGTCTTATGCCTTTGCTTGTGTTTGGCATGCGTCAAACTAAATTCACACATGTTTAAATGCTTTTCTTGTCTTAATAATTTTCATCCTATTAGCTGAATATAATATATTGACATATCCTTAATTATGTCTTTATATAATCGAAAAAACGAAAAAACTAAAAACCAAAATAATTATAGCAATATTTTTTAGAGAGTGCAGAAGAAAAGGACGAAACTAAAGAAAGAAGTGACGACGCCTCCAAAGAAGGATCTGATGATGATAGTAAAGAAGTGAAGGACGATTCTAGACAAGAAGGTGAACAAGAGTCAGTGAGTGATGATGATAAGATAGCGGAAGATGCTGATACATCCCAGGAAAGCAAAGGTGACAATGATGAAGACAAGACAAAAGAAGACGATGGATCTCAAGAAAAGGCTGATGAATCTGAAGAAGAACAGGGTAGTAAACAAGATGACGACTCCCAAGAAACTCCAGATGATGAATCTAAAGAAAGTGATGCAGACGCAGAATCTGAAGAAAAACCCGTATCCGTAGAAAAAAAAGATGAGTCCAGTGAAGCGAAAGATCAATCGGAGGAACAGAAAGATGAATCGGGAGAAACCAAAGAAAAATCTGAGGAAGAGACAGCTGAAGAAACAGATGAAACAGCTGAAGACAAAGAGAGCTCAGTAGAACAAAAAGAGGATTCAGCAGAAGAGAAGGGTCAATCTGATGAAAAAGAAGAAGCTTCTATCGAAGGAGAGGAAGGAGGAGTAACTGCCTCCGAGGGTATGGAAAAAGAAGCTGAAGCTACAGAAGATAGTGAAGGTTCAGAAGAAGCTGGAACTGAAGAAGAAGAAGGAGCGCCTGAGGAAGATTTATTACTTGTAAGTAGCTCTTCTTCTTTTTTCTTCTTTTAACGAAAATTCATATTGAAATGTATTGTATACCTATATATTTGTATAAAAAAAGCAGAAAAATGATGACCAAAATTAGTAAAATTACCTTTTATTTATATTTTCTTATCATGTTTTTTCAGACTGGTGAAATTCCCAAAAACCTAAGATCTCGTGATCACATAACCAAGATTTTAAGATTAGACGAAGAAGCTAGTGAATCAGAATTAACTATAGAAAAATCAGCTGACATCATACTCAGAGACCTCAAGAGGCTATATGAAAACTCAATCAAACCACTTGAAGGTCTTTATAAGTACAGGGATTTAAGTAACAGACATTTTGGTGATCCAGAGATATTTTCAAAGCCTTTGATATTGTTTATGGGGCCATGGAGCGGTGGAAAGTCTAGCATTTTGAACTACCTTACAGGACTCGAATTCACAGAGTGGTCACTGAGAACCGGTAAGTTATCTGGTGTGATCAGTAAAACATCTAGTATAAAAGACACAGCAACATGAACTACGTTTTCTTTTCTCTTACAGGAGCTGAACCCTCGCCAGCTTATTTTAACATTCTTATGCATGGCAAAGATCCGGAAGTATTAGACGGCACTCAATTAGCAGCTGATTGGACATTTTCGGGACTGCAGAAATTCGGCCAAGGTCTAGAAGAGCGATTGCGGGGCTTGAGATACCCGAGCAAAATTCTAGAGAAAGTAAGGCTATTTTGTTTTTCAATAAGAAACGTTCCCAAATATGAAGATATTACTTATTACCTATTATAATATTACTTCTTATAATTATATTACATAATAGCACAATGCTTAGAACGTTTTAACTACTTCGAGAACTGGTTTGCAATAGCTAGAAATGATATGGTTCACTTCATCGTTCAGTCGTATATTCCACGATATGGGGCGTTTGACTGACCCCATAAATATTTGTATAATCATCAATCCTTGAGTACCTGTTATTATCTCAAAGTAATATATTTAAAACAAGCATGTTGTAGTCCTGTCCTGGATGTATTTTATAGTATATACATAAATAGTCCTTTCCTATTCATTGCGCTGAAAATTCGCCAATATTTAAAAAATAATACCCTGTTAAATGCATGCCAATGTCATAGAAAAAACGGACCCCTTATTTCAAACGACAATGAGGCTATCGATCTCATCATCTGTCGGTGCAATGAGTTTTCTTACTCCATTCTTTTTGATCACTTAACATTCTCTTCCAAGCACTCCTTCATTTAATTGAGAAATTATTATGGCATTTTCATTTATGGCCGGCCACCTGTCTGTCGAATGAGGTTATCGATATCCCATAGCTATTGCAAGCAAAAACATGATCATAATTGCATAACGATTAAAACGTGTAACTATTTATCTACTATATTTTACTATATTTTTTATAAGCAGGTACTTTGTATTGTAAACGTTTCCAGGTGAATATCGTCGAAATTCCTGGAATATTAGAAGTAAGGAAGCAGGTGTCACGTGTTTTCCCTTTCAACGACGCCTGCCAATGGTTCATCGACCGCGCTGACATCATCTTCTTAGTATATGATCCTTCTAAGCTGGACGTAGGTCCCGAGACTGAAGCTATACTCGACCAACTCAAAGGCAGGGAGTCTCAGGTAAAGTTAGTCGTTTTAGATGGCCATAAAATAACGAAAAACTAAGTAATTCTTGACACCAGATATACCGCCAATAGCTACTGACTCTTGCCATTGGCATGTTAGATAGACCGCGGATACGGTAACACACACGGCCTTAGTTTCAATACCTTTTTTTTTGTTTATAACCTTTGATATATTTGCTCAATTTAAGAAGTGTCAGTAATTTTCAACTGACGCCATACCCAGAGAGTCTATATTTACGGATAAGTTTACTTTATTGGCCTAGCAAATTTAAGTGAAGCGGGCTGTTACTCAATGACTAAATTTGAACAGACTAGTATCTTAATATTTCTTCCAACCAGACACGCATCGTGTTGAACAAGGCTGATATAGTAAAACCGGAAGAGCTGATGCGTGTACAAAGCGCATTAATCTGGAATATCTCTCCATTGATGAGCTCGGCACAGCCGCCAGTCATGTATACGGTGTCCTTGTGGTCAATGCCCTTCGAGGCAGGCGCTCCCGTACGTCTGCTGCAAGCCCAGGAGCGGGAGCTGCTGAGGGACTTGCGACAGGCCATAGACAAGCGTATTGAAAACAAGATTGCTAGCGCTAGGAGATTCGCTGTGAGTATAGTTTTTACGTCTTAATTCTATTTACATATCATCAAAATTCATCTCACAGTATTGGTAGTTCAATTTATACTAGTATAAAAATGATTCATAGCTTTTTGTTGTTCTTAATTGATTTTTTATTAACTTTTTTTATATTTCACTATTATGTTACTCCAAGCATTGACAATTTGTAATATAATGTAATTCGTCTTTTCGAACAGGTACGCGTAAGGAACCACGCGAAGATGGTCGACTGCTATCTTACTACTTATTACAACCACAAGACTATATTCGGCAACAGAAAGCTGATTGCCGATGCCATTATTGAAAATCCTCAAAACTACCACATCTATGAGGGTCTTAGTACATTAACTAATATTTCCAGGTAAGTGTTGGTGAAGGTTACATCGCCAAGGAATGAAAGATTAGTATGAAAGTCATAAAAAGGTTTGTGATGTAAAATTTTATTATTTTGACCTATGGAAGCCTCAAATAACATTAGTCACTTAGTACAACGCCGCTTTAATTCTTTTCCTTATTTTGTGAGAATCCTAGGTTTCATTATTGAGTGATAGTCGTTATCCAGTAAACACAATTATGTCAAACTGACGTCAGAATGACGTCATACCACATGTTTTACATAAAATATAAGTCATATATGAAACATATGTCTCATAATTTCCCACTTTCTGACGTAAGATTCTTACGTAAGATAGATGACGTGAATATGACCTCTAATCGATATCATTATGACTTACCTGACGTCAGAATGATATAACTCTGATGTCCAGCTGAGGGACTTGCGGTATCTTTAACTGACGTCAAGATGACATAAATTTGGGGTAGTATAGTGATAAAAGCTTACAAAACGGTGACGACTTATACGTTATGAAGGAGAACCATAAAGTTATCAGAGCGCCGTAATAAACCTACATGAATAAAATGGTAGCACGCCATGTATCGAGGTAAGAGGTAGTTGTCATAACCACTCTTATTCATTCGGTTTCAATATGAACGAATTATCGCCTATTCAACAGTAATTATAATTAAAGATTTATTTATCAAACACTCAAACACAATTTTTGTAATTCATTTAAGAAAAAAAAATGCTAGGAGACTATCAGGCTTAGGAACTTTTTGCTTAAATTTGCGAGACGTTGAACTCCAAAATGATTTTATTGCTCACCAGGACACTTTCAGTGACAATAAATTGCTCACGGGACCGGTATTGCATGCTGCAAGGTTTTTAGATTAGATATTTGTCTAAAAATGTTCGTTTAATTATCACGGAACTACAATATGTTCTTCTTTGATCAAAGTAAAAGTTCGAAAAAAGTAAGTAGCTAACGTCACACATATGATGGGGATAGGACATAATATTTACGTCACAATAATAAAGTCATATAAAAGGCACATTTTAGGTCAGTACTATATCATAATGATGTCATACTGTATGACAACATATCAAAGTCATCAATGAAATCATTTTCATGTCATATCTATGTAAAAGTTCTATGACCTATCTATGACGTCATATGGAGGTCATGTGTTCACTGGGTAGTGGCTGATGATTGTGGAATCCAGAAAATTGAGTTTTAACTAATAACAATTTTTTAAATTGATACAAATATTTATACTCAGGTACGACTTGCCAGACCCCGAAACGTACCGGGATTTCTTCAGGTTGAATCCCCTATTTGAGTTCTCGCAGCTGTCGGCGACGTGCACATACTTCAGGGGCTGCCCTATCACGCGGCTTGACGTGGCCATCGCGTACGATCTGCCAGAACTCGTGGGCAAGTACAAGAAGATGGTGGAGACTGCAACGCCCCAGGGCATGCCCAAGAGTTGATGGCTCCGCGAACGAACGAATCCTACACCACACTATGCATCCGCTTTTTAAATTAGCCAATTTGATTGGACATTATTTATTTTGGGCACATTTTGCATTTCTTTATCTAATCAGGCATCAAATCATTAGTTTTCGTTACATCGCATTTCTGTATTTATCTATAATTTATTTTGCTTATAATAATCGCTTGTTCCTGTTTTTCTGATATGAATGATGTCGTAACGTATGGAGTTTATTGTGATTTTTTCGTACGTTTCTTTGTGGTGATGATAGAAAATTATTATGCAAGACAACTTCCAATCCTACTTTTGTCTTTTTATACACATTGTCTGAAAAAAAACAATAAATTACTAGTCATTTTATTTATCAAGTTTTGTTAGTTCCTGTTATATCTTATTTATTAAGGTATATAAGTGTGGGTATATCTAAAAGCGCATAATCACGAGATATAATTAGATCAGAGTCTAATTAAATGCCGTAATTGTGGGGTTCTACCGTAATATTTTTTTTGTTAATTACGAGTATTAATGAGACATAATGTGACTATGTATTTAAGTAAAAACGAAATAAAAATTATTAGTATTTTATTTAAAAACACCAATAATCTTGTAAAATTCTTTGTATTTTATTTTCCAATTTTTATATGCATATATTGAAAGTCAAAAATATCTCTCTTTCTTGATAAAGGTGAGTCAATAGATATATATAAATAAAATGGTTAACAATCTACTTACAACGACATACGGTGAAATTGAGTAGGTAAATCAAATAAACCTACCCTAAATTTTTCGAAAGACCAAAAGATCCTTTGAAAAGATGATAAAAGGAGAAGCGTGATCTACGAGAATCCGCTACACAGCGACATTATCAACATTGATCCAAAAAAAATCTTATCATGAAAGAACTTATTCCTGACAGTTTTGAGTTTCTGTCTTTACAAAAACTAATGCCCATGGTAATATTTAAGTAAAATACAGAACACACTTTTTTACACTGTTGTTTTAGTCCTTTTGGAAAATATACTCAACGATCAAACACTTTTATTAAATTACCTAAAGATCACTCACAACTTGCGGTGGATACCGCAATTGTGAACATAAATAATTGGAAATACGTTTTTATTCCTGATCCTAAACTAGATTTCATAACAGGTTATCAGTTCCAGTCCTCAAAAATAACAGTATTCACTCATTTTTACTTACTAAAACATTGCTCACAACTCACAACGGATACTGAAACATCTGATCTGAATATACTGATACAGATTTGGAAATACGTTTTCTTTACGATGATATTTTTAGAGTTTCGTAGTGTAGGGCTATTAAATCTTATAGTTTCGCCATGTCCGTCTGTCCGTTCGTCCGCAGCCTAGCTTAGAGACCATAGAATATAAGCATAGAGTGAACAAGAGCCACAATCTTGCAATATAGAAATGTTTTCCCAAAAATCAATTAACAAAAATTTAATTAAAAATAGCAGCGGCCACATTTTGAGGCAACCTGGTAGAAATATAATCTCCTAATCATAAATTTCATGGGTAAAACAAACTGTACCATTACTTTAGTTTCATACTCAATATATTTATTTACTTATTTTAAAATTATTTTCAAAAAATTGAGCGGTTTAAAATACAATTTTTCGATTCAGTGTATGTTTGCAAATTTGAACTTTAAAGTTCTGCTGCGCTAATTTTTGTTAGAAGAGAGCGTCCCGATTAGTCTTAAAGCTAAACTGTTTGCTGATTTGAAAATCGGAAAAAATCATAATGGTGGTATACGTACTGAAAAAGAAAACTACAGCAGCTAAGTTAGCTCTGGTATAATTTAAGTAGTAATAGTCGCTCGAAATGCAACTTATAATTTAATTTATTTGCTCCTCGAACGACACCTACTCATCCCAATGTTGTCAATGTTGCCTAAGGCGCTCTCTGCCAGTTAACCATTAGGCAGAGAAGAAAGTAAGTGCATTTTGGTTAGTGTCCGACCAAAACAGGCTTTTTAGCAGAAACCGAAACCGAACTATCATTTTAAAATGTCTATTGTATACTAAAATCTAGTGTATTGTTTAGCCATTTATCTACTTATACCTACACACCACCTAAAACCACTGTAATTAGGTAGACACACAGTATTAATTCTAAGAGTAAATGTATTTAGGTAGGTAGATAAGAGGTACTAAAAGTTCATCTGCCTAAATTAACTAGTAATTTGAACAAACTATACGTGTTTTCACATAGTTAAGTAACTGAAGATCAAGAGTAGTATAAGTTTTGTGAGTTGTTAAAAATGGTAAAATAAGGGTACAGATTGTAATTCAACAACAATTAAGTATCTACAAACAAATAATCTTATCCTATTATCTAAAATCCTTCTAAAGGGTCCTATTATAAAATTGTCATTTGTATAGAGCTTCGTTTTGTTGAGTTTTACTACACAAAACAATGTTAGTTACAAGTAAAAACAAAAAATAATTTATGCGTAAAACACAACTAACAAGATGAATTAGTCGTGGGAGAGCCATGCTTCGGCACTTATGGGCCAGGCTCGACTGGGGTAATACCACGGCCTCACAGAAAATCTGTGTTAAGCAGTTCTTTCGTTGTTTTTCACCGAGTGAGAGAGGTTACCGGAGCCAAAACTTACCCCTTTCCCCGGATTCTGGAAGAGTTAATGAAAAGGCGGCAATGAACTGGTGACTTTTAATTTGCAAGTTTCCATGGCCACTCTTGCCATCACGGGTAGTCACTTACCGTCATTCATCCTGTCTGCTCGGTTGCCCCCAAACACCATAAAAAAGACCGCACTGGACGGCGGCGAACTGAGCCAGAGCCGATATGAGTTAACCAAACGACGTACGACACTTTACGAACACCGAGTTTCGGTGCGGCCGAAAGTTTCGGCCAATTTTGGCAGAAGGAAAACTGAAAGTAGATTTTTTGGTCGAAACTGGCCGAAACCTAAACTGATACTTCGGTCGGTCACAAATTTTAGTTAGAGTTAATTTCAACATTTATAAATACATTAACTTGAAACAAATACTTAAAATAAACACATTTTACACACATACACAAATACAAACCGTCACATGCTACACCTATAACATTTAACATAAAGAAAAAAAAATGATAGCGCAATATTTTAGGTTGTTTGCTCTACATTAAATTGTTCATTGTACCATTCCGTACTGTTGTTTTTTAATAGGAAAATAATTACAAATTACATCTGCAGTGTTGCCAACCAAGTGGATTTTCCACTAAAACTGGTGGTTTCGGGCCCCCTTTAGTAGCGAAATTTTGCTTTTGGTGGCTAGTGGATTTTTTTGTGGTTTAGTAGTAATAGTAAGATTATAGAGGACTTAGAAAATGCTGGTGAAAGATGAACTGTGAGAACTGTTTGTGTACGCAAACCTCAGGAACGTTTGATAGAAAAGAAATAATGGGAATCGGATATAAGTGTTCAGGAAGAGAAGGATTATTAATTTAAGGCAATGAGATGATGTAGGCTTTGTGCCAGAGAGAGGTTACGGAGTCGAGAAAGAAGTCAATAATGAGGGCTACAACTTTGAGGACACAATCTAGGAGGGTAATTATCTTCCTGTGGCTTGGAAACCATCGCGTTACAACAGACAGACAGATATTTTTGATGTCCCCAGAAGGCACAGAAGAAAATTCAAAGTGGCAATATTGGGTCTGGGCAGACTAGCGATATAATTCAGGGTCCGACTCTATGATCCGGTTGGGTAGCAGAAGAGAAATGTAGATTGATATCATTCAAACCAATGAAACTCAGTCCGTTCTTGTCTACCAATGCTCAACGTGTTAAGGAACTTCCACATACTAGAGGTGCTTCCATTGCTCTTCAAAGATACCCAAGGGGCCAAGAGACTTCGACATTTGAGGAATTAGCGTGGTATTGCTCTCTTAATACTGTCTCATTTTAATGCCGATGTTGAGTTGAGAGACTATAGGCATAAACAGAAGAATAATAATAATATTTTCGGACATCTTACATACAACGAAAGCTAGATTGACTGATAGAATACTTATATACTTTTTTTGTAAATGCATACATACATACTATACATAGAAAACACTCAAACTCCGAAAAAAATATTTGTACATCATACAAACATTTGGTCTGATCCGGAAATTGAACATAATGAAGTAAAATATTTTATTTGCTATGTTAACATAGCAAATACTTAAGTACTTAACTACTTCCAACTTCAAACAACAGCGTATTCTTAAGAATACGCTGTTGTTTGAAGTTGGAAGGAGAATGCTGCAACAACTGTGAAATTCCAGTGAACGTTGTAAAACAAATCGGTAACAAGAAATCGTATCAATCTGGAACTGACGATCAACAACGACCAACCTGACACATGATAAATATCAGTATTACATTTTAATGAAGGAAACAAGTTATTAATATACTTATGTTTTCTTTCGTAATTACTAAAAATACTAAATAGATGTCGATTCTGGTTAAGACTTCATTTAACTGTTGGCAAAACTATACAGATAGCTGGCAACATACAGTACAGAAATGTCAATTGAAGTTGATTGATTGAAATAGGTTAGATTTGGAATTCATTACATTTCTTTGATAACTTACCTTTAATGGTCATTACTACCTTGTTGTGAATAGAGGGATTCTGTTATTTACTAGTTTATTTAAAGATTTAAGTTATGCACACTGATTTGTCACCCCATTTACATACCAACGAATGCAATGTTTTTATCAAAAAATTGATGGACTGTCACAGCGAGGTATAAAAACATACAAACTTGCATAACATTGTGTACAATTAATTTTCAAACTAATCTTACGATAACTAGGTCTTACGTAGCTTAGCTTGAAAAGAAAATATATATTTCTATACCTTTTATGTACCTACACAACCTAACTAGTCTTTTGTATTGCTTTTTCTGTACCATTACCTATATCCAACACTATTTTTCTGGTTCATCGTTATATGGTTACACGAATTATAAAAAGCTCTTTATACATACAATTAAATCTATTTATTCTCAAAGAAATCATTCAAACAGTAGTCTTTATTTAGGGTTGTGGCTATCAATGGTTAAAGTTAATATAAGAGATACAGTAGTGGATGTGCCTGTAACAGAGAAACATTCCTAAAGATAGGCGGACAAGATAGTTTTATTGCATAATTATATTACTTAATATAATGTAATTTAATGAGGATATATGATTTTTTGCAGCACCCATTTAGAAAGTTCATGGGATACTGCAATCACTATGACTGGGATATGCGTAAGTGTTTGAAAGCTGAACGTATTGCACGTCAAAAGGCCAACTTCCAAGATTCTCGTAAACGGAACGCTGAAATACGGGCTCGCATAGCAGCAGCAACCACGGGGAGGGCTCAACAATAAAAGCATTTAATATTCAATATTATATAACAATAGATAGCTTTGTAAGAATGGAGGAAGAAAAATATGACATTCTAGATTCTATACCTGACTTGGACAACTTAAAATCTTTTACTGATAGGTACTTCAGTAAGAGGTACATTATAGATTTTAATCAAATAAAGAACAATGATATTATGATCATGTTCCATTCTAACAGGATAGCACTTCTGAGTTTAGCTCCGAGTCATTTTTTTTTTAAGAAGCAGGAAGAGTACAAAATTAACTTCTCTGCTGGAAAAATTGATAGATTGAATAATGCAGTAAAAGGTAAAAGCAAGAAAGGTGGTCAGTACTTAGTACCTAATTCAGTGATTTGTAAAGTAGAGTATGCAGACGGTACAAGCTTTGACATACCTTGTGGTATGAAAGGTACTCTAATTGAAGTCAATGAAGAATTAATAGAACATCCAGAACTATTGAAAGACATGCCCGATGCTGATGGTTTTATTGCTGTTATTTTATCAAGTATTGCTATCTCTGAAGCAACTAAGAATGAACTGTTAACACATGAAGAATATTTAGAAGCTTTAAAAAGTTGTGAATCCAGTCATGTTGAATAGAAATAAATAAATTCATTCTATATAATAAAATTTCTTTTTTTATGAATGTTATGTATGTATATAATGCGATTCATGATAAAATTTCAAGTTTATAACCCTAGCAGTTTAGGCTCTGCATCAATGATTTTATATGTATAGATGAGTGTTGGATCATTCTTTATTGTGTGTGCAAAACATCCAATTCTAAAGCTACATCACACTCTTTTTTATTACTTTTGAATACCCTTACGGATCGACACTCAACCAGGCCTAGACTGTAGCGAATATTGGAGTCGGTGACTGAAGCCAAAATTTTCCGTCGGAAAATATTCTAAGTTTTGGAGGTCTTAATCAAAGTGTTAGGACGTTAAAGTGTTTACATACTTTTACACAATTACAATTACACAAATTTAATTTAATTCTTAAGAAGTTATGTACAAAAGATGGTTACAATCCACTTACCCGTTTCAGAGATACAGCAAACCCACAAACGTTACTCGAGCAGGATCGCCAATAACTTCGCAGCCGAAGAAAATATAAATACCAAATAAGTTGTAACATTTACCTCGTCCAGTAACTAATTATTTAGCCAATATTTATTTCAATATTCCAATTAGAAGGGAAATGTCTGCCTGCGGTATTTTTTTTAATAACTTAAAAACTATAAGTAAATCAAATTTAAAAATGTGCGTATCAATTACAGAAGGGAAGTGAAACTAATTATCTATAACATTTAAATGACCATTTTCGACATTATTTTTCTGGGGTAACGCACACACACCCGCGGGATAAATAGGAGTGGTGACACTCCGTATTAAGTATAATTATAATAAAATATAATAATTCTAGGTGATGAACTAAGAGCTTGTTGATTCTGCCAATTCACTCATCAAAAGCTCCTTTACTTTCATCTTAAAATCGTAATCATTTTTAGCCTTCCTGACTTCGACAGGAAGCGTACCTATACCACACGAGGACAGACTGAACAAAGAACGAAGAGCCGACAAACCCACTGGGTGAGCAGGACAAAGTAGAAGGAGATTGTTAGACGGACGAAGGTTTCTGTTATGGTTATTGCATAAGAATTGAAATTGTGGTGTTAAATAAGTAGGAGGGGATGGTACCCTTGAGGATACTACAGAATTGTGAATGCGCTCATTTTTCTACGTTGACGAATTGCTAAACATATTAGCTGGGAACTAAAACTGGAGACATGGTCATACCAATAAAGATTAAAGATAAAATCGAATGCAGTTACTGAAAAGACGATCTAACTTTTTGAGAAGATCTGCATTCATCATCAATCATACTAGAACAATACATACATCCACTGAGAAGTATAAATATTATAATTATATAAAAAACTGAGAACCGCGTACCCATTCATTGATTTAACCGTTCACGCAAAACCCATACCTATCCAAAAAAATAGTCCAGAATAGTGAAGCATGTGTTGACTTCTGGTGACCAATAGTCCAATTAGTTACCTACTTAGTCGTTTTTACATAGAAACCAAATAAAAGATCAAATTGTTTTTCATATGGCTTTCTTACAAATATTCTGTAGAGTAGGTACGTAGTAAAATAAAATCCTTCTGAGAATAATAGCAATATTACAGCCCGTAAAAGTCGTAGGTAATCGCCGTTAAATTATTCTTCGTATGACTAAAAGAAGTTTCAGTATTTTATTTCCCACTGTTTTGTGATGCTATACATAATTACAACAGTAAGTGAAAAATTTAAGGTCAGCTAGTCCTCCCTTAGTCAGACATTGGTAATGATATTTACTTCTTATGCTATGCTATTAGTTATCAGACCTGTTATAGGTCGACCGCTGACCTTTGGCAAGCAACCGATAAGGAAGATATTGTTTAGTCAGATGTTGTAATCATTTATTTGAAAGAGTTTAGACTGTGAAAATGTCTTGTGTGATACTCACCAGAGCTTTTTGCCTTCCAAGATTTATAAATAAACAAATAGTGCCCGTGTCATCTTTACGTTTATACAGTGATCAAAGTAAGTCAAGGAGGACACCGTTGTATAATTTACACACCAAATATGGAGGTAAATTGGTTGATTTTGCTGGATTCTTCCTTCCAGTTCAATATTCGGATATGAGTCTGTCTGCTTCACATTTGTTTACTAGAGAAAGCGCATCTATATTCGATGTGTCTCATATGTTACAAACTAACATACGTGGCAAAGATTGCGTATCATGGTTCGAATCAATATGTCCAGTTGACTTAAAAGGCTTGCCGGAAGGTTCTGGGTCGCTCACTGTTTTCTTGACGGATAAAGGCGGTATAATAGATGATTTGATAGTAACGAAAGTAAACGAAGAGACTTTGTACGTTGTTTCCAACGCCGGAAGGATGGAAGTTGATAAACAACATATGAAAGAAACGTCAGAGGTATTCAGAACACGGGGGAAAGATGTGCACGTGGAATTCTTAGACGCCAATGAAAGAGCGCTCGTTGCCTTCCAAGGACCTAAAGCAGTATCGGTTCTACAGAATATTACGGACATATCGTTACACGATCTTATGTTTATGACTTCCAAAGTTGGTGTAGTAGCAGGTGTGGAGTGCAGAGTTACACGTTGTGGTTATACTGGCGAAGATGGCGTCGAAATATCAATTCCAGCAGCCAATGCCGAAGTTGTAGTGGAAGCTTTGCTACAGACTGATCAAGTTAAGCTTGCTGGCCTAGGTGCTCGAGATTCTCTACGTTTAGAAGCCGGTCTTTGTCTTTACGGGAATGATATCGACGAAACTGTTACCCCTGTGGAAGCAGCTTTGACTTGGCTAATAGCCAAGCGCAGAAGGGCCGAGGGTGGCTTTCCAGGGTCTGATGTTATTCTACGACAAATAAAAGAAGGCGTTTCAAGAAGGCGGGTAGGAATTCGCATGGAAAGTGGTCCTCCGGCAAGAAAAGGTGCTGCTTTGAAAGACTCGAAAGGCGAAACGGTAGGAGAAATAACTAGTGGCTGCCCAGCTCCCTCACTTGGTGGTAATGTTGCCATGGGGTATATAGCAGAATCTCTTAAGAAATCTGGTACTGAGTTGCTAGTAAATATAAGAGGAAAAGATGTTCCCTGCAGTGTGGCTAAAATGCCTTTCGTATTATCTAAGTACTACATTAAAAAATAAAAGTTTTTGATAAAGTAAAATTATGTTTTATTTACATTTATAACAGACATAACGATTTCTAACATAATTATTTCTGCTCGTGACCCTTGTTTAGGTTTAACGAAAATAATATATTTAATTACAATTTTTGCAATTCACTAATGTTCTCTTAAAAATCATTGTTATATACAAGAATCAAGTCTAATATTGTGCATTAAACTATACTCACGTTATTAATATTCGTACTCCACAATGAGTAAGAGTAGCTTGAGCCACACTCACATGTTTCTGCCTGCAACTAGGTACATCATAGTAGATATACTAAATTGTTGACAGGTTATGCAAAATGCAAATACTAACATAGCCATAAGTATCTCTACCTAATAAAAAGGGCTTGTCTTTGGATTGGTGACCTTTAAAGGTCAAAATTTGCGTATTGATGGTCATATCCAATACTAATTGTTTCCTCGAAGATAATTTTAAATACTGTTTTTTTACTACTTAAAAGCTGAGTTTAAACAACCATGCAAATTATGTTTTCATAACATGTTTGGTAATAGCTTAAATTTGACAGGAATTAAATTTAGATAACGACAAAACCTAAAATTTAGTTATAGATAGTATATATAAGTATAAAATAATTTTTATTTTATGCTTATCTATATTTAAATATTAGTTTTGTTGTTTTAAAAACAAATTGACAATGATTACCACTATTACATATAGTAGGGGAGCCCATGATGCTAAATTGGGATTTCCTCGAGCGTCATGGGGACCTATTGCACTTGAAAGATTAGGTAATAGAATGAATAAAAGATTTTTTATAAAATGTGACAAATAAAGGCACGAAAAATTATGTACACATTTAAAGATTTCTTCAATTGTTTGCTTCAAAATTAAAAAAGAAATGTCAATGTGTTTTTTTTTTAACTTTGTGACCCTCTCACTGCTTTACGATACGCTCAAATCAACTGTTTTTCTTAGATGCACACTAATGTGAATGTAATTGACTCAACTTACCTTAATCTTACACGCTCGAGTATTTTAGGCCTTCGATTTTTTTTAAACTAATCTGATGGGCTAACCTAAACGATCCACCCTATATGTAGGGCTTATGTATGGTGGAGGTACTCAACTAGGGGTAAGGTATTCCTTCTTAACTTAAGCTGACACGCTCGAGTAAATCCCGAAAACCCTTCTAGGGCTCCCCTACTAACAGTTATAAATTTAACCATTTACAATAAAACAAAATATTTAAAAGCGTAGAGGTCAAAACAGAGGAGGTCAAGGAGCAAACTAATGCATATTTTAATGAGAAAATTGCTCAATCATTATTATACACAAGTAACTCGTTCACATGGTAATGGTAATACTAATGGTACAACATTATAAATAATCCATTAGCCATTGACTGTCTTCCAGAGCGAAAGTTCATTATTATGTCAAAAATCCGTATGTGAACGGTAGGTGGCACAAAATACGTGGTCCAGTGACCCAGGAACATAGATAGAGTGTTGTTTTCCTATTTCTATGACACTCTAGTATTTTAAGTAAAGTAATAAAATGCAACATAAACTAAAATCATTTTTAACAGTAACATACATTCGTGAATTGCAAGAATAATATAACTTAAAACAATAATTAATATTCATTATCTTACAAGTCTTTTTATTGAATAATAAAAGGCCATTATATCTACAAATACTTACCTGTGTTCATCCATAAATATGGAACTAAAATTGGATATGTCACAAGGAATGTGATATATATTTGCACTCTACTGTGTAATACTGTTTGTTATTTCACTATACTACAGTGTACTTAATTATCACAGGAACAATTCACTATTTTTAATGGAATGATCTGGTCATTTTAAAATATTAGGCCGTTTATATATTGGTAATAAAAATTATAAAACATTAAATCTTCTATGAACCTTATGCGTCTTAAATTTATACACACTTGGTTATATTTAGGTGGCAACCTTAAAAATTGGTTTAAAGTAGTCTTTTAAATATTCAAATTAAACTTGGTTGGACAGTTAAGTTCCGGAAATAGATTTAGATTAGATTAAACTAGGCAACTGGCAACACTGCTTGATTCGTAAACATAAGTTTGGAAAGAAGGCACCCCTCCCCCCCTCTATTTCAGTTGGCTTTTGAAATCGATATCAAGTTGGTACATGTTATGAGTGTTTTTCAGATGTAATCTTTTTACTGGCATCGTCAACATTATTAAGCATCTGATCTGTGAGGATTTATCTTGAACAATGGTTATGAGCATGTTGAAGGCCAGGGATATTTCAGTATAACCCCAAGTTCCGAAAACATTTGAAAAGGGATTCTAATATAGCAGAATTTACTCTATAGCCCCGATATCATATTCCAAAAAAAAAAAGCCGCCGCAAAGGGATTTCATCATAGCGGCGTTAAGGTTGTCAGGAAAACCGTAACTGCGATGTTGGACGGTTTAATTTGGGAACATTTTCAAATCAATTTTAGAAACGTTAGTAGAGTTAAAGGTGGATACTATATAACCTTGGTCAATATCAGCAGGAAATTTTGCTCGCAACCTACCTTGCTTGTGTTTATTGTACAATTTCCGGCACCATATTACCAAAATAGTATGTTAGAGAGAAAACACTGGCCGCGCTAACAGTATGGTCTTCTCCAGCTGACTATTACAGCCAGTACTTATTTACTATAACAACGTGAGCTGGAGAAACTTGTTTATGTTTACAATCCGACAGGCTAAATTGCCACATTATTTTATTATATTGTCTCAAACATACAGAAGTAATAAGATCTATTACCGATTTTTAACTGTACCCTTGTATCGTTACAATTATAACAACATTTCATACATATTAAATATGCAAAATACTAACAATACAAATTCGTTACACTACTTGGGGCTTGAGCGATTGTTATAGATTTTACACAGTCTTAATGTTTCTATCAGTTCTCATTAAGAGGAGGCCTTGCTTTTATAATACTTAAATCGCACCTTATAAAACATTAAATAATACAATCTTTACCAACAATAACTATAACAACCAGCAATAAACATTCCTGAATACGTTAAAAACCATAACAATCAATGTATTCAATATCAGTATTCAATTTGGCGATATTCAATTTTTTTTAATAAGAAATAATAGAATAGAAATATTAATCTTTTGTTTTATTCTTTTCACATTAACTACTGGTTCTTTACGTTTTGTTGATTTGACATTTTACTAATATTTCAACCACATTTTCTAATCTATTTCTATTTTTCAAGGCAACTCCCGCAATTGGAATATATCCTGTGTCGCGGGGGATTTTACAAACATACATTAAACGTACACAAAGAAAGACCCAGACTCAGAACAACAATTTGTGGATCACACAAACTGTCGTCCCATGTGGGGATCGAACCTGCAACACTCAGCGTAGTAGGAAGCGATGTGGGGACCGCTTAAACCACTACGCCATCCGTGTACTCAATCTAATCACAAATACATTATCTCATCTTAGATATAGATTGTATAAATTTATAGAATGTGATGAAGAAATGATTATGGGTTATTAATATTATTGATGACCCCAAAAAGGTTCATGTCGTTAGAGGTTTGCAGACAGTCTTTAATTTGTTTAATGTTAAGCCCATCACTATTTACAGGTGGGAACATGGTGCAAAGACCACAGGAATGATGAGGCTAAGTCCTACTTGGAAATCACGGTGCACTATCGCTTATGCCAGCTCTTCTATGTCCCGTGCTTTTATAATATTAAGTACAAACAATTTGTAAAAACTTGTAAAGTTGAAATACATGGGGCAGTTGGAGCACAAGTTGTCATCACTTAAAGTCTGGTACATCTTTAAACGTGGACTGCGCCAATCGTGAGAAGTCTTCGCTCAATTTATTGATGCGTTCCGAGTACTGTAACAGAAAATAAATAAATTGAGTATCCAGAAAAATGTAATGTGCGGGAGTCAAGTCCTCCGCAGTTCGCACGCCGATCAGCATTTTGCGATACAAGATTAGCACTCTGTAGTTCGGTGAACGTTCGATAGATGAACTTATAGTATGTTTCTTCGTTTCACCGTATGTGAATGTCACCACAGTAATATTAGAATTGTATATAATATTGGTAAATTGTGTGTAGTAACTAAAAAAAGGAGTCGGTTACAAACAAATATACAAACATACAAGTGAAGCTAATATAAAGCGTGTAAAAATACTGTCCTTATTAATTTACGATTTTTAAACTTTAACTATGTATTGCCCGCTACTTCGCTTGCGTGATTATTTCGTGTTTCTAACTTTGAAAAATGACGAACTGCCATACAGCCATTCACCGATACGTATTACATATAGTCCGGGAGATACCGTTGCATTTTATGTAGTGTTTTTACGCCGGTCAGTTGCCATCTTGTTCAATAGATGTCGAATGACTGATAAGTGAACCGAGCGTCAGCTGACGCACCCGCGGTGGGTGTAGGATTGAAAGGTTCCGGAAGTAGTGAAAAAAAATAAAAAAATAATTAATTACTGTTGTACCTGTACTTAATTACTGTGAAGTGAGAAATTTGCCGAAAACTTCCACCAAAATAACCTAACAAGATAAAGTGACTGGTGTGAAGTCGTGTCAATTGCAAGTGACACTTGACAGTTCTACCAACCTTAAATATCGAGGAGTGAGACAGAATCTATGTCGAAATATGTGTGTTTAAAAGGAGACAGCGTAGTAGCAATGCTCCAATATTTTTAACTTTTACTGCGTCAGCTGACGGTCTTTCCACCGCTACCCACGCAGCTGATTGTTGTTTTCGTACTTTTGATAATTTAAACAATCACTTAGTTAAATTTCATCCGGCGTACTATAACTTTATTTTACGTGTTTTTTTACAAGTTCAAGCGAGCGGCTGACGCATAATCCCCCCTCCACCAGGCAGCTGACGATTTTTTTTTAGCTCATCATCATCATCATCATCAACAGCCCTTAATAGTCCACTGCTGGACATAGGCCTCTCCTTAAAAAGGAGGTTTTGGCCTACTATACCACGCTGGCCAGACGGGTTGGTATAGGGTTTGTGTCAAGTTTTCCTTCTTTTTGCAGTGCTGGTGTGCTGCGTTGTTTTGCGCCCTTAGTCGGCTCTTACGACACCCACGGGATGAATTGGGGTAGTGACATTCCGTATTCTTAATCCGTCACTACACTACACTACAGCTCTGTATGATGTAAAATATTTATGAAAAGAATTTCAGCCGGCATACTATGACTTATTTTTGACGTGACAACGTCTTGTAATTCGATGGAGCCGGCTGCACGCACAAAAAAACATGACTCATGCGGCGTTACCTCGCTCTGAGGCGTTCCATTTAAGGCGTGAAGTGCAAACGAGAGCGCGGAACGAGTGACAAAGAGGCACAATCGGCCTCCGCGTTCGGCAGCGTTCGACATCTGTCTCTCTCCTACTTGAGTGAGCGATGCGTCCGCGTGGAGAGCTGCTACTCGTATACAATAATACATTTTTGAAAAATGCAACCATTCCATCAGTATTTTCTTATGACGTTGTCACGTTCAACTATCGTCAGTAAACCGACTTTACAGACAACCGATTTTTTTTTTTTTTTTCACCACTTCCGGAACCACACACACCCAAACCCACCGCTACTTGAGTAGCTGACGGTTGGTTCACTTATTGGTCATATTAGATCAACTATCGATGACAATATCAGCCGGCTTACTATGACTTTTTCATTTGCAACGGTACCTCCCGGACTAATATATTCACTTTAAGGGGTAAAATAAGGTCGGGCACGCCGTCATCGCGGCGGTAAGACCCGTTATGGAGGATTGGCTCGAGAGGCGTCACGGGACCCTCTCATACCGACTGACGCAGGTGATCACTGGGAAAGGATGTTTCGGGGATCACCTGTGTCTGATCCGCAACGCCTGAGTGCCACCACTGCGATGGCCAGACCGTGGACACGGCTCTCCACACGCTGGCAGAGTGCCCGGCGTGGGTTGAGCAGAGGCGAGACCTCGTGGCGGCCATCGGAGTGGGAGTTCTCTCGCTCGATAGCCTGATTGCGGCTATCGTGCAGAGCGAGAGTGCGTGGAACTCTGCCGTCTCCTTCTGCGAGCAAGTTATGCTCGCGAAGGAGACGACGGAGCGGGACCGGGAGAGGTTTAGGACTCTCCCGGCCCGCCAGGCCCGGGAACGGGCCAGGTACCGCAGGCGACTCAGGCGCCGGAGGTCACAGAACGACCTCCGTCCTCCATAAGCGCAGGCCTGGGGGTGACAGGTGAGGCCATCTGTCACCCTAGCGAAGCAGGCCGGGAGCAGGGAGCCGGTTCCAGGGAGCACAGGGAACATGGGGTTCCCACACGGGGGGGGGGGGGGGGGGTCGTCTACTCGTCTGTAGATGACCCGAGGTATGTCGGGGCACAAGGGACTTCCTTTCTAGGGTATATCTGGTTCCCCGGCTATTAGTACCCGAGACGGCGTGCGGTTTTAGTTGGTTCGAGTCCGACATGCCACCGACAGGTGGTATCCGAGGGGATTTCCGCACGGAAAAAGAAAAAAGGGGTAAAATAAGGTATGGACTTTATTTTTCGCCCTTAAAGGATTAAATTTTCAAAAGTTCTTTCTTAGTGGTGCTTGCAACATAAATAGCCAAAATTTCAAGTTTGAAGCCTAAGCGGTTAAGGGTCTGCATTGATAATTCAGTCAATCAGGGCAAGTAATTTTATATGTCGCTCATCCAATGGAACAACGATGTAATTACACAAATAACTAAAACGTAATTATGTCATTGTTCTTCTGGATGACCGATGTTTTAATATACAAATGATTAGCGTATTCTTAAATATAAATTTTCTGTTTCTTACATCGGTTTCTTGTGAGTGGTGCACTTGGGATTGCTTCCCTTTCTTCTCTTCTTGTATTCTGCAGTTGACATGGTAGTTGATCTGATTCTGTAGTTTCACAAATATTTTTCTATATTCGTCTTGTATTCGATTCATTTCGTTGTTCACGTGATCATCTTTTTTCGTAACGTAATCCTGAAAAAATGCAAAATGTAGGAACGGTCGAATAGTAAATTTCAATAGTTTTTTTTTGCAGATTATTATTGTGTTTTTAAAATTAATTTAAATTATATGTCTATTGTGTGTCTAACTTGATGTAATCATCTAATAATGAAACCCAGCTCTTAACAATATTATAAAACCAGATGTTTAAGCCACAACACCGCCATAGAATAACGATTTTATATTCTCAATAACTTGATACTAATTTTATTATGCCAAAGGGTTTTTAAAGATAACACAAAACATTGTATACCTTGTAGGTGTAAATAGTTTTCTTAGCATTTTTGTATTTTTCTAGAAGAACCTTCTGTTCTGATTGTATTTTCTCATACTTCTGTTCTAATTGCACCAATTTTGACTGCAAATCAGCCGCTTTCGCCTTCATCGCCATATATTCTTTAGCAGTAGAGCTATTTCTTTGTTTCCAGTCTTCTCTTTCATTTTTTAATAAATCCTCTAAGGATCCAAGCCTTGATGCTCTTTCCTTATACCTTTCAGCTTTAAGTTTCCAATCTAGGACACTGTCCTTAGCTTTTTGGCATTCAACTTGTAATTCGTTATGTTCTTTTATTAGTTCTGAAATTTCGTTCTCCTTAGATTCTAATATTTGTGTGACTTTAGCTCTCTCTGCAAGAATAAATTCTTTCAAAGTGTCTACTTCTTTAGCTTTTCTATCCAAAAGTTCTTTTAGTTTCGTTACAGTATCTAATTGTTCTTTTTCTATTTCTTTAATCCGTCGAGAACAATTCATTTCGACAGTTTTCATTTCTAAAGTAAACTTTTCTGCTATTTGATCTCTAATCGCTTTTTCTTTCATCATAAGAGCAGTCTGAAATAAAGAAAGGAATGTATTCAATTCTAAGATGAAGTATTTTACACAAAGTATTTAAACTTAGAGTAAAAGAAAAAAAGATAGTTTAAAAAGAAACTTCTGTAATATTTTGTAAATACCTTAGCGGCCATTGCATCATCATTATTTTCCACTAAGTTCTCGAAACTTGGGTGTTCCGTTACTGGTGTAGCCGGAGTTGGTGATGACTCCTCAGTGTTAGTAGCTACACTGCGTTGTTCGCGCAACTTATTGAAACGATCTATTATGTATTGCTGGAAGAATTCGGCTTTGCCTTTTAATTCCTTCATTAGAGCTTCATTGCTTTCCTGATTACCTGTAAACAGTTTTTTATAAATAAAATGTACTTGAAACTTTTGACTAAGATGTCTTAATACATAGTTTTGCTGCGGTTAAATATGACAAGAAAAGGACGCTATCCATATTGACGCTACGTGACCTAATAAAATAAGTTAGAACTTAAAGTGCAAATAACAATTAGTTAGATCATGTGGTTAAAATAAATTATAGCGATCGTGTCAGTATTTTATAGTGGTTGCCAAAATGTAAATTCACAACTCTTTAATTCTTGGGAACGAGGTACACGCAGAAATCTCTGCTTTCTTTTGGGAACTCAGGAGCCAGGAGTATGTGGTAACTCCACTGAAAACCAGCAGCTCTCCTCACTCGCAAGCATAGCAGTAATGATTGCTAGTGGGGATAGGTCTCGTCCGATTTGGTCGTCGACCTCGCGTTGAGACGCCCATGCGGGGCAGTCTCTCAGCGTATGCTGGGCGGCATTTCGGTTTAACTTAATGTTGACATTTACTTCATACATTATAATCCTTGCTGTTATATTAACACAATATAGTAGAGCTTATTAAGTAGATCATAATCTCCTTGATTCATTGTAGCGGTATTAGTTTACCATTAAGTTTTAGAAATCAAAGTATCAAAATCCAATGCATTGACATATCGAACAAAGTTCAGTTTCGGGGTCAAGTCGGGCGCAAGTCTGGCTGCATATGGAATACTGTTCTCATCTCTATCCAGGGGCACCTCAGTACCAGCTTCTCCCTCTGGACCGCATCCAACGAATAGCGACTCGAATCGTCGATAGCCCAAACATCTCCGATCGGCTCGATCCCTTGGCGTTACGTAGAGTTGTCACTTCAATCTGCATTCTTTATGGCATCATCTATGGCATCTCATGGAGAGTGCTCCGAGGAATTTTTCGGACTAATACCGGCTGCAACTTGCCGCCATCATTGGCGCTTCATTATTCTGCACTTCGAAACACTTTTTGCCTTGCACAACCAATCTATGGAACGGGTTATCGTCTGCGGTAATTCCGGTACGATACGACCTTTAAACCTTCAAGAAAAGAGCGTCATCATTCATCCCAAAAGGCCGGCAACGCGTTTGTGACTCCTGAGTTGCAGACGTTCATGGGCGGCGATGGTCACTTCCCATCAGGTGACCCGTCTACTCGTCTGCCCCCTCTAACATAAAAAAAAGTGCCGAGTGTGAATTTGTGAGTAGTTCACAAACCATTAAAAAGGTAAAACAAAATGTAATATAAATAAATGTCTGTGAAGAATAGCACTCACCTAACTTAATGGTACATTTGCTGAGTTGGTCGTCTAGGTATCGTATTTGTTTTATACTTTTTTCACACTGTGCGCACGGCTCTCTTTCTTTACGCATTGCAGACTTTTCATCTGATAAAAATAAGATTATAAGCCATGCATTGTATTTTGCAAAAAAAAACTTTCTAGCATGTTTTCCTTCCCATATTTTTTCCAAGTGTAGAGTAAGTGCACACGCACGCACCTTTACAAAATAGCTGGCCAGATTCGGAGGCACAGTAATTACGCATCCACGAATAATGTAATGCAAGCTAATATCATCATCAACAGCCTATAATAGTCCACTGCTGGACATAGGCCTCTCCTTAGAAAGCTAAATAAAATAATAAGCTAATATACAGTAAATAAAATAAAAAAAATATTAAGGATATAAATGGATTGAAATTTTAAATTTAGTTGCACTTATTAAGTGCCTGCCAGTAAGTAAAATAAAAAATGTTTTTTATTTTACTTACTATTTTGTGTCATCAGAGAAACAGTGCATCTGTAGGTAATTGCTTTCAACGAAATTATAAGACCTAATACCTTCTAAATACTTATCCAATTTGTCAGTGAACTCTCTTTGTTTATCAGTGAACTCTCTCTGCAATTCCGATATTCTCTTGTTAGCTCTTTCCAACTCTTCCTTTGAACTCATCAAGTCTGAGGTCAATTTCTCAATTTGTTGTTTTTGTTTCTCCAATCTTTCCACATAGTCAGTCTCTTGTGATTTATACAGCTCTTTCTCCTTTTGTATTTTTGATTGGATATCTTTTAATTCTCTTGACATTGCGTCTCGGGAACTACATGCCTGTTAATCGGTTAGTTGAACATTTATTTCATAAACAAAGACATACAATTTACAAATTAATTCTATGAATTAGTTATCTCAAGGTCAATTTTCATAATGAAAATACTTTACTACGAGAATACCTTTTATGGCGTTTGTGAGATCAAGAGTAAATCGGACATTAATTTATCACGATTTTTTATTACAAGAATTTACCTTCCGTACTAATTGCATCTATATATGGTAAATGGTAATGGTAATGGTAAAAATCGTGCTAAATTAATGTCCGATTTACTCTCGATCTCACAAACGCCATAAAAGGTATTCTCGTAGTAAAGTATTATTGCAGATACAGACTGCATTATTGCAGTCTGTATCAAACCAATAAACGAAGCTAGAATGACGTCATTTATCACGTATGGACACACTATTACCACAAAAAACCAGAAGCGTTATTAAACAAGCAAGACGAAACATATTGATTGGGGTTTATTGTGAATAAAATCATTTTGAATCTTGGCTAGTCTTATGTCACATGTCACTCCTACGAAGTTATAGAGTTTAAAAATTGAATTGCAACGAGACAATACACTTACTTGCAGATACAATGACTTAAGTTCCCCATTCTCCTTAAGCGTATCTTTGAGTTGGCCGCTGTACCTCTCCAATTCCCGCAACAAGTCAGCATTTGCTTCTTGCACTATTGATGCGCGACTACCTTTTTCTGATTTGAGCTTTTCATAATCTAATTCTAGTTGAGTGTATTTGAGATCAAGCTGTAAGGGCAACAAAATATGTTTTTATTAAGTATCTTCATTCACATCAAATTTAATAGGTTTTAAAAGTGTGATAGATACGCAACAACTTTGTTAAAGCATCGTGTAAAGTGCTTATGGTTGGAATATATTTGGAGTCAAGCCTGATTTTTACCCAGCCTTATTAAATATGTATGTATTGTGAAAATACCACTTACGTATGTATAATGAAAGCATATTATAAAATATTCCTACCTTTACATAATAAAATAGATTTATAACAGATATATATAATATTTTTTGTTATTGTTGTAGGTAAGTAGACAAATTGTCAAAGAAGATATTGTGTAAATGTAATGACTAAAAGCTAATGTAAGGTGTTATTTACCAGCGAGTCTTTTTTACGAGTAGTTAACGTCAATAAAGGCATCGTGGCCCACATATAACGATAATATAACTCTAGGAAAATCATAATACATTAGGAATGCTGTGTTTTTTAAGCCCCAAAACGTTCGAATAAAGGTACAAAAACTACTAACATTTTTCAATTCGTTTCTAACTTCATCTATCTCGGTCTGAAGTCTTTCGTTTTGTTGTTTGTAACTCTCCAACAATTCACTATCAGAATTGCTACCAAGAAGTTCGAGTTTATTTTGTAAAACGGCTACACGCGAATTCAGTTGCATCTCTATGCCTTTCTGTTCTTCTAGTTTCGCTCTGAGGTCAAGTTCTTGTTTTCGATGTTGTTCTATTTTTTTATCTCTGTAAAGAGGCACAAAAAAGTGATATGTATTTAGATACATGTAACTATTAGTGGAACTAACTGTATCAGTTGTCCACTACTCATAGTACAAGCTCAGCTTAGTTTAGAACTAGATGGTGTTATAATATTATTATTATAAATAAAGTAAAAAAAACCTCTCTCGTAAATGTTGTATTCATCATACCTTTTAATTATTTCTTCTTGAAATCCCGATAATTTTTGCATTTGTTGTTTATTTCGGCTCAAAACTTCTTTTAATGTAGCTAACCTGCCTGGTGATGGAGGTTCACCTAGAGACAATAAGAAATAATTTGTTAGTCAGCATTTAGGTACATAAGTATTTGATTAATTAAATGATATTATTGTATTGGACTTCACTGTGGTTCATACCAAAGTAAGTGTTATCAGGCAGTGACTCCATAAGTATCTGATGGAGTGTAGTTTTCCAATGTTCGTATTCTTTTTGAGTAGCAGATAATTTCTTTCTGTGTAGAACCAGATCATGAGCTGTGAGTTCCAACTTTGACTGAAATTAACACAAATATTCATATTTAAAGAAAGTAAAGAAGTGGAGCAAACAGGTGGTATCCAAGAGAAGGCACTAGCAGGATGAGCAAAGACCTAAAAATGACCTTAGGACCACAAACAAAATTCTAGTGTCTGTTTGCAATATCAACTCTTAATAAACGCTTCTGTATGTTTAGTTGGTATTTATGCAAAAAAAAACATTTAATCATTCATCACTATTTTGATAATGTTTGTCTGTCTGTCTGGTTTGTGAACAGATTACCACAGGATATTTAATCTAAGATAGCATTTACCTACCTCTACCTACCTACTAAAAGAATATTTCTACCTATGTACTAAAATAAGAATAGAATGAAAAGAACTTACCCCCAATTCTTTGACCTGTTCTTTGGCGGCATTGCGTTCCGTAGTCAACTGTACCACCTTTTCCATCAAGCGAGGAGTCTCTCCACTCACAAGTCGACTTTGAGCTGCCTCCAATTCGCTTGCCAGTCTATTTATTGTCGCTCCCTTATCTATTAATACATCTTCCCTTTCTCTATCTTTCTCCATACAACGTCGTTCTAAAGCCTTAATTTCGTTTTCCTGAGGGAGTGATCAGAACTTTCTTATTGTGGTTATGTAAGGAAGTTATGAGTATACTCTACTGCTGAAAAACTAATACTTATAGTCACTTATATACTATCTAATTATTCATCCACTGTTTTTTTTATGTGGATCTATAAAGCTTGTCGTAAGTTGTAAATGATGAAAAATGCAAGCAATGGTTTAAACCTTAAAGTTATTCCAAAATACGATCTAATATATGCACTAACAGAGAAATACTACACAATAAAACATCTTAGTGATTGACAGTTTAGTATGTAAAAAAAAATATACTTTTATAAAAGGAAGATAGTTAATTCACTTACTACTACTAGCAGAAGCATAGTCAATATATTAAGGATCGGCTGATAATTCCTTTTGATGTAAGGATTTTTTAATAATAATTACTATAAAAAGGAGGCAAACGATATGTGTTTAGGGTTTCGTACCCAAAGGGTAAAACGGGACCCTATTACTAAGACTCCGCGGTCCGTCCGTCCGTCTGTCCGTCTGTCACCAGGCGGTATCTCATGAAAAGTGATAGTTAGACAGTTGAAATTTTCACAGATGATGTACTTATTTCTGTTCCCGCTATAACAACAAATAATAATAACAGAATAAAATAAATATCTAAGGGGAGCTCCCAAACACCAGACATGATTTTTTTGCCGTTTTTATAGATGGAACCCTTCGTGCGCGAGTCCAATTCGCACTTGGCCGGTTTTTTATAATTATTTTTATGATCTCATGTGTATTATAAACACAGATACTTACTTTTTCATCAAGCCTACTCTTTGCTTTTGTTAAATCATTTTGGAGTCTGTCCATTTCTTCTCTGTGTCTGAAAATTATTATAAACTTAATTTTAGTTACTACCAAATAGTTTTACAATGATAGCAATTTTTATTGACTTTAAAAATACATAGAATAGAATTTATAATTTATTATTAAATCTTACCTATCTTGCTGTTCTCTAAATATTGCATCAGTATCATGAGTATGAGCAACCTGAAAAAAAATTATGCTGTTCTCTACTGCTTTCTCAATCCTCGAGCTTTTAACAGATGAGTTATAATCTGCTAAAACTCGAGGATTGAGAAAGTTATGACGTTGATGATGATAAATTACTGAACAAAACGATATTTGAAGACAATGGTTTTACCGTTTTTTTATTAAACATGAAAAAAAGTATGTTCTATAAAAAAATTTAATGCAATAACTATTTAGATTTTATACTTAGCGTATTGTTAAAATCTTTTAAAATTAAATTTGGAAATTAATAACAAATTTGAAGCTAATAACAATTTTTTTTTGTAATGCTCATGAAAGTCTTAAATTTATGAAGACTACTATAATGTATTTTAAACAAAGCCAACAACCCAATCGCTATGTTATTTACCTAATAGAAAATTAAAACATACAAAGCAATGTATACTATTATCACCTCTGTTCATATTCAAAACAGTTAAGGTTTAATAAGGTTCTTTTTGTGTTTAGCTATATTAATACACATTTAATATTCTTCACCTGCAGGGTATGAAGCCTTTGTTGCACGTCCTGAAGACTTATATTAGCTGAGCGTAACTCTAACTTCAATTGTTCTTTCTCTTGGTCATTCTCCATTAACTTCTCAGTGAGATTTGTCACTTGTTGTTCTAACTCAATCAATTTATGTTTACTTGATGCTGGAAAAATTCTATTGGATTATAGAATTTGATATAACGTAAACCTTGACTGACTGAGACAACAGATAACTTTTGAATTTCATCTGAACTATCAGTTTACTACATGTTGATTCATAATTCATTCATAATTGATAATTTATTTATTTGCTGATCAAAGGTGTACAACAGTGTTACATTTTTATTTATATATGTCCTCTTTGGTCTACCTTAACGGCATGCAAAAATTCATTACAATAATTGTCAATTAATTTAGAATAAAAAATTACATTTGTCAATAAACATATTAAATAGAAATGTCAATATAAAATTTCAAAATGTCAAAATGTTACAATTAAATAAACTTATTTGATTAAGCAACAATAATATGATCATCGCAACTAGTAATAATGCAAAATTATTCTTATTTTCCTGAGAGAAAGTCACTTATTGCATAGTAGCATTTCTTTACTAAAAAGCCATGAAGGCGCTTCTTAAATAGATTAATATTTAACTTTTTAAATTAATTAGGTATCCGGTTATATATGACTAGCGACATGCAGAAAATGCTTTTATGCAATAAAGCTGTATTTGCTTTAGTTATGCGAAGCCTATCGCGAGTATTCGTCCTTCTACTGCGTTGAGTAGTTTTTTTTTTATAAATAACTTTCAACTGTTTCTTACAGTTTCAGGAGTATTTTGTAGTCACTTCTGAGTGCACAGTGTGATGTTAGACAGCCTTTAACCTAAGTATAACTATGTACGATTTATTTTTTAAGGGCTGGTTTAAATATTAATGTATTAAAAAGAAACTTTCAATTGTATAAATACGAGTATACAACTCTGTGTAAAAAGTATCGGGAATATGTCAATAAAAAGACCCGCGTAAAAGAGGTCGTTCTAATTTTTTTACTGCATGTTGGTAGCACTGTACTGATTAAGCGCGCAAAATTTGAGCGGGATCTGTCATTTAATTTGTTTTAAACTACACTTTTTGTTGGTGATAGTTTTAAGTCCTCGGCGATTTTTACAATGGAAAACATTGTTGAACAAAGAGTGTGCCTTAAATTTTGTGTTTCGAATGATATTTCTTGTGGTGAATCACTAAAAATGTTGCGAAATACCTACGGCGAATCGTGTATATCGAAAACAAGGGCTTATGAATGGTATAAGGTTTTTAAAGAAGGCCGAGAAGTAGTAGTAGACTTGCCTCGTTCTGGTAGACCTTCAACCGCTACGACCAAAGAAAACATCGACAGAATCAAGAAGCTAGTGCTCGAAAATCGACGTATGAGTCTGAGAGAGTTAGCTAGTGAGGTGAACATATCTTTTAAGTCCGTCCACAACATTCTCATTGACAATTTAGGCATGAAACGCGTCGCCGCTCGACTAGTTCCAAAAGAGCTTAATTTTGTTCAAAAAGCGCAGCGAAAGCATGTCGCTGAAGACATGGTTTCCCGAGCTTCTACGGATCCGACCTTTATGAAACGTATAATAACTGGCGACGAGACATGGGTTTATGAGTACGACATGCAAACAAGCAAACAGTCTTCAGAATGGCGTCTCGAAAACGAGCCGAAACCAAAAAAACCGCGGCAAAGTCGCTCCAAAATCAAGGTGATGCTGACAGTTTTTTTTTACTACCGTTTTGTAGTTCACTCCGAATTCCTTCCAGAGGGAGAAACAGTGAATAAAGAATATTATTTAGGCGTCATGAAGCGTTTGCGTGAGAGTATCCGCCGAAAACGTCCAGATTTGTGGCAACACAACTCATGGATGCTGCACCATGATAATGCACCATCACACACAGCCATTATAGTGAAAGAGTTTTTAGCGAAAAATTCAACAAAAGTTCTCGACCAAGCACCGTATTCACCTGATATGGCTCCGTCTGACTTTTTTTTATTTCCCAAGTTTAAATTACCACTTCGAGGAAAACGTTTTGAGTCGATAGAAGCCATAAAAGAAAATTCGCTGAATGAGCTAAAGGCCATACCGCAAATAGCCTATGAAAAATGTATGGAAGACTGGGTGAAGCGGTGGAGATGTTGTATTGCAAGCGATGGGGTCTACTTTGAAGGCGATAAAATAAATTTAGATGAATAATTTGTATTTTTTGTTTTATTGACAAATTCCCGATACTTAGTACACAGAATGTATAAGAGTCAACCTGTGACCATGGCCAGTATAATCTGGTTGAAATGTCAGGCATTCCAAAGATATGTACTTAACTAACTAATCATAAACATGATATTTGTATTTTTTTATTTTTAACTACCTCAGAGGTGCAGTGGTAGCGAATGCGACTACTGTGCTGAAGTCTCGGTTTTCGATTACCGGGTCGGACCAAATGTTTGTAAGATCTGCAAATATTTGTTTCGGAGTTTGGGTGTTTTCTATGTATAATATGTATGTAATATGTGTGTCAGATCTCCAAAAAAAGTATTATTACAGAACGCAATAGTTTAAAAGTTAATTGTGTAAATAATATAGACAACTACATTTCAACTATTGTATGTGTTCTTTAAAATTGTGTCAGCAAATACATACCAAGCAGATGATGAGCCTCTTGTAAAGATAGTTCCGCCTTATCCCTATCACTGATGGCGGCAGCTAGCCTCGCGCGTAAGCTATCTATTTCGGTGTCTAATTTCTGCATCTGTCCAGCTAATTGTTGACATTCCTTCACCCGGATCTAAAAAACATAAATATACACATTCTGTACAGACTGTTTTATTTTTTTAGTTTTTGGATTAGTAAATTTTATTTAAATTGGCACTCTTTGAAAGGGTCTTTGAATACTTCCTTGATAAAACAATTATTACAAATTATACTAACTTCATACATAACTCTCAGCTGTTCATTGTTCATATATTCTTGTCTATCACAATTGTTTATCCCATTCACATGCCCTGAAAAAACAATATTACCACATTATTATTCTTTTATCTTTCAATACAAAACTACTACTAAATTACTAAAACAGTCAGGTTCAGCAAAGTTATTTGGTTTGAATTAAAACTTTATAGTGGATTTCATTAATAACGATGTTGGTTGTAACGACTTTGCGCTTATAGCAGTCAGACATATGTCCCTTGAATTTAAAGCAGACTTTCGTAAAAAAGTCATTCAGCAATAGCAACTTCAGATATAACGTCAATTTCGGGCGTAGGACTTGTTGTTATGAACCATTTGTGACAGATTCCTAGAAATTTCATGTGCATATTTCGACTGAGTCAGCAAAGGCACAAAGACTCGTTCTTATAAATAAAATAAAATAAACTTTATTCTGTAAGAAAACACATCCTTTATTTACATTTACAGATGGTCAGATATGCTTGCTTTGTAGGCAGGACTAGCTAGCACATGTACAATGTTGAACTTTGAAATCTTTGAATCAGTTACATAGCAATTTCCAGTGTGTGAACAGTGTTTCACAAATCAGTTACATAGCAATTTCCAGTGTGTGAACAGTGTTTCACAAACTTGTGAATATGACTCCTAAACGTACATTTACTGTTAAAGAAAAGATTTAGACAATGTCATGATATATGATCGGTAAGTTTCAGAAGCCACCAGTGTTTTGCAAAATGACTGTGAGAATTGGTTGAGAACAGTTTTACCAAAATTAACTGAGGGGTATACCGAAAGTCGAATATTTACACGACTTTCTGCTAGTTTAGATAAAGCGATTTCCAGATATAGTGACGACATTAAAGTGATCCTTCCAACATCATTTTAACCGAAATCCACTATATATAGATAAATACTATTATGACTTAATTATGGAAGTAAAGTATTCTTTAATGCTACTTACTCTTTAATAATAATATGCTCTATAAGAAGCATTGTTATACCAGCAATCAAGATGCCATGTAGTGTAGATTACATAGCAAAACCATAAGTCAAGCATTATTTATTTAAATCTCTGATCATTAAGATTAATTTGGGTGAGTGAGTTTAAACTAAATACTAATTAGTTAGGTTAAAAACCTTGGTTATTAACTCCTAGCGGCTTATGGGTGGTTAATAAGGGACAAAACACGCAGATGTGTCACCTGATGAAAAATGAGATACACAGCCCATAGACACCTGTGTGTTTGTTTTGTAAGTAAGGGGTAAGAAGTTGTCAATGTTGCCACTGGCACAGCAGAGTGTAATACCTCTATATTCTTGTGGATAATAGTGGTTCTGTCCATCGCCAGCACCATATGGACCAAACTGCGCTTTGATAACTTCTTCTTGATGTCTCATGTGACCCATATGGTTCTTAGGTGTTTCACAATATAATTTGGGGGACTCTGAACCATGTTGTTCCTTCAAGTGATTAAGAGACTCCACATAGGTTGGAGGTAAACCTGTTCTTGTTGGTTGAACTGAAAATAGATGTTATATTGAAACTTACTGACTTAGATTAATTATTCTGGCATCATGGTAAATTATATATTAACATTGATAATAAAACATGTATATTTAATAACATATTTATGTTTCAGATATACAGCTCACCATTGTTTTGCTGCGGATCCAGGGTGTAGTTTCCACTGCTGTTAACAGAACTGGCTTCGTCATCATCCAAAAGATCATCAAAAGCATTTGCCAATTTGTGCTTAAGCTGCAAACACACATAAACTCTCAGTATCATCCAAAACATGATGAACCAGAACTAGACATAAACAATTATAAATATATTTTTCATTAGTTATAAAATAACATAGAAAACTCTTAAAAGTGTACACACCTCTTCGTTTCGTCGTTTCTGATCTTCTAGTTCTTCTTGCTCGTCGAGTCTGTCTTGAGCACTATTGTTTATGTGGATACTAGCGGCGCCTTGAAATAAACTCATTCCGGGACCATCCATATTTTTATTTTTTACTTTTATTCGGTAAAACAAAGATATAGAACTGGTGAACTAAATAAATTAAAAAGCCTTATTAGGAAACAATATTAAAAATAATTCCGTTCACAACTAGTGTACATATTGCGTTCATTTTTTTTATTAAAATTAACCAAAACAAGTTTTTGAATATTGCCTGAGGGTGTTACCAGCAAAGAATTTTAGTTTTATTCATTTAGTTTAGTGATGAACTGATTGGATAGACTCGGGTCTTGACTCGAGTGATGAGTGACTACATTTATTTGTTTAGTGAGATTCTTCACATTTTCTCATTTCTTTTAAATATCAATATAAATTCTTTTAATTCTTAAAAAAAAAAAATTGGCTGGGAATATATAAATAGCTGCACTATTTAAAACATTCCGAACCATATGCGGAATTTTGCTACCCTTAATAACTTCGTTGTACCTCGAACATTAAATCGTAATTTCAGCAATCGCTGAGGAGGTCAACTGCTGAACGTAAATCTCCATCAAGACCATCGATAACAACTAAAAAGATAGATTAGAAGATACTTGCATCCACCGGCAATCTTTACAAAATTATCTACTGAACCCTGGCTGTTGGTGGCTATCTTACGTTACGATTATCTTACGATCTGAGCACCACTCGAGAATTTTCACCTTTATCGGCCACCCATTCTGCATGATATTTCATTTAGCTAATCCATTGAGCAATGACACTAACCATGCTTGATCTGCGTCTTTATCTCAAATCATTTCAAACTTGGTGCAGAAAAGCTCCAAGCAATGCCCTTACCAATAGCATATTCTATCTATTTACAATTATTTTTTCCGCATAAATTGTTAAATTCGTTTCATAACTTTCTCATCAATGCATCTCTTGTAACTTCTAATCTAAACATCACCGAACCCATTAATGGTCCGTGAAAATTGGTTTTGTAGTTTATGGTACATTACATTGTAAAGTCGAGAAAATGATCAAACATGAAAATATCTACATTTATTACCAAAATTATTTAGGCAATCGCAGATCGTAAATGTGTTTAGATAACTTTTTATAGAATAAATTAATTATATTATACGTATATTATGATATTACAAATGAGTTAGTAGAGTAAAATATAAAGATAATTTATATGTAGATTATAGTATCTGAAAATAATTGCTTATTCAATAGTATTGTTATCTATGCCATTCGATATTTATATTTATAATTTTTAAACAGGGGTGATTAAGAAATACAATTTTGAATTAGGCGGATGGATTTTCAAAGATGGCCCAACACTAACAGGAGACAAGATTTCCTCATAAACAGCGGGGTCACCTATTATGTAACATGCACTCTAATTTGCTTCCAGGATTTCCTATACAGGGTATCCTGAGGCAAAATCTTTCGTGGTCCCCGCAAATGCCAACAGCATTATTAGTCAGCTTATTTGGTGTCCGTGTGGTGACGGATTAAAAACCCACCCTAACCCCTATTCATCCTGTAGGTGTCGTAAGAGCCGACTAAGAGAGCAAACTACGCAGGGCAACAGCACTGCAAAGAGAAGAAAAACTTGAAACAAATCCTATACCAACCCATCTGGACTCCCAATAGGCGTAGCTAAATACAACAGGCCGGTGACGGGCAGCAGCGTTACCGGTGCGACAAGCTACGCCCTGCGATCGCCAACCCGCCTGCCCAGCGTGGCGATTATGGGCAAACCCCTCCCATGCAGACGCAACAAAGGCCACGGCCCCCAGTTCCCGGCGGCCCCGCTATTCCTGGTCATGGTGGCGACCACAGTAAAGGCGGGGCAGGGGGTGCGAAGAATCTCCGGGCTACGGGAGGCCACCACAACCGACTGACCCTGGCTACGTACAACGGACGCACGCTACGGCTAGACTCGCATCTGGCGCAACTTGAGGTGGAACTTGGGAAGATTAGGTGGCATATCCTAGGGCTATGTGAAGTCCGAAGAGAGGGGGAGGACACCATAACCCTCGAGTCAGGCCACCTAATGTACTTCCGCGAGGGAGACCAACAATCCCAAGGTGGGGTTGGGTTTCTGGTAAATAAGTCCCTATCTGACAACGTTGTGGAAATTTCCAGTGTGTCGAACAGGGTAGCGTACCTCATTATCAAGCTCACCGAGAGGTATAGCCTCAAGGTTGTGCAAGTGTACGCACCGACCTCGGCACATTCGGACGACGAGGTGGAGGATATGTACGATGACATATCGAGGGCCCTCCACTTCACAACTAAGACCCACTACAACGTTGTTATGGGTGACTTCAACGCTAAAGTGGGAGTACAGAATTGCGGCCAATCGGTAGTAGGATCCCATGGATTTGGAAGCAGGAATCATAGGGGGCAAATGCTGGTCAACTTCCTCGAACGGGAGGGGCTGTTTTTGATGAATTCTTTCTTCAAGAAACAGTCCCAAAGGAAGTGGACGTGGCAAAGCCCCGACGCTATGACCAGAAATGAGATCGATTTCATCATGACGGATAGAAAGCACATATTCAGAGACGTCTCAGTGATCAATAGGTTTAATACCGGTAGTGATCACCGACTTGTCCGGGGCTCTCTGAATATCAACTTTAAGGCGGAACGTGTCTGTTTGATGAAATCCAGGCTCCGACCAACTCGGCTCCAAGCCCTGACAGGATCTGAAACGTTCCAGTCAAAACTGGAAAACCGATTCGCTGCCGTGGAAACCACAATCGACGTAAACCAGAACCTCAAAAATGTGGTTCAGATCCTCAGGGAAGAAGGTATGAGATTTTGTGAAATGCAGCGTAAGGGCAGGAAGTCGAAGCTTTCAGAAAGGACCCTAGGGCTGATGAAGAAACGACGTGAAAACCCACCTGTCACTTTGTCGGCAAAGCGGACTCTAAACCGAGAGATCAGTAAACTCGTACGACACGACCTCCGGTGCTCCAATACTCTTTCAATTGAAAGAGCGATCGAGCAAAATCGGGGGTCAAAAGTGTTCGTACAATCTCTTGGAAGAAGCCACCTGACAAAGTTGACTACAGAAAGTGGAGAAGTCGTTGCTTCGAAGCCGGCAGTCCTTTTGGAAGTGGAAAGCTTCTATGGCCGGTTATACGCTTCGCATGCATCTCGACCTGATCCCGAAAATGAGGACTCTAGAGCCACATTAACACGTCACTACACCGAAGACCTGCCAGAAGTTAGCATTGACGAAATCGAGATGGCTCTTGGACAGCTGAAAAATGGAAAAGCCCCTGGAGAGGATGGCGTTACAACAGAGCTGCTGAAGGCCGGGGGTAAACCCGTACTAAGGGAGCTCCAAAAGCTCTTCAACGCTGTCCTGTTTGAAGGGAGAACTCCAGAAGCGTGGAGTAGGAGTGTGGTCGTCTTGTTCTTCAAAAAGGGTGACAAGACCAGGTTGAAGAACTATCGACCCATATCCCTTCTAAGCCACGTCTACAAGCTGTTTTCGAGAGTCATCACGAACCGTCTTGCGCGAAGACTCGACGAATTCCAACCACCGGAGCAAGCTGGGTTTCGGAGCGGATATGGCACCATAGACCACATCCACACAGTGCGGCAGATTATACAGAAGACCGAAGAATATAATCAGCCCCTGTGTCTAGCATTCGTGGACTATGAGAAAGCCTTTGACTCGATCGAGATCTGGTCTGTTCTGGAGTCCCTGCAGCGTTGCCAAGTAGATTGGCGATACATCAAAGTGATGAGATGTCTCTACGAAGCCGCCACCATGTCCGTCCAAGTACAGAATCAGCAAACAAGGCCCGTACCATTGCATCGAGGAGTGAGACAAGGGGACGTTATTTCCCCGAAATTGTTCACAAATGCAATGGAGGACATGTTCAAGACGCTGCACTGGAAAGGGCGTGGCATCAATATCAATGGCGAATACATCTCTCACTTGCGATTTGCAGATGACATCGTCATCATGGCAGAGACGTTGCAGGACCTACAGCAAATGCTGAATGACTTAGCTGACACTTCTGTACGCATCGGCCTACGGATGAACTTGGATAAAACCAAGGTCATGTTCAACGAACATGTACTACCGGAACCGATTGCGGTACACGGTGCCGTTCTCGAAGTTGTTCAAAATTATGTGTACCTCGGGCAGACATTGCAGTTAGGTAGAAACAACTTCGAGGACGAGGTGAACAGAAGAATTCGGTTGGGTTGGGCAGCGTTTGGGAAGCTACGTCGAGTCTTCTCATCGTCGATCCCACAGTGCCTTAAGACGAAAGTCTTTAATGAGTGCGTCCTACCCGTCATGACATACGGAGCTGAAACGTGGACACTTACGGTACGGCTGGTCCACAAGTTCAAAGTCGCTCAACGTGCTATGGAAAGGGCTATGCTCGGCGTTTCTCTAAGGGATCGCGTCAGAAATGAGGTGATCCGGCAGAGAACTAAGGTCACCGACATAGCGTACCGGATCAGCAAGTTGAAGTGGCAGTGGGCTGGCCATATTAGCCGCAGAACCGATAACCGTTGGGGAAAACGAGTTCTTGAGTGGAGACCGCGTCTCGGCAAACGTAGTGTAGGACGCCCACAGGCCAGGTGGAGTGACGATTTGCGCAAGATGGCTCGCAGGAGCTGGATGCGAGAAGCCCAAAATCGATCTAAGTGGCGTGCAATGGGAGAGGCCTATGTCCAGCAGTGGACTGCGATAGGCTGATGATGATAATTAATATTATTTAACGGGAATTAACGCGATCTCTTATTTAGGGTATTACATACCTCTGGTTTGCCTGACGTTTCGACCAGGTTGCACCGGCCGGTTTAATTCCCGTTAAATAATATTAATTGACATCTAAATATCAACAAAAACGCACAATTTAAATTAAAAGTATGTTAAAGTATAAGTTAATGCAATTTTAAATAAATCTTTATAGACAAAAATCGCTTCCAAAGTCCAAATCTCGTGTATACTAAGATTTACTATTAAAACCTATGATGTGCCATTACAAAAGCTTTTACAAATTTACAAAAGTAACATACATAAATCTGTAAAACTGTAATCGATTAGTACATACCAAGAAATAAAATCTAAATCTCTTAAGAATATAGTGCATATATATACACTATACTAATATATATATATATGATGGTTAAAAATGGTGAAATAGGGATACAGAATGTAATTCAACAACAATTAAGTATCTACACTATCCACAAGCAAATAAATCTAAGTTTCGTATTACAAAATTATACTCAAACCTCGAGAAACGCTTGAGGTTAATTTTCGACCTATAAGACTATTCTCAAGCGTTTCTTCAGTTTTAAGAAACGTTCTGTAATACGGCCTAAGTAATATCTGTATCGTACATAATCTCTTTTATGTGTAACTAATATATAAATGAAATTCAACAAAATGAAGCTCTATGTCTAAAAGATAATTGCATTTGAGATAACACAATTTAGTTACAAGTAAAAACAAAACAAATACAAAATTATTTACTCGTAAAACACAACTAACAAAATGAGTTAGTCATGGGAGGCCCATGATTCGACACATGTGGGTCTCTATCTCTCTCTCACTGCAAGACAATCGTGATTATGATTAACGTGACACATGTGCGGGAATTAAGAAAGAGATAGAGAGGGCTTCTGCGTGCAACGATCTCTCTCACACCGTGAGACAGGGTGAGGCTTCCCTTGCGTGCTCTATTTCTTATTTTATCTCTATGCTTGTGGTCGTTCGGTAAATTTCATAGAGATTTAAGCATAGAGAGAACACGGGGTACAGCTGCCTGTAAGTAGAAGCGATACAAGCAACGAGAGATGAATGCCAGATATTTCCCTCTGTCTCTGTTTAGCTAAGCTGCGATTGGCTACTTATTAATGGCCCTCATATTCCCCAGCTAAGCACAGAGTTCGGTTAGAAAGAGATAGAGGCGACTATCTATTTTCCATTTCTCTCGTTGCCTTTATTGCAATTTGCAAGATTGTTCTTGTTCTCTCCCTATGCACTTTACCAATACTAAGTTTCGGTGAGGCCGTAAGTTTCGGCCAATTTTGACCCGAACCGAAACTAGATTTTTGGTCGAAACTCGAAACCGAACCTTTGGTCGGTAACTACAATTATTATAATGTATAGTATATTATTCTCTGACTAGTATATAGTTATCTGTGGTATATATTATAAAGTTATGAACACACATTACTTCAGTCAGTCAGTGTTAAACTGTGTAACTTAACTTTTAATTTATCGATTATATTATCTAACAAATATGGACTTCAAACCTGTTACCCATGTTCTTTTTGACATGGATGGGTTATTGTTAAGTAAGTTTATACAAAGTTACCATTAAGAAAGTCTTCCATGTTGTATAAATAATGTTTTCTATAATTGCTTTACGTACACCTAACTTACTAACACGGTTAAAATATTTTTGGTTATGAGGTAGACCAATCATTATTATGTCGTATTTATTACGGTTATAGATACAGAAGATTTATACACAATCGCATATCAAAATATTTTGACCCCCTACGATAAGGAATACACTTGGGATTTGAAAGTTAAACTTATGGGGTTGCAGGATAGAGAAGCAGCTAAATTGCTTTTATCTACTTTGGATATACCTCTGAGTGTAGAAGAATGGATGAATGCTGTCAAACTTCAGTATGAAAAAATATTTCCTGAGTCACAGCTTATGCCAGGTATGCAGTAGAATTGTGCAGCCATTTAATGAAATTAAGAAAAGAATTACACAATTAATACATATTTCCCTAAATTTTAGGTGCAAAAAAACTGGTAGAACATTTACATAAATGCAATGTTCCTATTGCACTAGCCACTAGTTCAACTAAAGAAGCCTATAAAATTAAGACAAGCAAACATCATCCTGGTTTATTTTCTCTCTTTTCAATAAAGACCTTTGGTTCATCAGATCCTGAAGTAAAGTATGGGAAACCACATCCTGATATATTTTTGGTTACTGCTAATAGATTTCCGGATAAACCGAAACCAGAACAGGTACTGAAATAAAATATAAATTTACTAAATTCTGTGTGATTAATAGTTCAATAACTTTACTTTAAAGTGATAAGTATTAAAGTATCTGTAATTAAAACTTTGTTTAGTGCTTGGTATTTGAAGATGCTGCAAATGGTGTAAAGGCTGGCAGGGCTGCAGGAATGCAAGTGGTGATGGTGCCAGATGCAAAACTCGACAGGAGTTTAACTACTGAAGCCACCCTTGTTCTTGAGAGCTTAGAAGACTTTAAACCAGAACTTTTTGGTCTTCCTCCTTATGATACATAATTCAATATTTTGTAATTTAATCAATAAGTCAAAATGCAATTTGTCTTTTACTTCTTGCACTTACGCACAGCATCAGACTACATACAGTCACACTTTTCTTCCTTGCATAATAACTAGGAATACTAATTTCTTATAAATACAATTGCAATTAGTATAGCACACTCATGAAATGATTTGTCTACCTCAAATTATGTATTAAAAATAATTTACTTTAGCATAATATTTATTTATATATTGTGTATAAATGGATATTTTGATATAAACCAATATAAATTACTTTTGAAACATAATCTACACTAACAAAAAAGTGTTGTTTTTTTTAAAACACAAGTTAAAGAATATTGATACATAACTCTTGTAGCAGAATAAAGCTACATAGCAGAGTTGTATTTTGATTGTTGTTTATTAAATAGGTAAATTATTATAGTCAGTATACCTCACTGATTTTATTTATATATTAGTACCCGCGACTTTGTTAGCGTGGAATTTGAAATGTGTTGCATTACTGGTCTAGTGCGGTACGCAACTGCAGTCCATGAGGCCTCGGATTTGATGCAAAATTTTATAGGGTTTTTCTGAGAGCAAAAATAGCCTAAGTTACTCCTTATATAGACAGCTACCTGGTAGTAAAATATTATCAAACTCATTTAAGTCATTTTTAAGATTACCTGGAACAGATTGACAGACAAAAAATATTGAAACCGGTTTTTAGGCATTGTGCAAATATTCAATCAATCAATTTTATTTTTTTGTGTAGCATGGACGTATTAAAAACTCGGACAGTCTCGCCAACAAAAAATTGTGTCATTCATAGTCGGCCAACTCGCTGTATGTACAGGCCGGCATCACACTTACACACATAGTCAGTTCAGCCATTACGCGCGCAAACATCGAGACAGCGAGACGCATTACGCGGCGAAAAAAATATAAATTTACAACATGTTTTGCGTGTTGAAATGCCGTAAAAACCGTAGTGACAGAAAAAAAATAAGAATCATGTTTCATAGAGATTAGAATAATTAAATCACTTATATCCAGATTTTATACATTAAAATCAATCTGCATTCGCTACTCGCTAGAACAAAAGAATTCATTATAAGCCCAGTGTTTAGTCTTAGGTAGTACACGTACGATGTGCTGATAGGTACTAGTACTGGGTATTGTACTCAAAGTAATGTTTCCGAAAGGCAGCTGTTAATCGGACATTTTGCACTATTAGTACACACTGTGTACTACACAGTGTCAACTTCAAGCCAGTACTAAACTATCTATTGTTTACTCTGTCTACTAGTGTCTACGTTCGTTCGTTGTGCGACGTACTATTAATGCTCCGCTTTATTGTTCCGTATTGGTAAACAGTATGAGAGTAAAAGCGACAGCGATACAGGATTTACTACAATACGTTGGGTTGTAAAGTAGTCTTGTGCTTAATCGGACATCTGCAGGTTCGCACCGTACTAGTACAATTCGTACAACGTACTAGCACACCGTAATAGTACTATTAGTACAGTTTTAGTAGAAGTAGAAATCTTAAGCGTTTGTATTGATATTACCAACATTAATGAAATGGAATACTAATAATTAATTAAATTAAAATACGTAATTTAAAAAAAAAGTGTTATATTTTTTTTTTATATAGATGGCTGCTTTGTATTAGGCAGTTCCTTTTCTTCAGTATAGAAATAATTACACGGTTCTTGATTATTTTTAATGTGTTATCCCTTTCTGAATCCCATAAACCCTAACGGTTTGACTTTTAAATACGATTTTTTAGATTACTTTACACAAAAATTTTAAGCATACTATTTGATTTTCCTTCATACTTTACAACCCAACGTTTTGTAGTACATCCTGTATCGCTGTCCCTTTTACTCTCACACTGTTTACCAATACGGAACAATAAAGCGGAGCATTAATAGTACGTCGCACAGCGAACGAACGTAGACACTAGTAGACAGAGTCAGAGTACCTAAATAATAGATAGTTTTAGTACTGGCTTGAAGTTGACACGGTGTACTAATAGTGCAAAATGTCCGATTAACAGCTGCCTTTCGGAAACAGTACTTTTAGTACAATACCCAGTACTAGTACCTATCAGTACATCGTACGTGTACTACCCAAGACTATTGTAAAGTATGAAGGAAAATCAAATAGTATGCCTTAAAGTTTAATGTGAAGTAATCTAAAAATTCGTATTTAAAAGTCAAACTGTTAGGGTTAATAGGGTTTATGGGATTCAGAAAGGGATAACACATTAAATTAATCAAGAACTGTGTAATTATTCCTATACCTACTAAAGAAAAGTAACTGCCAAATACAAAGCCATCTATATTAAAAAATAAAAATAAAAAGCGCGATCTGCCAAAATTCTATACCTAACACTTTTTTTTTAATTACTTGGTATTCCGTTTCATTATTGTTAGTAATATCAGTACAAACGCTAAAGTTTTATACTTCTACTAAAACTGTACTAATAGTACTATTACGGTGTGCTAGTACGTTGTACGAATTGTACTAGTACGGTGCGAACCTGCAGATGTCCGGTTAAGTACAAGACTACCAGTGTTACCAATCTTCACGTGTGCAGAATACCCAAAAGACAGGCAATATAGGTTGATTCATAAAATAAATTTATTAAGGTGATTTATTTTATAGTTACTACTAGGTGTTTTATTTCATATTCTTTTTACTAGATATTCTAAGGAAAATGGAGCATGGAGAAATGATTGGATTCAAATAAATAGAAACTGTAATAGTGAAAATGAAAGATAACACAAATATATTCTCACAAAAGAAAAGTATGTTGGCAATGAAAGCGTTTTTTTTTAACTTAGAATCGTAAAGTATGTTCGATACTTTCGCCGAAACAGAACACAAAATAAGTCTTATTAAATAAATATCGGGGTTTTTTAAACAATTCTGTTTTACCACATCTCGAAATTAGCGGAAATTTCAAGAACCTCTTTAAGTAAAAGCATCATTTGAAAGAAAAAAACAGCATTTGAGGTATTAAACAGTAGAAACAGCCTTTACTAGTCCACTGCTGGACATAGACCTCTCCTTAGGAAGGAGGTTTTGGCCTACTATACCACGCTGGCCAGACGGGTTGGTATAGGGTTTGTTTCAAGTTTTCCTTCTCTCTGCAGTGCTGTTGTCCTGCGTAGTTTGCTTCCTTAGTCGCCTCTTACGACACCCACGGGATGAATAGGGGTGGTGACACTCTGTATTCTTAATCCGTCACCACACGGACGGACGGAAAAAGGTTAATATATATAAAAGCATGATGATGAGCAACTCATTCAGATTGTTGTCTTGTGCCTTTCTCGATGCTCACCTCGCAACTCGCGTGATGTTTTCGAAACAATTGTTTATTCACGATCATGGCAGAAAGGTTAATAAAATTGAACCCAATGGTAGAAAAAGGATATTGCTTTTTATGGATTAGGGAATGTTAGCAACATCTCGATCAGGTCAGGTCGCTGTCCTGTACCGGAATTATTGCCAGAAAGTTGGAAACCTCTAACCGAAGTGTTTAATAAATTAAGTAGGTACCTAAATAAAATAGATCATTATTCAGAAGCACTAGTTATGAATATCTGATGCTATGTTTACTAGCTTGCCAAGTTTGAACAATACTCACTCCTATCTCGCAGTCTGCTCGTGCCCGGTATAATTGTGTTCAGTGACCCGATTGCACCGTAAGAAAGTAGACATGGCGTAATTTTATTGACTTTTATACGAGTGAAAGGAAACCCCCTCGAGTCGTTATGTCACCCCCCGGGGTTTCCGTGGGAAGATGAATTGGAATCGAACCGACTAAAAACCACACGGTGTCCAACTCTGCGCCTGAATTAGAAGGGATGAGAACAACTGTCAATAAGAGCTCCGGCTGACTTTCACCATCTACCGTAGCCATACGGCACATGATACTGTCATACAAACTACTGCAATTAACAATTTTTCTTAGGTATTTTCCTAAGTATTTTGAACATATTTTAAAACAAGAAATAAATATATGGCAATAATTAACCTAAGAGGGTAAAATCCCTGTTTTGTTACCAGTTTAATAATTTGAAACCCAACTAAAAGATTTTTATCAAATAGATACGATTCTTCAATCAACAAAATTTATAAAGTAGGTAATTGATTTTAAAATTTTATTTGGTCGTAGTATCAACAACAATGATGGCCTATTAGAAGTAGAAAACAGTGTGCAGGTTCAACATGTGCAAAAAGTAGATTATGTTTTATTGAAAACTAAAAAGGGAAGATGTTCAAAACACTAATATGTGTTGTTAACTTAAAATTGTATTATTGCTAACACTAGTAAGTCATCTAGCTTACTCAATAACGATAATATAATTGTAGATAAGGTCATTTCGTTATATTTAAGGTTTTCTACACAAATTTTGCAAAAGTCTACCGAAAGTTACCTCTACCTATTTCTGAGACATACTTTCTGTGATGTTTAATACGATTTGGAAGTAACATAAAATTGCCGCTGATAAGATGATACACTTGCACTTTGGCATAGCATGATTAAGCTTGACAGTTTGTAACTACTTAATAAGATTATAAATTGTTTGAATTAGTTTTAATAAAAATGTTTATACCGGTGACACATGTTTTATTTGACATGGATGGTTTACTTCTAAGTAAGTGATTAAAGACATAGATTATTATGGCTTAGATATTATTATGTTTTAACCAATTTTTTTTTTACTAATGGGCAATATTTTTAGATACGGAAGATTTATATACACTGGGTTTCCAGCAATTGGCATCTCGTTTTGGTAAAGAATTCACATTTGAAGTGAAGAAGAAGGTTATGGGCATGCAGAGTAGAGAATTTGCAGCCAGTATAATAGATTACATTGATCTACCAATTACTGTCGACGAGTTCTTGAAAGAAACAAGACAAATATTCAATGAATCATTTCCGAATTGCAAGGTCATGCCTGGTAAGTGTGAATATTATTTTCGCATCAGACGAACGTTTTTAAGTAATTAATTTATTAACAATAGTATGTAGTATAACATAACATATAACTCGTAGTTATATGCTGCTATGCTTACACTATTACGGAACCTAAAAACGACAAAGGTTTTGTTTCCTATTTATGCCACTGACTTGGCGATCAAACATGCAGAGTTCCTACGACTCTTGTCGATGTATCGCTTTTAAAAATAATGCGATTCTAAATAATTACTTTGTCGCAGTAAAGGTTTTTTGTGCAACTGCACTGGCATCCAATCAATAATAAATATAGGTATATATACTTTATCGCATATGTAATAATAATTATAATATTTTCGGACATCCGACACACAGCGCCATTTAGTTTTAACCTAAGCAGTGCTTGTACTATGAAAGTTGGAATACTTATTTACTTTTTTTTTGTAAATACATACTTAATATACATACCTATACATTTTGTACTATGTATATGTAAACTATAAAATTATTATATTATAGTATACATATACATAGTATAAAAAATTGGTTAATAGTAAGTAATTAGTAAATAGTAATTAGTAAGTAGTTACAGAAGGTAGTAGTAGTAGTAGGTAGGTAGGTTTCAAATTGAGGTGAATCGAATTTCTGAAATCAAGGATGGATACACTATTTTAGGATACAAACTACACAAAAATATATTTCTCGCTTAAGGAATAGAATAGACAATAGTAACAGTCCAATTTGTGCGTTCTTGTAACATTGCATATCCTAACTTGGAATCATTAATTTTTTTGTGACACAAGATCTTTCAGACAGACCTCTGTATTCTATCTAGTCTAGTCTATCTTGAGCAAAATGGAATTAACGTGTTATATTTTGCAGAGATCAGTTTTAGGACCGTTATTAAATAATTTTTAGTCTTCAGACTCAGTCAGTTTACTAGAATTAATTAGTAAGCTACTGTTCTATAGGAATATCTGAGGGCTCAGTGCATGTTTATTTCACATCAACTCGCTCTCAACAGCGAGCGCGTTCGGTACGGGCCAATCACAGCGCCGAACGCGGTGACGATCAAGTAAATGTGAAATGAACTCGCACTTGGACCTCTGAGGAATAGTGTGACTGAAATGCTACGCTTACGGGGGTCGAGTGGAATCATTTTATCTTTTTCGTTTGATACATGTTAATGACAGATCCACAGGTTGGTCGGTTTCAAGATATCAGACCTTTAATATTTATTTGTTTACTCGTACAAATGGTACTCACATGGCAACAGATTACTGTGGTCGTTTGACAACTTAATTCTATAAAAAAGATGAGTTCTTATATGTATATGTCCATCAATTAGAATGAACCTAGAGATAAAGATATAGAATATGCATGATTCTGTTTTCTGTATAGCATAGTCTGCCCGATGACAGCATTTCTATTGATAATATTAAATATCGTAGATATTATCCACAGGAGTAGAGAAATTACTTCACCATCTTCATAATCACAATATTGGTATGGGTCTAGCAACAAGCAGCAGCAAGGAGACATATGATCTGAAAGTTGTGAATCATCAAGAGCTGTTTAATCTTTTCCCATACAAAACATTGGGATCATCAGACCCTGAAGTGAAACGCGGTAAACCGTACCCTGACATATTTATTGTTGCTGCCGAGAAATTTCCAGGAAAACCTTCACCTGATAAGGTATTACAATATTATACAGTTAACTAACTATTGCCCTCGGCTTCGCTAGCGTGATTATTTTTTATTTCATGTTTCTGACTTTGACGATGTCGCGTTTCCATGCAACCCTGCATCCCTTCTTTTACTTCCTTAGGGACAACATAACATCGTCTGCCATTATTTCCAGTATAGTCCTAGCATTTTAGGCTCAGGCCAAGTAATTTTGTATGTATATATATATGTATATATGTATAGGTACATGAAATATTAATTCAGAATCCTAATGATATAACGCATAAAGTACATACATACATATTTTATTAGATGTATCAAGTCAAACATGGATGTCTACGCTACGTTCTACGATTAAAGCGATGTCTACGCAATATAATGAGTACTAGGAAAATAGATAGAACAAGCGGGAACTACTTGCACACAGCTATGCAAGTTTTGTTCAAGCACAATTTCCACCGAAGAAAACTTTTCATTTTGGAGACTTCTATTTATTTAGAAAAATATATTTTGTAAAGTAATGTTTTTCAGTTGATCAAGGATGTTAACGAATTTTGACATGTATTGCAAAATTAATATATAATTTATTCATAAAATTATATTACATTAAAAAACAATTATTTTTACCTGTGTAGGTACCCTTTTTAAGAAAAACGTATATGTGCTGTACAGGTATATTTCGTAGTCCAATGACATTCATGTACCTACCTATAATTTTCAGTGTTTAGTATTCGAAGACTCGGTTAATGGAGTCAAGGCTGCAAGAGCAGCAGGCATGCAAGTTGTAATGGTACCCGATCCGCGCTTGGACCAAACGCAAACATCTGAGGCGACGCTCGTTCTTGATTCACTAGAAGACTTTAAACCGGAGCTGTTTGGATTACCACCATATGAAAAATACGTATAAATAAATATTATATAAATGATGATTAAGTGTAGTGTTCTAATTTATCATCTCCCTATTATTTCTTCATGAATTCTTCAAGAAGTCTTGTCTAATCATAAAGATAATTGTTTTTTTGTAAAAAGAAGTCGTATCAACTCATAAAGTTGAATGCTTGAATTCGGATGTTGGTTTACAATTAATCGTTACCTGTAGGTGCTTATTGTACCTTCGATTTTTTTATTTGCATGTTTTCACTTAGATAATACGTACTTTGTGTAAGATGAAGTCCCCTTCCCCCCGGATCTCAGTGCAGTACAGACGTGTTTTAGTTACAACTTACATAAATATATATTTTCTAAAGTAATTAATTCTATTTAAATAAATTTGCACAACAAAATCATAGTTCTACAAGGATCCCATAACAACTGCAGAGTTCAGAAATCACCAATCACCACTGCGACCTACGCAAACATCCAAAACAGCGACCTCACACTACCAAGTAAGATTGTTATCGTTGATATGTGTAGGTATCCGTGAAAAAGTCGAGGCACTAAACAACCAAGTGATCTATGTAATGTCAGTGTAGATAAAAGACAAAATATTTATACTTATACTTCAACTTCAACCAACCTGCGCATAGGTCAAATTGGAGTGGCCGATTCAAAATTTGTATGAAATCGTCGATCGACGACCAGAACGTTGACCCCTGCATGTAACACTAACTAATATTACCTCTTTCGAGTTACTGATACATTTTTCCGCTCGGACTTATTATACGTCACTATGCCGCTACGTCACTCGCCGCAACAACAGTCCGTTACTGGCACTAGTGATCCAACGTTTAGTTTTGCACAGAAAATTTACGACTCAGATACTCCCTCGGAACGAGGTGGTAGAAGTAACAGTAATTTGCGTACCAAGAGAAGACGTGAACAGGATGACGAAATTAAAGATTTAAAAACTGAAATGCGAGAACTCTTTTCTAAATTGTCATTTTCGGTAGAACAGCAGTTCCAGGCTATTAAGCAGCAAAACGTTGAATTGCAAGATAGTCTACAATTTATATCGGATAAGTACGATGACATTCTCGTTAAGGTCCGACAGCTTGAGGAGGGGAGGATAGAAGATAAACACAAAATACAATTTCTAGAAGATAAAATTGAGTATTTTGAACGTAAGTTGAAGTCGACAGGTCTAGAAATTCGTAACCTACCAAAAATCTCAAATAATATTACAACACCAGAACCTAAACAAGACATGTGTGTCCTAGTGAAATCTTTAGCCGAATCTGTTGGAGTAACCCTGCAAGACGACCAAATTAGGGACACATATAGAATCAACTCAAGCAAAGAACAAACTAAACCTCTCATAGTAGAATTTAATAGCATTTTGGTGAAGGAAAACATCTTGAGAGCGGTTAAATTTTTCAATGGCGATAAGCCAAAGGGAGAAAAATTAAATACTACTCATCTTAATGTCACAGGACCACCCAGACCAGTGTACGTCTCGGAAACTTTAACTGCCAAAACACAAAAGTTGTTCCACGCGGCTCGAGAATTATCTAGAGAGAATGGGTATGCATTTTGCTGGACCTCAAAAGGAATAATTTATATGCGGAAAACTTTGGGTCTACCCCAAATACGTATTAATGCTGAAGCAGACTTACAAAAAATCAAAAACAGTGTTTGACTAGTATTAATATTCTATATAATTTTTTGCATGTTTTATGGTTTCTTTTTTTTGAGTTTTTCTACTTTTTTCTTTATAATATTTCCTCGTGTTTTACCATGTACAATACTAAGATTAAATTATGTAATAGTGTAAAACCTGAATATACCACTCACGCATTCAAATACCTCAACCGATACTTACACTCATGTATGGATACTACTCACCAACAGGCTCAACCCAAACTCTTAACAGTCATTCGATCAAAATTATATCAAATTTACAGCAAACACACACATACAAATACCCGTTACATATTTATATGGCAAACCACTACGAACACATTTAATGTTTTATGTTTACATTCGATCCGCTATATGATACTCTTCAGGACATAGATAACACGCAGGTGTCCAGCTCATATGTTTGTGAGCCTGAAAAATGCTGTTCTTTTCTGGACAGAAATGAGAAGAGTCTTAATATAATTACTCAAAATATTTGCAGTATTTCAGCCAACTTACCTAGTTTACTAACGCTAATAACCAGAACAAAACTCTCCCAAGACATTATAGTACTAACGGAGTGTTGGCTATCCTGCAACCCCAATATTCCAACACTGGAAGGCTATAACAGCTTTCACAGTACGAATAGAATAAATAAAAATGATGGTGTTGTTGTCTTTATACGAACTAATATTACCAACTGCCAAGTTTTTGAACCTCAGCTTCAGGATGCCAACTGTGTAGCAGTAGCTATTGACCAAGACACCTGCATTTTAGGAATTTACCGACCGCCTTGTTTTAAAGATGTTACAAATTTTCTAGTATCTCTTGACACATTTTTGACATCCAACACTGCATATAAAAATTTGGTGTTAATGGGCGACATAAACATAGACATTAGTGAGGGTTCTATAAGTAGCAATGCTAAAGAATACTTAAATATTACAGCCAGCCATGGCCTTTTACCAGCTCATACTAAAATAACGCGTGATAAAACTTGTCTTGATCATATTATCTTAAAGTCTAGACACAAAAGCACAGTATTAGTACTAGAATCTACCGTAACTGACCATAGTGCAGTTTTATTATCCTTGTCCAAACGTCTTCATAACAGTGTTTTCCCAAAAACTAAGACAAAAATTGATCCCATACTTCTTGAACAGTACATTACTTCCATAGATTATTCGTCAGTATATCAAACAAATAATGCAAACGACGCTTGTACACATCTCATAAACGACTTGTCATCAGCTATCAGTATGGCCACGAGTACCCAAATAGTCCCTTCCCGTTTACGAATACGGAAGCCATGGATTACTCCTGGGCTGTTGAGATGTATGAGGAATAGAGACCTAATGTATAAAAAAATGAAAAAGTGCCCCAGTAATGAGACACTAAAGATCATATTTATAAGATATAGGAATTTCTGCAACAATCTGCTTAAAAATGTCAAAAGGCAATATGAAAGAGACATGTTGACAAAAGCAAACAGTAACCCAAAACATCTCTGGAATGCAATTCAATCTATTACCCATACCTCCAAAGGAACTCAAACCGCGAACGACTTACTATTTATAGATAGAAATTCTGTGAGGTCTATAAATGAGATAAATGACTATTTTGTCAATGTAGGAAAAAAATTGGCCGAGACCGTAACAACTCCAACCGAAGCAGTTGTCAGGCGGGAATGCGGTACGAAACCTTCCACTGTAAACTCGTTTGTCCATCTTGAAACAGATGAAGCTGAAGTTGAAAATATAATAATGAGTTTACGATCTAACTGTGCAGTTGGTATTGATGGCATTCCTATGTATATCATTAAACAGTTCAAGGCTAGTCTAATTCCGCCTCTCACGTACATTCTGAATCTATGTATTAGCACTGGAGTATTTCCAGATCGATTTAAAAAGGCCCTTGTCCATCCTATACATAAATCAGGAGACAAACGCAACTTACATAACTACAGACCAATTTCTGTGCTACCAGCACTTTCTAAAATTTTAGAGCGAATAATGAACAAAAGGTTAAAGGGATATCTGGAATACAATAACCTGCTATCTGATAGACAATATGGTTTCCGTAATTCCATGTCGACGGACGACGCAGTCCATGACCTTACTAACTGTATTGCCGAATCACTAGATAAAAAACAGAAATGCCTTGCAATCTTTCTTGATTTGGCAAAGGCCTTCGATACTGTCTCCCACTCTAAGTTATGCATCAAATTAGAAAAAATAGGCATTCGGGGGAATCAACTAAAACTGTTTCAGAGCTATCTGAGTAATCGCACACAGTGTACTAAAGTGGGAAAACACACTAGCTCTGAAATCCCAGTGTTATATGGCGTTCCTCAAGGGAGTATCCTCGGGCCGACGCTATTCTTAATATATGTTAACGAGATGTGCGACCTTGTCCTGGAAAGTGGTAAAATAGTAGCCTTTGCAGATGATACCGCATTAATTTTTAAAGCAACAACCTGGCAAGAAACTTATCACGCAGCGCAACTTGGATTCAACAGAATTACACAATGGCTAACAAATAATAGACTTACCTTGAATGTCAATAAAACAAACATAATGACATTCAAAATTAAAAATTCCTTAACAAGTAACCCCCACCATAAAATTACTGTCCACACTCACGGAGTTTGTAGTGATGTTTGCAACTGCCCTACTCTCAATCAGACATCCGTTGCTCGCTACTTGGGTGTTATACTCGACGACCACTTATCGTTTCATCAACACATTGACAGTTTATGTGGTAGAGTGCGTAAATTAATGTATGTTTTCAAGCATTTAAGACATGTTGCCGATCCTAACGTTATAAAGATGGTCTACTACGCGCTTTGCCAGTCTTTACTGGGATACTGCATTTCTGCTTGGGGAGGAGCATCAAAAAGCCATTTAATTCACCTCGAAAGAGCCCAAAGAGCAGTGCTCAAAGTCTGTACTTTCAAACCTTATCGTTTTCCATCTAAAAAATTGTACGAGTTTTGTGAAGTGCTGACAGTGCGCCAAATTTTCATTCTGCAAATAATTTTAAAGCAACACATCTCTAAGAACAAAATTGAAAGACCACTATTAAGTGTACTTACTCAGGCGCGTAGAAGTCGTAAACATAAGATCCCATTAACCTACACTTGCACAACATCTTTCGGTCATAAGTTCTATTTCTTCTTGGGACGTTACTTATACAATAAGATAAACAACCTTCTTGTTTTTCATAATAAAATTTGAAATTTTGAAACCAAAAAGATACTTACAAGTTATCTCCTGACCCTCACTTATGAGGACACAGAGGCTATTCTACACCCTCAGATATGATCATGCACCCCCCCCCCCCCCCCCCCCACACACACACATACATGCACACAGACATACACACACATTCTAACATACATCACAAAAGCAAATTATTACATTTATATAAATTGATATGTAACTATGCATGTTTTGGTATTAATAAGTAAGGCAACATACTGTGTAAATTAATTTACAACTTGTACAGGGCAATTTTAATTAAATTATGTATATCTGCATTTAATAACTCAGTGTCACTGGAAGATATCTGGTACCTATATCTCAGGTTTTACCTTTTTAGGTACCAGCCGCATATTCTATATGTAATTGTTATAGCTAAAAAAAATGAGCGCCCATTTTATCACTATTTTCTGTACAATTTACCTTGAATAAATAAATAAATAAATTTACGTTATTGAAGTCGCCAATTGTACAGTAAACGTTTTTTTTTTTAATAACTGTTACCTATCTGTCTGTGACTGGGAAATCTAACCTAAGGGTATTTTTTGACATTTTGGTAAGGGAGTATCGCAGCTCATGGACACCTGCAACTTAAAGAATGATAAAAGGGTTGACGGCCTTTTCAAAATATCTTGGCAATCGACAACTCGAGCCACTCTGTTGAATGGAGTCCAGAGGGAGAAATGACACTGTCTTGGCTTCTATATATCTATTGATTTCGTGCGAGTCGATTAAACATCAGCCCAACGGGGTTATAGGTTTGCAGAGGGCAGTGCTCCAAAACGAGATGATACGACAAACGCAGCCACACACGGCAATAGCCATTAGCTCATGACAGCGGCGTGCACACGAGAGAGACTTGGTAGAGAAGACAACAAAATGTTCAACAATGGTAGCTCATGACTTGCTACAACTGGGAAATAAAACTTGTAACAAGTCTTGGTGTGTGTGATGTTTCAAATGTGGACGCCCAGAGCGGTATTCTCAAATGATAACAAAGCTGCTACTTCTCGGGGGTAACATACCTAACAGTTGTTAGAGCTTCTGGTACTATAACACTAAGTATAATACAAAGCAAACATTATACTTAGAAATATAAAATGCAATTGTGTTTTAATCTTTATTTCATCATTAAATACATGTAAAACAACTGTTGGAAATAAAGTATGTTAAAAAAGGGAGATTACCTTTACTTTGACTAGAATAATTCTTGTAAATTATAATCAGGTATAAATACTCAAAAGAAGACTAGGTGGGTATAGTACATTTATGCTTAATGATAAAAAAATAACATCAAATGCTATTGCATCACATAATAAAAATTAATATTTATAAGTACTGAGTTTGGAACAATTCACTTACAGTATAAGCACCAACAATATATACATATATCTTTAATTTAATTAATCATATGCTGGAAGTCCAAATAGTTCAGGCTTGAACTCCTCCAAGGATTTAAGAACAAGTGTGGCAGTTTGTAAATATTGAGAATCAATCCGAGGGTCTGGTACAGCCACAACTTGCATGTGAGCTGCATTAGCAGCTTTTATACCATTTACAGCATCTTCAAAAACAAGGCACTGAAAAAACACCAGAGGCACTGAGAAGATATTTTCTTCTCTATTCCTTTAATTATGCTAGGTTAAGCTTGTAATGTATCTTAAATCCTTAAAGTAACTAGTAGAACATTGAATTAAACAGTTTTTGTATTAACACTATTAAGTTTAATAAGCATTTATTGTAGTAGTGCTATATTACTTACGTCTTCAGGTATGGGTTTATCAGGAAACCTTGAAGCACAAACAAGAAATATTTCGGGGTCAGGTTTTCCTTTAGTAACCTCTGGGTCAGTAGACCCCATTGTGAGGTGATTGAATAATTTTAATATATCTTGGTGGTTTTTCATCTTTTTATCAACACTGTCACTACTAGAACTGGTTGCTAAAGCTATAGGCACACCCTTTTTGTGTAAGTGCTCTACTAGCTTCCTAGCACCTGTAATTTATGAAAAAGTTACCAATTTAGCTAAAAAATAATCTTTTTTCAATCTATAACATTTATTAATTTATGCTGCTATGAAGTAAATAAACTTATGCATACCTGATGTATATGTGCAAGGTACAGTGATGTGATCCAAAATAGTTTTATGTTGTTATTGTATTTCTAAGTGAGTTTGCAGTAAGCATAACTTTTTTTAATCAACACCGCTAGTAAGTGTAGCTTACCACTACTAATAGTGGTAACTTCTTCAGCTAATTAAATAACTAAATAGCTTGTGTTGGTGAAGACTCACATGGGTAGTTTACAGGGTTGGGTTCAAACTCCCACTACCTAATTTGAAATTGTCAATTAAATTACAATGACTATTTTAGCAAATAAATTAAATAACAAAAAAATACAATATACTATAAAGGCTCAGTGGAATATAGCAAACATTTAATTATTCAAAACTAAATGTTACCTGGCATTAACTGCACATTAGAGAACACTACCTCACTTAATTGACTGCACTCCTTCATAAACTCATCTCTTGTCACTGGTAGCTCTAATACTTTAATTATTTTATCAGCACATTCATGGCCTTGAAAACCAAGAAGTGTTTCCTTCAACTCCCACGTAAATTTCTTTCCATACTTATCGCACGCAGTTGTAAATATTTCAGTATAAAGTACCTCAGAATCTGTAAATAAAATTTCTTCATTCAATATGTTTTTTTTTTAATATTAAAATTTCATCACAAAATCTTACCGAGAAGTAAGCCATCTAAGTCGAACAATACATGAGTAACCTTTTTGTATTGCATTTTTAATATTTAGTACAAAGACTACGATCAGAAAAGGCTTCAACTATTTCTGAAATTACGACAACCAGGTTTAAAAAAATATTTTTCGACTTTAGCTTCTGTAACAAACTTTCTTACAATGTACTATGTACTCTGTGACACAGACTCATTGACATTGACAACTATTTAAACTATTGATTGTCAACTTCAACTTTTGGTTAATGACTATTGATTGTCATGCCTACACATTGACAGTGTTAATGTGTCAATTTGACACATTGTCTCTTGTTGCGTCATAGGCTCCTGGCGTATAGAAAATGCTCCCTGGAAACTATTCCCGGAATAGAGATGGGATTCAAATGCCAAAAATATTTACTTAATGTTTATTACTGGAGCACGGCAATATTGTTCTGTGAGATAGATAAAGGAAAAATAATAATTAACTAAGAAATATACTAACTGGTACATGACCTGAGGTCAAATGTCTCTTTTAACCCTTATTCCCCAGTTACTGGCTCTTTTCGAATTTTAAGTACTTGCGCCGGAAGCCTATTTTGCGTATCTCTATGACAGCACTTTGTTCGCTCCTTAGAACATTCTCCATATGCAAGAATGTCCAAGAAAATAAACAGTTTTAGTGATGTTTTGGACATAAACTCTAAGACAGTTGTTTGAGTCTATCATTTTTTATTTTCAATGCATGTATAGTTTTTACAAAAGCGGTGTTTAACTGTAAGTAATTGTTACATTGTTAATTGTTGGAACGAAGTTCCTTATCGCGCGTTGTGAAAGGGGGCTAGACGGAAAAAATTCTTACAAAAATTGGTCACGACACTTTTTGCTATAGCAAGCTATTGTAAGCTGTGCGGCGTCGCATGTTTCTCTGTCTGTCTCTCTCTCTCTTATAGAAAGCAAGCCAGATATTTTCATTTCTATCTTTTTATGTCAGTCATTCAGCGCTATCTATCGAATAGATAGGAAATCATTTCTCAAGGAGATTTTACCAATGTATAAATTGTTTTAATTAGAAACCAACTGAAAAATATGTAGGTAATAGCCGCTTTCATAGATGGCGTCGTTATTAAAATGTGCCGAATCAGTTTTACTCGATCGTTACAACTTCGTTCCTATCGGGTGTCCCACGACACCACACGGCTTTTTTTTTTCTTTGGCATGTGTATTTTACAAGTATTGATGTAAACAGTTATTGGTAAACTTTTATGAAAAAAAATCAAACAAAGGTATTATTACATAATTACCACTTTGCGGTGTTTTTTGAAAAGCGATCTACCATTTGATATGGTACCACTACAGCTGTCAGTGTGGCGAATTTAGATTTGCCCGCTTTGATAAAAATCAGATTTTGTATATAAAAATCGGTTGTTTTCTGACAATTGATATTTATTTCTGCAAGTAAATCTTTTCAGATATTTTTACAAGTCGGCCTTGACAGCTAGAAGGCATTTCCTGAGACTCGCTCTGGGTAGAAACGCGGCAACAAACCACACAGGTGTCTTCATTTAATTAAGTGTAAGTACAATGTTAAAGAGAAGTATGTGAGTGCACTATAAGGTCTGGGCTGGTCTTTTGAAAAATGACCATAGTTTTGACTCGACCCGTCCATACATATGGCATACGGGTCCCAGCCATCGTGTAGCCTAAACGATATAGTCAGGATCAACAACAAGGAACACGACACTACCGCCAGTAGGACAGTTGTTCGAGTGATACCACGGCCTCACAGAAAACCGATGTTAAGCAATTCTTTCGTTGCCTTTCACTGAGTGAGTGAGGTTACCGGAGTCCAAATCCCCCCTCCCGCTGACTCGAGCGAGAGGGACTCCAAGGGCGGCAACGCACTTGTGACTTTTGAGTTGCAGGTGTCCATGGGCGGCGGTAGGTGCTTACCATCTGGTGACCCGTCTGCTCGTTTGCCCTTTATACCATAAAAAAAGTTGAGTAGGCCGTGGAAACACTTAAAACTACCAGAAAGTTACTAAAATATGAACTAAAATTACAAACCTACACAATACTCACATTTATAAACTCACACAAAAAATAAACCATTCAATTCAATTTCAACGAAAAAAAAAAAAAAAACTGAAAAGAAACAAAATACAACATACAACAAAATATTAAATGTTCATCACTTTCAAACGTAAAAACAATAATAGAAACGCAAATGTGGGAGTGGGAGTGAGCAGCAGTTTTTGTTTTACCAAGGACTTAAATTTGTTAATACTTAATTCATGAAATTTGCTTGGAATTTTATTGTAAAATAAAATTCCAAGTAAAAAAAAAGTAAAATCGCACACCCCGACATCGAAAAGATTTGCTTACTTTTTGTAGTCTACTCGTTGTCACCACGAGTTTATCTTTAGTTTCAATGTTTATATTATGAATGTCGCTAAACTTGGATGAATAAATGAATATTTTTCTTTACATACACTAAATTTTTATACATAAATGAATGAAGATGCGAAAGTCATAATACCAATTTCTTTGAACTTATCCCCCAGTGACTGGGATTATAAAAATCGCAATGAGATAATAGATTAAGATTAACTCTCTTTTGCAACATAAAGATATACTGAATATCAGCAGCATTTTGATATTGATGTTCCTACATCAGTTAATTGACGAATTTTATAAGCCGCGTATGCTGCAGAGCTGAGTCTATTCGACAATCCAACAATGTATGGGTCCCACTGCAATTTAGAGTCTAGTGCTATACCCAGAAGATTAGTGGTGTCAACAAGATCAACTCCTTTCCATTTATCAGAACACTGGTTTTTACCTGCTTAACATTAGGAGTAAAAACTCTCCGCCGTCTCCTTCTGTGAGCAAGTTATGTTTGCGAAGTAGTCGCTGGAGCGGGGCCGGGAGAGATTTAGAACTCTTCTAGTTCGCCAGGCCCGGGAACGGGCCAGGTACTCCAGACGACTCAGGCGCTATAGGTCGCAGAACTAACTCTGTCCTCCATAGGTGCAGGCCTGAGGGTGATAAGTGAGGCCATCTGTCACCCAAACAGAAGCAGGCCAGGTTGGCGGCGCAACGCGCACTTTAGTTTGCAGAACGGGAACACCGTAGTTCCCACAGATGTGGGGGGTCATCTACATGCCGTAGATGGCCCGGGGTACGTCGGGGTACCAGGGATTTCCCTCCTAGGGTACACCTGGTTCCCTGGCTACTGGTACCTGAGATAGCGTGTGGTTTTTGGTCGGTCAGAGTCCGACATAACCACCGGTGGGTGCTATCCGAGGGGATATCAGCACAGAAAAAAAAGGTTTAAAAAAATCTAATACATTTAGTTTTTCTTTTCGTTTAAAAGTAAGTTATTAACCTTGAACCAGTTCACGACCTTGGAGAGAGTGTTATTCACATCGACAGTCACTGATTGCTGTCGTTTCAGTTAAACTAAAAGTGAAGTGTCATCTGCAAATAGCACTATCTCCTGATTATCTCGTATCAGATTAGAAGGTCAATTATAAATTCGAGGCACAATAATGGGCCGAGAATTGAGCCCTGCGGAACCCCTATAGTTACCAGAGACCCGAGGGACCTCTCTCCATTAAATGCCACTCTCTGGATCGTATTACACAACTAAGAGATAAGAAGATCCAAAGCAGTATTCATTATTCCATAGTGATGCAATTTCCTGATCAATGTGTAATGAAAAACGCAATCGAATGCCTTAGACAAATGACAAAACACGCCCATCGCATCCTGTTTATCCTCTCAGATACTAAATATATTTTCCAGAAGTTCAATATCAGCATCACTTGTCGAGCGAACTCTTCTGAAGTCAAATTGTTTCCAGTGGAAAATATTGTTTACGCTAAAGTGAGTTTGCAGCTGATCTAGTAACTTTCTCAAAAAAATGACCGAAAGTAGGTATCACTGAAATAGGTCAATAATTTGTAGGATCAGAGTTAGTCATCATCATCATCATCATCAGCCTATCGCAGTCCACTGCTTAACATAGGCCTCTCCCATTGCAGAGTTGGTGAATGATCGGAATGATCTTATTATGCTTTATTGGGTCATTAAATACACCACATTCAATGCACTTATTGAAAATTAAGGCCAACTCTGATTTATATGCTTGTAGCTTTAGTTTACATTACTAGTAGTACTGCGGGTAATTCATATTATTGCGGATATTAATACACATAAGTACATTTTCAAAATGTATTTTATTTCATCCCAAAATGTAAATTTATAACAGGAATAAACCAAGAGGAAGTCACTACTCAAGAAACGAAAATTAAACCGGACCGGATAATGGTCACTATGTTACCACCAACTTGCAGAATTTTGTAATTAGAATGGATAATGGTAAATTATTTACCATGCATACAGGCTAGGGTTTGTTTAAGGGTTAAAAACGGCAGCAATTATTTGCCTCCCTCATATTTATAAAAGGCTCTAGTATACGTGGCAATTTGTCTAAAATATCTACATACGTAAATAACAGATTTTATTCTTGACGTTGGTGGCATCGTGACTTGTGAACTTTGTCACTCTCCTCTTCTCTATAACGCTTTACTTACTCGAACTTAAAAGTGTATAAGGTAATTTGTATTTTAGTACATATAATTTAGATAGACCGAATCTTAGTTTACTACATGCGTTATTGATATGAGGCCCCCAGTGCAATTTACTATCTATGGTAAGGCTCAGATACGCATGCTGCGACACTAACTCTAATGATTGTCTAACAGGTCGATGTCAAATAATGCATAATTTTCGTTTTTGTTGCGTTAATCACTAGCCCCACATCGTGGGCCTAGCCACACAATAGGTCAAAGTTGCGCTGCATAACTCTCTGTGCCTCACGTAGGTCTTTATGCGCAGATATTAAGTATGTGTCATCAGCAAACTGATACACCGATCCCTCAGTGAATACTCATGTCATTCAAGTATAACAAAATATTCGGTCTGCCCGAGAATCGAACCTTGTGCCGTGCCTTTGTCGGTTAGAATCATATCACTTAGAAAGCCAGCGACACTTACTGCGG